TCGGATGAGAGACTACTAGCAATGAATAAACACATATAGCTTGAGAGGAAAGTATCTCACACAGTCATAGCCTCAGTTACCAAAGGTAAGAGCATACCTAAAGACCAGAAGTTGGTGACTGGCCTGGACCAGTGAGACCCTACTGCAGAAAAACAAGAAAGTCAATAATGTAAAAACATTTATTTCACAAAGTTAAAGGCCCTTCCCACTGTTTGCAAAGTGTAACATCTACAGGCTATCAGGAGCTTATAGGCCAGGAACCTTTTATGTTTTCTCAGGTATTATCCCATTCTTGCAGCAGTCTAAAGTCAGTAGAAGTACTTTCAATTTTAGACAAGAAAGCAGACTCTAAGAAGACAAGTGGCACTGGGTGGTGGTGGTGCACACCTTTAATCCCAGCACTTGGCAGGCAGAGGCAGGAGATCTCTGTGGTTTGAGGCTAGTCTGGTCTACTGAGCAAGTTCCACGGCTGTCTCCATAGTTACTGGGAAACCCTATCTCGAAAAACAGAACAAAACAAACAAACAAACAAAGACAAGTGGCTTGACTGATGTACATGCTAAATGCTCAACCTGGGTCTGTGACTTTGTCTTATTCTGAACACCAAACTCTTTTATCTAAGAAGATCAATGAACTAAAAAATCTGGAGTCCTGGGTTTGAATACTGTTTCTGCCACTGACTCTGTGGTATTATGTAAGTGAATGGATGTTAAAGGAAAATGTTACCTGAGCATGTGATGCGTGACTGAAATCCCACTGCTTTGTCAGTCAGGAGAATTAGGGGTTTATAACGTACTGTGTCAGAAAGAGTAGGACTGGGGGAAAAAAGCAAATTAAGCCTGCACCTTGTCCTAGTTTAATTCACTGGACACAAAAAAAGCACTGATTGCTATATACATAGTTAAGTCGTTATAGAAACATAAAATACTTAAAAAAAAATAGTACTGGGGCTGAAGAGATGGCTTAGCAATTAAGAGCACTTCTTGCTCTTACGACAGACTGGAGTTCAGATTCCAGCATCCACGTTGGGTAGCCTACAACCACTTATAACTCTAGTTCTAGGGGATCTGATGCCCTCTTGGGCCACCACAGGGACTTGCATTCATATGTATACCCAGATACATCCACATAATATTTTAAAAGCAGAACCATTGATAAACCATAAGCAAGTTGAATAATGAATAGCTTTACTACCTATAGTCTTTCCGATAAATGGTGTGCACTCCAGCAGAAGTTTTAAGAGATACTCCCCAAGTGTAACAGGGTTGCAAGGCAAGTAAGGACCCAAACCAATTTAATGAGAGTACCTTCAAAAGCTGTAATAAATTCAAACAACTACATGACTGTGTCACCCAAGAGCATCTATTAAGTAATTATACCACCAGGATTTCAGTCCTCACCCAAGAGCAGCACTGCTGTACTTGAAAAACGAATGGATCCAAACAGCTGAAGTTAGTTCTACCACAAGCTAGTTGGGTGACTTTTGATCTGATACAAAATTCTCTTAGTCATAAGTGGGGGAGGGTCTATTTTGTAGGGTTGTAAATAGATTAAACCAAATAACATAAAAAGTTGCGATGACAATGCAAAACATTTTTAAAATTAACTGTTATTACTATAGTATCCATTAATATACTAGAACTTCCAAGTACAATTTTAAAAACCAAATGATGGAAACTCAAGAAAGTTCATAAACTTGGAATCCATAAAATCAGAACAAATGTACATAAAGTTTAGTGAAAATGAGGCAAGAGAGTTATGGTAAACACTTCTAATCCCAGAACTAGAGAGCTAAAGAAAGAGGACTGCCTAGAATTTGAGCCAGTCTGAGACCCTGTTGCAAAGAAACAAAAACAAACAAAAACCAGTTAGGTGTGGGGGTCAATGTTTACAATCCCAGCACTTGGGGGTGGTGGTGGCAAATACAGGAGGATCCTTTAAGTTCAAGATCAGCCTGGTCTACAAATAGTGTGTTCCAGGCCAGTCAGGTCTACCCAGTAAGACCCTGTGTCTGCCAAACCGAAGCAGAGAGAAGTGCTAAGTAAAAAGCAAGTAGAAGGAGAAATAAAAAAGAATGCTTTGAAACGGACAGAAATGAGTTTTGTCAAATCAGGACTAATAAAGAGGAATCCTAGAGTGACAACATACACAAATTAAGCACAAGCTGGGTGATAACCATGGATCAAATCAATAGGTCTCTTTCTAGACACCTAATCGTACTACCTAGAGCCCTACCAATTAACTTTTAAGTGCACCTTATTTAGAAACAGGAGTACTTGAGTCTTGGTTTCCACATTTACTTTAAATAGAATACTTCCTCTGCCTTTGAGTATACTTTATAGCAAAAATACAGACTTCTAGGACTCTCAGGTTCCTCATCCACAAGACACAGTGGTAAAATGGGGGCAGTTTCTAAGTTTTCTTTCAGCTTTATGATTCTAAGACAAAGAGTCTCCTTTACTATTAAAATGTTATGTACTGACAAGGAAGCAGAAAAGGAAAATAGTACTTGAGGACCACACACAATTCATCAACATCTGTTCTTCTCTTCCTAACACTTTGACCACAAAGCATTGTTCTGCAGGGTTGGTGGCATACACCTGTAATCTTAGTACATAGGGGGTCGAGGTAGGAGGATCAATTCCAGGTCAACCTGGGCTATAAGCAAAACCATCTTGAGAGAGAGAGAGAGAGAGAGAGAGAGAGAGAAAGAATGAGAATATGAATGAGAATCTTTCTAAAGCATCATGTTTTCCAGAATAAGCAATAACTTAAATCAATAAAACCAAAGCATCGATTTAAAAAGGATAAAGTGGCCGGGTGGTGGTGGTACATGCCTTTAATAATAGCACTCGGGAGGCAGAGGCAGGCGGATCTCTTTGAGTTAGAGGTCAGCCTGGTCTACAAGAGCTAGTTCCAGGACAGGCTCCAAAGCTACAAAGAAACCCTGTCTTGAAAAAAAACAAAAACAAAAACAAAACAAAAAAACAAAACAAAACAAAACAAAAAAACAAAAAAGAAGAAGGATAAAATCCTTTAATGAACAGATTTTCTCTTGGTATTGTTCACCAATTCTTAATTTTCAGAAAATTTATTTTGATAAAGTAAGGAGCTTATTTAAACTTACCTGAGGCACATAAACTGTTTTTAGAAACTAGTATTTAGATATATTTGTACAGATGAGGACCAGTATACTAAAAGATGGAATTATAGTTAGGAAAACAGACACTATGCCAGGCGTGGCAGAACAATCATGAATTAAAAGTTAGGCTTGGCTATACATTGAGATCATGCCTCAAAAAAAAAAAGCACACACCAAGAATAATTATTACATTAATTTTATATTAATAATATTAATAATTCCCAAAATAATGGTGTAGGTCAGCTTCCAAATTCCTTTATTCATGTTAAAAGCTTAATCTTTGTCTTTTCATGACCAACCTTTACTTTATCTCGTAACAAGCCTTTCATTTCCCTTTCTAGTATGCTTCCATTATTCTATCTTAAGTCAAAAGTGTTTTCTTCCTTCTATTATAGGTCTCTTGATTCTGATTTTCTCAACCATTCTCTCTCTCTCTCTCTCTCTCTCTCTCTCTCACACACACACACATACACACACACACACACACACACTTTGCAGAATTCTCTTTCTCTCCATTCCTAAAAATCAACCTTCACAGTACATCTACCCCTGTTATCTTTTGAGTAGTTTTTGGACACACTACTTCTTTGGAACTGAATGTATCTCTTTGGTAATCCTTTCCCCAGGAAAATCTACCAGTTTGTCACTTGAATTCCAAGTACAACACATACCTCTTTTCCTTTTATAATCAGTAACCCTGTAAATGACCCAATGGCTATTCAATTCTCTCTACTTTCTAGCAACTCTCTTTAGTATGTTCAACTATCATGCTTTCTCCAGCAGCCAAGTTTCCTGTAACTTGGCACAAGCCTGCCAAGGACCTAAATTTCCAAAGCTTCTCTCATGAACTCAGCTGTTAAGTTGGGAGTGTAGCTCAGTGATGTGACATCTGTTTAGTTCTGGGTTCCATCCTCAAAACCACAAATAGGAATAAATGGTTTTTTTTAAAATCTCTCACACTACTCCCCTTCCCAACAAACTGTCCCGCCCCCCTCCCATATTATTCTTAAGTGGCTACATCCAGTGCTTGCTTCACTGACTCTAAATCTTTAGACCAGTACATAGTTTCTTTCCCTCAGGTTTCATTTGCTTAGAAATAAAACAAACAACTGCCCAAATCTTTCTCTTGAAGCTTCCCAGATTTTACCTCCCCAGTGCTTCCATTTAACAACCCTAATCCTAGTTATTCCCTTTCTCAGTCTCTGGATATCAATGGTCACTGTTCCAAATTCAGCTGTCCTCTTCATCACACCCCACCTATTTCGCTAGCTTCTTGGCTCACTACCTTTGACAGTCTCCTGGCCATGTTTTCTAACTCTCTTTAGGCCTATTCCCCAAGCTTTCTAGTTCACCCCCCTCATTCTCCGAATCCGACACACACACTTCTGGGAACTTTTTCTAGAACCTTCCACTCCTTCGTTTCTACCTCATTTTTCTATACCCCTCAGGTGAAAGCCTTCTTATTCCTGGACAACTTACTTGACCCACCAGTTCCCCTCAACTTTTCTCTCAGTCGTTCCCTATTCCCCTCAACTATGGTAGATTTCACTCTACCTCCAATCTCATCACTTCTGGAGTTGCTGCCCGTCATCTCTTAAATTACCCTTTCATCTTTCTCAACCTTGTCCTTATACCTCTCTCTCTCTCCAACAATGTTAGCATCCGTCCTCCAGCTTCTATTCCCTTAGCGCCTCACCTAGTCCCCGAATCTACCTTCTACTCCATCTAAGCATCTCCAGGCCAACGCCAGCATTTCCTCCAATTCACTGCGTCCCTTCCCATGGTACTCCGAACTCCCAGACACCATTCTCCAATGGCCTGGGCCTGGTCTCCTGGGAGAGAGGTACAAGTCACGTACCCCATCCGCATCTTGGCTCCGCTCTGACTGCCCCCGCTGCCGGGCAGAGGAGGGCGAGAGGGTAGGCGGCCGAGGTGCATGCTTTTTTCGAGGGCCGACATCAAGGGGAGACCACACGTCGACAACAGTGTCCGAAGCTCTGTCCCACGATACGTGCAGCACAACCAGTCACAGCTCACTCCTCCAACGACGCCTAGTCGCCTTTGGACAGCACCCAGACACCGGTAGCGCCGCCTACCGCCCACTGGATCGGTAAACCCCGCCCCCTCGCCTCGGCGCTTCCACCGGAAGTACGCAACAGCCGTCGCACAAAGGAAACTGGGTAACGGAGTCTGTGGTTCCCTTAGAGTCCTATCAGAGAACTCGACAACCCTCGACGGAAGAAGGAGTCCTCCTGAAGGCAATGCATGCTGGACAATGAAGTCCTCAAATTGTGTATCTCTTTATGCTTGCGCAGCGGCCGGTGCCCTGGCGCAACCTCGCAAAGGTAGGGAAGCAAAGCATTCTGGGTGTTGTAGTCAACTCGCAGGAAAGCGTATTGGCGCTTTCCCTTGGCACCACTTTCCGGGAACTGTTGGAGAAAGAGTTGCTTCTTCCTGCGTCCCAGGCTTCCCAGCGGCGCCCGTTGCCGGGGAACGCAGGCGCCGTGGGAAGGCATGGCGGGAGCGTACAGTTTAGGAGCTGGCACCTGTGTTGAGTTGGTTCCGAAGGGCCCGGACTCGTCATGAAACAACGGAAAGGCCAAGGGCCTGGGGGCGGCCGTGGTCGCAAGAAGAGAGGTAACTTTATCTGTCCAAAGTTGAGGAAAGCATAAAAGGGAGAAAGGACTTCTGAGACCTACAGCCGCACCGGATAAACAAAACAAAAGAGGACGGAACAGAAGACTATTCAAGGGACTAGAAAGTTAAAAGAGAGGATTTTTTTTTTTTTTTTGAGGAATGAAAAGGAAATAGTGCTCGTGGGTTCATAAATGAGTCAAAGTGAGGATTAATAGGTACGGATAGGAGAACAACAAAATTAAGAGTGTCTTTTATGATAACGATAAATTATGTGTGGTAGTAGGATTTGGAGTAGGAGGAAAGGATATACATATATTCCGAACGAAGAACCTGAAAGAATGAAAGGGTAGTATAGGACTTGGTTAAATCAATAGCCTACACTGACCAGAAGAATAAGGATTGTTAGCCGGAGTAACTGCAGTTACTCTAGGAACCCAGAGCAGATCATGAAACTGAAAATTTAATATGTGCTACCTTCAACGTGTCACATTGGGTGACCCTGACTTTTGAAATTACAGTTGTCTCTTAGTGGGGATGGTGCTATTGAGAACAGTGATGGTACATTAGACATCAGGTTTGGGACTGAACTGAAGCCACAGTCTAAGAAGGAATTTTGTGCAAGCTAACTAAAGATCAATAAAGCAATTTTGAGGTCATGCCTTTCCTGCCAGGAATGATGGGATTCTGAGAAGAAAGATGTCCAGTGCTGGTGTTCCCTGTGTCAAACCAGTCAAGTGCCAGGTGATGAGAAGAAAGTCAAAGTAGAAATGCAGTAGAAGTATTGAATGACCTTGATACGGCATATACGTTTATATGTAATATGTACATTTGTTACATGCATCTATATGCGTAAACTTACATTTCAACAGATTATCCCTGCACTTTATGGCGGATCTTTTCTCCACTATACATAGCACAAATTATTTGTTTTAGTTGAAAGAACTATTCTTACTGATTTCTGATCAGATAGATTTCAGTATTTTTTTTCTTATGGCATATGATCTCTTCCCAAGGAAAATGAGAGATGGTAAAGTATATACATAAATGGTTTTATTTTTCTGAGACAGAATCTCCCTGTAGACCTCAGGCAGGCTGACCTTGTACTTGAGGTCCTCCTGCCTCTCAAGTATTTTTTTTTTTAAGTCTCTAAATCTTTCAGAATAGGTGCTGACTGAAATAAAACCAGGGTTGTATTTATTTGTTTATTCACATTTTGATTCATCATCTCTTTGAAATCTTAGTAAAATTCAAAGTTAATAAAAGTTATAAGCCCAGAACTAAGAAATAGCAGCAAATCTAAAGATATAGTCTCTGTTCTTGATTGTATGATCTTGACAGCAAAGACAATTAAATGGTCTTTGCTGAAATTCTAAGTTGTGTTGATACACACTAAATTGTGTGTCAGGGAAACTACTGTTTCACATTCAATGACGGTTTTAATATAAGAATGAGATAATATATCTTAACTGTGGAATTGCCAAGTATTTAACAAAAACTTCCAACTACTGAGATTTAAAAACCCTGTCAACTTGAATAATCATGTTTGTGTTTTTCAAATAGTACCTTATATTAAAGCAAAGTTTGAATTGACACGCCTTACATGGACTGTTCCTTATTTAGAATAACATGAATGCAACCTAAATCCTCTTAAGGTGTCCAGCTCGTATAGGTGACCAGGTAGGCTTGTTTTTTTTTTTTTTGTGACTTCTCTGTATTAGAACAGGTAGGAAAAGCCTTCTCTGTAGACACTAAGTAGTTTTACTTTTCATTCGAGAGCATATTACAATATGGTGGTGTACCCCAGCTTTCAGGGGGCAGAGGTAGGTGGATCTCTGTAAGCTTGAGGCCAGCCTGGTCTATAGTGTGTTGTAGACAAGCTAGGACTATAGTGATATTTTACTTATGTTTTACTAAATAAAGCTTGCCTAAAGATCAAAAGGGCAAAGCTAAGCCACTAGAGGTCAGTCAGGCCATGGTGGCACACACCTTTAATTCCAGGATTTGGGAAACAGAGGCAGATGGACCTCTGTGAGTTCTAGGCCATCCTGGGCTACACAAAATACAAACCCAGGTGGTAGTGGCCCAGTAGTAGGGAGTCATACAACCTTAATTCCAGCACTAGAGGGAATATAAAATGAAAAGAGAGAGGGGCTTAGTCTGTTTTGCCCAGCCTTGATAGGGCTAAGACTTCTCTAGTGGCTTGACTGCTTTGCTTTTTTGGCTGTTGAATTGAACCCCAACATTTATCTCTGGGCTTTTATTAATCATGCTACACAGGGTTATCTAATGAGATCCTATCTCAAAAGAAAACAAAAGAAAAAACCCCAACCGTTTTCCACAGTTAGTCTAGATTTTAACTCAGTTTTGTTGTGTTCCTGCATAGGTTTGAGTGACATCTCACCATCAACAAGCCTGCCACCTCTGGTTGAAGGGCAATTGCGCTGCTTTCTCAAACTTACGATTAATAAAGTCATGTGGAAGACTGCGAAGCCTCCCACTTCTGTACTTGTCCGAGTAAGATGGTGGGGAGAAACGTCAGATGGAACCCTCTTTTGTCCCAGGGATGCATTGCAGACTGAACCAAAAGTTGTGAGAACAACTACCCGTTATGCTATCCGTTGTGGTCCAAAGCAGTTCACCTCATATCTAACAGGTATGCTTGTGTTTTGTCTTAACTGCAAACGTGGTATGAAACCTGTCAGCTGTCTATTATTTCAACAAAGACTGTCTTTAAACTGTCTTACCTGCCACAATCATACAGTCCAGGACAGAGACTAATATCTTTAGATTTTGCCACTACTTTTAATGCTGGGTTCATAATACTAACTTTGAATGTTATCAGATTTCAGAAAGATGATAAATCTAAATGAAAGTGATATTTATTTGTAACACTTAAATCCTCAAATGAGCAGGATTAATAGGTCAGAAAGAAAAAAAAGGGTGTCCTTTAATACAGGAATCAACAGTCATACATTTATTTGTACGTCCTGTGAGATAACTATACTTCATCTGAACATTTAAGTTGGTGTTAGGAACTGTAGGAGTTGAGGAAAGTGCTTTCACATTTCTGGCCTTATTTCCTTTGCTATAAAGTGAGATCAAACAGCTACCCTTTGACTGTCTGGGTGTTTTCATGAAGAAGCAACCTGATTGAGTTGAAAGAACACAGATTTGAAGGCTAGGCAGTTAAGTTTGAACTCTGGATTCAGACTTGGGATTGTTGTGTGATGCTAGGAGGTTTTTGTTTGAGTTTGGTTTGGTTTTTTTTTTTTTTTTTTTTTTTGGTTTTTCAAGATAAGATTTCTCTGTGTAGTCCTGGCTGAACTGGAACTCACTCTGTAGATGAGGCTGGCCATCATCTACCACCCAGAGATCCTCTCCCTCTGCTGGAATTGAAGGTGTGAACCACTACAGTCAGGCTAGGAGGTTTCTCAAGAACATAGAGTTTCAGTTTCCTGTTGTGAGGAGAATAATATGTTCCTATTAGGAATTATCATGGAACTTAATTGAAAAAGTAAAGTGACCAGTCCAGTACCTACCACATTGTAGGTGTAAGGTCCACACAGATATTTTCTGAGGAACTGGGGGACAAATTTTTGAAATATTGAACCTACCAAGAACTGACACGAAGCATTAATGAGTGATGCCAAGCAGTATGTGAGTAAATATGCAATTACTCATGCATAGAAAATTGTGACTATTCCAGGTCATCAATAATGGACAATTGTGTAAATTACTAGGAAACCAGAATCCTACTTCTGCTTTTTACTCTTTCTACTTTATATTGAACAAGCTTTTTCATCTTTCTGGACTTTAATTTTCCTATCAATAATTTGAAGGAGCCTAACACAAAATAGTATGTCCATGCCCAAATTTCATTTTCTAGTTAGAAAAGAAATGGGAAAGGCAGTGTTTGAATAGGACACAGATGGGGTGAACCTTGTAAGAGAAGAGCCAGTTGTCAACATAACCACGTTATGTTCTCTAGAAAATAGATAGCTAAGTTGGGACAGTGACATGGCTCAAAGACACTTGCGACAGAGCCTGACCACCAGACTGTAGGACTGTAGGTCTGTAGGACTGTAGGACTGTAGGACTGTAGGTCCTACGCGGTAGAGGAAGAAAACTGAGTCCTGCAAGTGGTCCTCTGACTGCTGCTTGTGCACTGTGACAGTGTACCCTTCAACAATAAATAAATAAATAAAATAGACAAAAAGAAAATCAGGAACCAAGAGGTCTATAATTCCTTCATATCAATGTCTACTGTAACTGAAAACTAGGGGAAAGTATGACTGTATCTGAATTCTTTTCTGTACCCCTTTCTCTCTTCCTTATCCCTCTCTTGCATACCACACTTAAGATGCTTATGAGTAGTTTATAGATTGGCACAAAACAAAGAATATAGGGTAAATAGAAATAGCAAACCAGTGAGTTTAGATAAAACAAAAACACAGGGAGCCACAGCATGTTTGATAGTTTATGGAATACTTTCAAGTCTGTCATCTTATAAAAGCAATCCTATGATATAGAGAGGTGATTGCTTATTTATTCCCGTAATTTCTTTTATCTTACTCAGAAAAGATGTTGGTACAGTTGCTAAACATTATAGCCTTCAACATTTGTTGAAGGAGAGGGAAAATACAGTTGAAGGATCAAGTTGAAGCCTCTGGGATGTCCTAGAATACATGCCCTGAGGCCCTGCCCATTTGCTGTAGGTAGTAGGCTTATTTTCTAGATGGTGGGTTTGACATTCAAAGAATTAAAAGTGATTAACCCAAGATCACCTTAACTCTAGCCCTAATTTTAGGAAGACTATTGGCTCCAGGTTCACTAATATTTCTACTCTTTCATGGAAGGTAGAGAGCTTGGAGTTGGAGAGGTAGCTCAGAGTACTGTCTACTCTTCCAGAAGACCTGGCTTTGGTTCCCAACACTCACATGGCAACTGTCAACTGGTTGTACCACCAGTTCCAGGCCTTCTGGCCTCCAAAGAATACCAGGCACAAAAGTGGTACATAGACATACATGTGGACACACTCCCATACACATACATTTTTTTAAAGTATAGAAGACTTGATAACACCTCATTGCTTCTTTTATGTCTTTTTTTCCTTTACTCTTTACTGTTTTGCCAGAAGTAGTGTCCATAAATATTCCAAACACACTTCAGTTACCCTTGACCATTCCGTTGTCGCCACTGTGGTAATCAGAGAAGATGCAGTTGGAATGAGTGACAGTGGGAATGTGACTAATGCAGAATGGTAGTGCAGCAAAAAAGAAGGAAGGATAAAAATCATAAATCTGTTAAGACTGAAGCATTTTCTTCTTTGAGCAATATGTAATAAGGTAACATGGTAGACTCAACTTTAGAATTAGATAGAACTAAGTTTTAGCCCATTTTTGATGACTTTAAAACTTACTGAACCTAGGAATGTTACATGGCCTCTCTGATCTTTTTTAATCCCCAACCTAGAGTTAGAACACCTCTATCAGAGAATTGTAAAGACGGGACAAGGGCTGGGGATTTAGCTTAGTGGTAGAGTGCTTGGCACAAAACCTTGGGGTTCGTTCTTTGCTCTTGAAAAACAAATAAAGCCCATTGAAGTGATGCAGCGTGTAAAGACACCTGCCACCAAGTCTGATGACCTGAGTTTTATTCCCCAGGCTCCACATGGTGGGAGGAGAGAATCTATTTCTGCAAGTTGTCCTGTGACCTCCACCTGTGTGCTGTGATATGCTTCATACACAACACAAATAAATGAAAATGTAATTTTAAAAAATGAATCATAAAGAGAATAATGAGGCTTGTAAGAACCAAGCTGTTAGTAAGTAACCAATAGATGTTGATCCATTTCTTTTTCCACATGTGCATATCATTTGCAGCTTACAGAGTACTTTAGATCAGTTTATATAATTTTTTGAGATAAGCACCAGGAAAAGGGTTGTGGTGTGTTAAGTAATTTGTTTAAAGTCATATAATAGTCACTCAGTTCAGTAACTGCTATGTGGGAAGACACTGTCCTGTGTAATCTATATGCAGTATCCTCAGTTCCCCCACACAGATGTTAAGATGCCTATTTTATAGATGGTTCAACCAAAACAGCTCCTGACTATTAAAGCAAAGAAAAACCCACATGGACCTTCTCATTATAAGTCCTACGTAGTTTCCATTTAAGTATTGAACAAATAGTAATAATGAACTATTTCTTAGCTTTGATAAGAAAATATTCAGAGTTTATACTGTCCTGACATGATATTAGATTCCACTTGTGTGCATTCTATGATTAAAGATCCTGAAAGAATGAGAGATAAATTGTAGAATGTAGTTAAGGTGTCTATTTCTGTTTGTCTTGGTTTCAAGTGTTTTGGGTACCTCGATATTCTAAAACAAGCAATGAGATTCTGTGGGGTCAAGACAAACCCTGTAGTCATGCAGAGTAACCCTTTCTCTGAGTCAATACTGAAAGAATCAGAATGAAGTTACTAAGAGCTGTTTCATTTATATTTCAAGTATGTTAGGACTAATGATTGAATGAAATAAATTTACTAGTTTTTTTTTTTTTTTTTTTTTTTTTTTTTAATGAGGCAGGGTCCCACATGTGGCTTTGGCTAGTCTGAAATTTACTGTGTAGACCTGGCTGGCTTCCAGCTCATAGAAATCAATCACTCTGTCTCTATCTCTATAGTACTGAGATTGAAGGTTTATATACCTGGCTGAATACATTTACTGTTACTTCTAAAGGTGTGTGTATGGTGTGTGTGTGTGTGTGTGTGTGTGTGTGTGTGTGTGTGACTGGCCGGCAAACTCAAGGTATCTACCTGTCTCCACTCCATGCTGGGATTGAAAGTACATACCTTGTCTGACATTTTTATATGGATTCTGGGAATTGGACCCAGATCCTTGAGCTTGTAAGTCAAGCAGTTTACCCACAAAACATCCTCTATACCCCATGAAAGTTGTTTTTCTTACCATATACTTAACATGCTAAATATTAAGTATAACCCCCTTTACTATACAGTACTTGTCATTCCTCTCTAAAACGCCTGTTCTGTTGGTGTTGGACTTGCTTCTCCTTCCTTATTAAGTATAGTAAGGAAGTGCCTGGCTTACTTCAAATTTTAAATTTTTCATCATATACCCTTTGACCTATTTCCAAAACCAAAATAGTGGAAACTATCTGAATATGTTGTAATTGTTTCTGATTAGATATGGCTGTGCTGGTGTTGGAAGTCATCACCAAACTTGATCATCTTCCGGTTGGCAGAGCTCAGATCAGTGGACTTGCCCAGCTGTCTCCAACCCATCAAATCAATGGATTTTTTACCATTGTTTCACCAGCATCTAAGAAACTTGGAGAACTTCAGGTAAAAATGTTCTAATTCTTTACTGCTGTCTTACCACTTTTCTCATTATTGTGACCAGATACCTGATATGAAGCAATTTAAGGCTTTATTTTGATTCCTGATTTGAGGGTACAGTTACTTGTGGGGAAGACATGGCAGCAGGAGCTTGAGGCTTCTTGCTCACATCTAGGAAGATTAGAAAGCAAAGATAGGACAGGAGCCCATGAACCTCAAGCCCCACCCCATGCTTCAACTCACTTTTGTTAGTGAGGCCCCACTCCGATAGGTTCCTCAACTTTCCAAAACAGCCTTACCAGCTGGGGACCAAGTGTTCAAACACAGGAGCCTGTGGGGGAACATTTCATGTTTGACCAAACAGTAACAACTGCAAAGACTAAAACCTGGGGACAGGAGTCGAGTCTTCTAGAATGGATAGGTCCGTGAGTCCCGTGTCTCATGCAGAATCCTTCCTTGTCCTTGCTCGTTCTGCACTTGCCTTGTTTCCTTTCTCTAAACCCAGCACCAGGAGACTTTCACACTCCTCTTGCGCTCTTCTTCTCTGCACTGTGCTGAATTCATAGGATTAATTGTGTCTTCGTTGTTCTAGTGCAGTAACCAGAATTGTTTATTGTGGGATCCCCATTTAGAGTCTAGACTCCTAAAGTGTGAGACTATATTTTCTTCCTTTGTTTTCTGCCAGTTCCTACTATAGTGCCCAGAAGCCTTTGTTTCAGTCATGTAAGTGCTGTCTTTAATATTGTCACTCACTGATCCAATTTGTATTTTTTATGTATATATTTTTTTATTGTTTTTATTGAGCTATACATTTTTCTCTGCTCCCCTCCCTTCCTCCTCCTCTTTTACCTTCTCCCACCAATTTGTATTTCTGATGCACTTTTATGTACCACTAATGCAGAGATAAGACACAGCTCTCTCATGCAGTTTTTTAGAACACAGTATGATATATACTATACTGTAGGTATGAGAGGGTTCTGTGAAGACCATAGATTCCTTTTCTCAGGAGACTCTGGGAGAGTTTCAGAATGAACACTTAACATTCACACTTTACAAATTCAGGAGACAAGTGAATTCTTCCAGAAGCCCTATGCTTCTTCCTGTAAGCAGCCTAAGATGACCTGTGAAGATGGTTCTCTACTCTCTTGACTCAGAAAGCCATAAAAAAAAAATCATGATGCTCAAATCTTCATGTTCACTTGATGGCCCAGGCCATCAAGAGTGTGCGTGTTTAAAAAGCCACCACATATCTGGCAAGTATCACATTAAAGAAGCCGTGTGTGTTGTTCCCACATTATAATGGTGGAGTCAGTAGGTGCAGCCAGGCCAAACAGTGGGGCTGGACACAGGGTCAGTGGCCCAAATAGAGTGCTGAAGTTTTGCTACACATGCTTAAGAATGGATAGCATGATGCTGAACTTAGGAGTTGGGTGTGGATTCTCATTAAACAAAGTGGTTCCTAGGTGTGCCATTGAACTTACAGAGCTCAGGCTGGATTAACCTATACATGAACTCACTGCCACAGTGAGATGACGACCCTCACTGAAAAGAAGCAAACTGTTCCAAAGCCAGAAAGGGAGGCTACACAGGAGAAAAAGATATCCCAGAAAAAAACTGAAGAAACTAAAACTTGTGGTATGGGAATAAATTTAGCATTAAATAAATACAACTAAAAATTTTAAAAATTCCATTGGTTTTATACCTTGTCAAATTTGCCCTAAAGTTAATACAAAAAATTAAATAAATAGGAAAAGAAACCAAGAAAAAGTAGGGAAAGAGCACTAACATTACCAGATACAGGAGTGCACCGCAGAAGCATACGTCATATGTCATGCAACAGAATATCAACTCCAAAAACCCTGCAACTAAAGGGAAGAGCTCAAGGATTTGTCACTGGAGTTGTGCCATTTTTATTTAGAAAGCAGTGCTGCCTTCCATTGATGACTGTATGGTGAAGTGAGGCTTATTTACTCATGTGTTTGTGCTGGTGTAGGATTTTGCATCCATTCTGCAAAATGCTAAACTTTATGTTTCAAAAGCCATAAAGGCGCTCTTCTGTGGGAGCACATTCTGCTCCTTCAGCCAATAGTGTTTAAGCCTTCAGCAGCACTCAGCTTTGTATACCTCAATCTTACGGAAATACTCCAAAAAGAGAAAGCTCTGCATCCTTGGGGCTGGTTATGGCAGTGTCTTCCCAGTACTAGAGAAATGAAGACAGGTTGTTCAACAGAATTAATTGTAGTTTGATGATGACAAAAGTGAATTTGGGTGGTACTACATGCATGCATATGATTGATGCCTAGGGAAAAATCAGGTGGTTATATGTGCATGCATGTGATTGATACCTAGGGAAAATCAGATGGTTATACATGTATGCATGTGATTGATACCTAGGGAAAATCAGATGGTACTACATGCATGCATATGATTGATGCCTAGGGAAAAATCAGGTGGTTCTACATGTATGCATATGATTGATGCCTAGGGAAAATTCAGATGGTACTACATGCATGCATATGATTGATGCCTAGGGAAAATTCAGATGGTACTACTTGCATGCATGTGATTGATGCCTAGGGAAAAATAAGGAATGATAATAGCAGTTGGAATATAGGATTCTTTGTGGCCTTTTGTGGTGGTGGTTTTATTTTTATGATCAAGATATAATTTGAAAATATGAAATCTACCCTTTTAAAGTATGTAGTTCAGTTTTTGTTTTGTTTGTTTTTTAAGTATAGTCACCAGATTATACAAGCCTTACTACTTTCTAATATCAGCACATTTCTTTCATTTCAAAACTCACTATTGTACCCATTATCAGCCATTCTTCCATGATCCTGGACATCCCCACCCCTCTCATCTCAGGCTACTTTCTGTCTTTTTATATTTCCTATCCCTGCCATTTCAAATATATAGAATAGTGTGTGCTTTTTTGACACTGTCTTCTTTCACTTAGCATAATATATTTAAGATATAAATATATTATAGCATATATTCCTTTTTGTGGGTGAAATATTTGATTGTATAGATAGATCTCATTTTGTTTATGATTTTTTTTGGTTCATGGGCATTGGATTTCTTAGTTTCTGTGAACAACTCGAAGTTTTTCGTGAACATGGGCTTTCAGTTCCCTTGGGCACATACGTGGGAGTAGAGTTGGTGGGTGATATGGCACTCTGTTTAACTTTTTGAGGAACTACTAAAGTTTTCCAAAATAGCTGTACTATTTTTTGACCATATTTAAATGTAATTTATGTAATAAGATTTTCAAATGTAAAGGTCATTGGATTTGAATTGTGTTTAGTAGAAGATTGAGACAGAAGTTAGACTCTGAAGATAAGGAGCAATTGCAGTGAGGTAGAAGCAGCAATTAGAATTTCCTTTCTCAGGACTGGAAATGTGGCTCAGTGGTTAACAATGCTTGCTGTTTTTCCAGAGGACCAGAATTCGGTTTCCAGCACCCATGTTGGGCAGCTCATAACTGCCTATAACTCTAGGCAGTTGTATTCTAGAGAATACAACACATCTGACATCTACAGGCACTTGCATTCACAATCACAGAACTATGCAAACATACAATTTTAAATAAAACAAATCTTTATAACAGAGATACATTTAAAAAAAGTATTTTTTAAAAAATGTCTTTTTTTCAGATAAGCAGCTGTGAAGGAAGGGTGTAGTAGTGTATAATGGAGAATATACAACTGGAGAGATTACTCAGTAGAGTACTTGCTGTGTAAACATGAGGAACCCATGTAAAAACCCAGACATGACTGCATACACTTGGAAACCCAGGATTGGGATGGAGTCACCCAGATCCCAGCCAGTCTTGCAGAAATGGAGAGCACCACCTTCAGTGATTGATTCTCAAAAGAATATGGTTTTTAAAAAAGTGATTGAGGAAGACATCCCTCGGTCAGTCTTAACCTGGACATATGTACACACATACTCAATCACAAGCAACTAGATGCAGAAAAAAGAACTTGGTTACCAAAATAATTTTCATGTTTACTAGATATAATTTATAGTTACTGAGCTTTGGTAACCCATTTGTAGATGACCCTAAGGCATTGTTGCCAGGATTAAATGAGAAGAAACTACAGAAACACTCTGTGTTCGGCTAGCCTACATTAGCAGCGCAGCAAACCACATGCATTTGAGAGGCTCTAAGCACAGTGAGTAATAGAATTGAGAAATTTAATTTATGAGAAAAGGGTTAGCCTAAGGCCCAGTGATTCCCATCTAGAGTTTGAGCTACAGAGGCTTCTTATATCTTCAAATGTAAAAGAAAATTATGCAAAATATTGTGGGGGTCTGGTGTGTTCAAAGAGGAAAGCAATAGGAGATGGAAAATAAGATAATTAATTGAGCCAGTAAGATTCTGAAGAGAATTTAATGGGGATACTTTCTTATCACGGGCACATAGAACATTACCACTCACTATTCTTACACATCTAAATAGTGTTTGCTACACACAGATCCAGCTGCATTTGGTGGGAGTTCTTTTCAAAATTTTACCGTCCTCAATAGGATTTATTCCATTTTTATCATGCATTTTTTTTCTACAGAATGGCTGTAGTTTGTTTCATAATCGTATTGACATAATGGTTTTGATATCACATTTTGTCCATATATTACCCACTATTATTATAAATTTCTCAAATCTCTTTTTCTTCCTTCATGGGCACAGAAAAATATTCCACTTGGTTTGCATACACACATTTATATATGTCATAAAAATAGAATCAGGGCTGTTTTGAAAGGGGTCTAGTAGGAGGAGGAAGGGGAACAGGAGTCTGTGGGGGGATATTGTCATAAAGTACATAATATATTTGAATTCAAGTGTTATTATCAGGGCTATGGGGACAGCTCAGTGGGCAAAGTGCATGCTGTGCAAGTATGAGGACCTGAATTCAGATCCAAAGAACCCATGTAAAGCTGGGCTTGTAGTGTATGTCTACAGTCAGTGTTCCTAAAGCACTGGGAGGCAGAGACAGAAGAATTCCAGAAGTTCATGCACCAGCTAGCCTGTCTGCACACTGGTGAAAACGAGACTCTCCAAAACAAGGTGGAAAGAAAGACCAGAACCCAAGATTGTCCTCTGACTTCAGTGCGGCACCACACCATGCACACCCGTGCCTCTCTCACACACAAGGCACACAAAGATGATTTAAAATGTCATTATGAAAACCATCACTGTGTACAATGAGTATATACTCATGTGAAAAAGAAACATAACACTTTCCTCGTGTCTCTACTGTAAGAAAGACAGCAGATTTCAGAACCCACAGACATTAAAGGAATGCCACAGTAACCCTACATGTTGAAATTTGGCAACCTAGATGAAATGCCCTGATTCTTTTGAAACTGAACCATAAGAACTCCCTGAAGAAGAAGAAATAGCCTGAATAGACCTGGTACTATTTGTAAAAATTGAATTTGCAGTTTTAGACCTGCCAAAAAAGAGAGCTCTAGGCCTAGATCACTTTATCAGCAAATTCCTCCAAACATTTAGGGGAGGAAAAAAAAATACCACCAATTTTATTGTCTCTTTCAGAAAAATTGAAAAGGAGAAGACATTATTCTGAGGCATGTAGCACTTTGATACCTAAACCAGAGAAGGAAAATACAGGAAAACTCCAGAACAGTATCCCTCATAAACCTAGACCTCAAATTCCCAAGAATATACCAGCAAACTGGGGCCAACACTGTACAGGAAGAATAATCCTGTTCCCAAGAGCTTTCCCCAGGAATGCAAAGCTCCTTCAGTATTTATTAAGTAACCAGTGTGGTAAGACATCAATCATGGTGTGCCAACCAGTAAAACACATTTGAGCACCACCACAGTGGAAGACTCCAGAGCTTCTAAACTAGATGATGGCATACTGTTATGAGCAGATGGTAGGGGTTGGCAGTAAGGAGGGCATAACTACAGAAGAATAAGGCAATTATTTGGATGATGGACCTGTTCCCTTTCTTGACTATGGCAGCATCCTCTCTCTCTCTCTCTCTTCCTCTCTCTCTCTCTCTCTTCCTCTCTCTCTCTCTCTCTCTCTCTCTCTCTCTGTGTGTGTGTGTGTGTGTGTGTGTTTAGTCATGAAATTACAGCTAGAAAATTTTCATTTTACTATAAGGAAATTTAAAAAAAAACAAGCAAACTAATAGCCCCAGGTGTAGCAACTGGATGCATATCCTGACCAAGTCACTGGTCTAATCTAGTTCAGTTTTGCTACATTAGAATGGGGATTCAGCTTTCGTGGATTTTCTTATTTTTCAAGAGAAGCCAGAGATACAAATTTGTATAGAAATATAATTTTAAAGCATTGATTAATCATTGTTTAAATGCTGTGTGGCCTAGCATAAATCTGAAAATTATACATTAGATGCCACAGATATAAGTAGAAAACTGTAGGCAACTTAGTACCAAAGATACCTTGAGTCATTGCTAGAAGGCAGATGAGCATCCTTAGTATTACTCTGTTATACATGGGAGACACATATGGTATATTTATGGTTTATGTGGATGGTGTGGGCTTCAGGAGAGAGTGATATATTTAGATGGCAGAATGTGATCTGGAGATAGAACAACAATAGCAGCAAATACTGTTAGTTCCCTTATCCTGACAAATGAAAATTGTTTTCATTGGATAAAACTTTGGGTCCATGAAGACATTTTAAGGGAGAAATCTCCAGCTTAAAAAGTAAAATAGTTTGTATAACATAGTAAAATCTGGTTGGAAATATAGCTTGTGCTTAACATGCATGAGGCCCATATTCAGCTCCCAGCATGGGAGACAGGCAGGCAGACAGAGACAGACACTGACTCATTAATGGCCCTGATGGAGAAGTGGACACAGAGAGAACATAGCTGGGGAGGGGCAGAGTGGAAGTGTAGATGGATGCAGTACTGTATTAAGAACACTGAGAGGCAGAGGGCTTAGGAGTCAAGCCCAAAGGTAACCAGTTGATTGGTTGATCTGTTAATGTGTCCAAATTTAGATGTTTTTCCTTAGTCTGCAATGTTTTATTTACCTCATCCCCAGTTAGCTTCATCTGACTTCATGCCTAGTATTTTCTGCTTAGTCATTTGTGTTCCTCTTCTGGAAAGTCGTCCCTGCCTCTTCCGTCACCGCTTTCCTGAGCTTGGTTCTCTCCCTGGGATTCCCACATTACCCAGTACACATTCTGGGTTCCCTGTAAGATCTGTGATCCTGGAACAGAGTCTGTTTTAGTCATTGCTCTGCCCCAGCAGTTAGCATAGCTCTGGTGTCAACAGATGAACTAGGCCAGCCTTAAGTTTGAGGCAGAAAATGCAAGATTTTTTTCTCTGAGCCTTTCTCCACTATTGAAAGTCTCAGCAGGCTTCTAAGTTGGACTTTACTAGTTCAACTCTGCTTAGGGAAAAGCAAGCCTCACTGGCGATTCAATAAGTCCAAACTAAGGGCAGGGGCACTTTTATTCCAATGCTTCCTCTGCTTCTGAAGTGCAGTGGTCGTGCTTGGTAAGTGACAACTGGGGCAGCCCGGATTGTAGGCAACACTGTTGCAGTGAGCACATAGTACTCAGACACGCAGGGTGTTTAAGTCTTGATTTGGTTCATGGTCAGAATTCTCAGTAAGATCTAGGTTTGGTTTGAGTTTATGGATTGGCAGTTTCTCTACACAAAATGTTCATTGACCTTTAAAAGATATCTGAAAAACTATTTTTTCATTTCTGTGTTGCGTCATTCATCATTGATAGTCTGTGACTGCTTAAACAGTTTCTCCTCCTCGTTCTGTCATTGAAGCTAAACTTCTCAATAATGTTATTTTTTTCCCCTTCTGAGGTATATTCTTTAGTTTTGTTTCATTCCCCTAGGAGGTTTTTCCTAGTTGGACTTTTCAGAGGACTGAATAATTTTTTGTTTTGTTTTGTTTCTTCGAGACAGGGTTTCTCTGTAGCTTTGTAACCTGTCCTGGAACTAGCTCTTGTAGACCAGGCTGGCCTCATCTGCCTGCTTCTGCCTCCCGAGTTCTGGGATTAAAGGCGGGTGCCACCAACACCCAGCAATTTTTTTTTAAAAGAGGAAAACGTAGGGACAGAGGGACAAGTCAGTGTGTGTGTGTGTGCGCACAGGCATGCACACCACAGTGTGTGTGAAGATCAGAAGACAACTCTTGAGAGCTGTTGAGACAGCTCTCTCCCTCTACCTCTCCATGGGTTCCAGGCTGGCTGCTCAGCAAGTGCCTTTCCCCACTGAATCATCTCACTGGTACTGAAGAAAGTTTTTAATAGTGTACTTCAACTCACAGGAGTGAAATTGTAGAGAACTTTGCCTTCTCTTTGGAGACCAGGTCTTGCTGTGTAAGTTCCCCAAGTCCAAGACTCAAAGGCTCCTTCTGCCTTTCCCCACCCCCAGAGCTGGACTACAACAAGCAAGAGCTCATCTCAACCAGCAGAAACTTAGTTTCTCCTCATAGTGTTTGTCACATTTTATGTCCAGCATGACAATAAGGACTTTTTTTTTGTCCCAGACAACAAACATAAGAATGTGTCATAAGATACCATGTCATTCGTCTATCAGAACCATATATGTGGTTCTGTGCTACCCAGTCTATAAAAAACTAAAGAATGTGGTTTGTGCCTTCAAAGGATTCATAATATGTTTGTGTGATTGATAAATAAGTGGTGCAAATATGTTCTCTAAACCTTGTCTTTGGAGATAGACTCTCACCAGGTAGCCTGGACTGACTGGGGAGTCATAATTTTCCTGCCTTCACACCCTAAGTGCTGGTATTACTAGGCATACATCACCACATCTGGCCTCTGCTTTTTCCTTAATCTCACAGTTATGAGAATATAAATTCCTGACGAAGTTGTGACATCACTGCAGTGATCTGAATGGGGAATACAGCACATTCCTGGCCTATAGTAAAGTGTTCATAAGTAGTGATTATATTGGTGGGTAGACAGAGTAAGGGGCATCATGAGAAAGGCAATGACCTTGATATCTTTATCTAGACATAAGAAAATCAAGGCCGGAATAAAGGTGCAAAGCTGTGAATATAGGGCATTGGTCTGTCTCACACAAAGGGATGAAGCATAGTGAGAGAGGTTTTTGAAGTCGTCAGAAAGCTAGGCCTACTCTTGTGAGGAACAGGTAGACATTAACTTTTGTCAGGCAGGGATTTCTTACAGTTATTTACTGGAGGCTGAAGAAAATCTATTCTGTTTCATGCTCTTTCAGGTCTCACTTGCCCTGGAACCTCTGTCAGATACTTACGACAGCTATAAGCCTCTTCCTACCACTGACATGACAGAAAATGTGCTTTTATCTGAGCGAGGACTCCGAGAGAATACTGAATTCAGTAACACTCTATCTATGATTCCATCAGTATCTTGTGGGGAACCTGCCATCAAAACTGAAGGAAAAGAATTAGCAGGCAGCAGCAGTAGATCAGCCACACCAAGGTAACACTCATGTCTCCAAGTCTCTGCGTCTGCTCTCACTGTCCTATTGAACAACTGAACAGTGACACACAATCATTCATTAAACAGACAGCTCTTATGCACCCACTGCTGTCCAGGACACCAGACACTGGCACAGAAATAATCAAGACACAATTCCTGGGGCTGAAGAGGTGTGCCCCAAATTATAGCAGTTGCAAAACCCCTACAAGTCCTGTTTTGAAGGACTGCTCACAGTCCAGTAGAGAAGTCAGTGTGCACATACGACTAAAGTTTACAGTTGTCGTGATACATGGGAGGGGAAAGGGCATTATTTTGTGAAATAGAATAGAGTATGAGAAACAGATTTTTGTCTTAAGTAATTACCTGTGAAGTAATCTGCATTGTATGAAACTGTGTAGATACACACACTCCCTTTCCCTGTGTGGTAATCTCTGTTTTGTATCACTTAAATTATAACCCACAATTGTGGTAAAGGTCTATTATTCCTTTAATTGAGGAGATTAAAAGCAGATATATAAAATCACAATGCAAAAAAACAAAAACAAAACTTCTCACAAGGCCCTAGCTACAGTGTCCTTGTGGATCTCCTAGCTCTGACAAGGTGGAATATTTCCAAGACAGGGTATGAGCTGTTGACTCTTTCTTTCTAACAGGGGGAAGGACCACTTGTACTTTGCAGAGAACCCCAATGCAGTAAAGAGTTCTTTGTGTGGACTACAGCATCACCTTAATTCAGAGCCAAGTTTAGAGACTGTATTGCTGAGAGGCAAAGCCCCACAGAAGCAGATGTCCCTCCTTAACAGTAATGAATTTCAGCCACAAATTAATACAGTCACCAAGAGTCACAGTGACTCATTCATCCTGTCTTCAAACAACCCCCCTACAAAGGACCTTCTTTCAGGTATGTATCTATCTGTGACCTAAGGCTTCACTGTATTTATTGTGATTACTCTGCTTGTTAGCCCGCCCACAAAGGAAAGCAAGACTTCTCTGTGAACCGAATAGCCAAATAAAAGTGTGAGACTTGATGCCATCCAGAGTCTTATGTAAAGGCAGCTCTACTAAACTTCTAGATGACTACTAATTAGATGTTTTTACTTTAAATTAGTATATGACAATTGTGTTTGTGGGGTATAGTATGTTCAGTGTGCATATACAGTAGGTAATGATCATATCAGGTTACATCTATCATCTCAGACACTTATCTTTTGTGTTAGAAACATTTAAAATGTCCTTTATGGAGTTGGTAAGATAGCTCAGCTTCTCCCGCCAAGCCTTGCTGTGCTGAATGTGATTTCCCCTCCCCCCACATGGTGAAAGAAAGAATTGACTCCTGCCGGTTGTCCTCTGACTTCCACACATACAGGTGGCGTGTACTGACCTCCCACTCCACTGCATGCACACACACACCATAGTAATGTCCTTTATTAGCTATTCTACAACATTCAGTTGTCAGTCACAGTTATTCTGTGATGCTAGAGAACACTAGAAATTATTCCTTTTTATCAGCTGCACCCCTGTCCCCACTGGCCATCCCCCCCCCCTTCCCCATTTTTGTTAATTTTTTATTGTCTGTTTAGGGATCATCTTTCAAGCTTCCACAAATAGATGATAGGAAATTTGTCTTTCTGTGCTTTATTTCCCTTAATGATGTCCTCTAGGAACATACTATTTGTTCATGTGCACCTAAGAACTTCTAAATTAGATTGCTACATTGCATGTTTGGATATGAGGGTAAAGCTTTTCTTATAGAAATGTATTAGTCCTTACCTGTCCCAAATAATTTAAGGCAGCTAGAATAGTACCAAATTCATTTCACATTCTAAAAACTGTTATTCTTCACAGGGACATTTAGTGTGATAGCATAAAGTGATCTTTATTGCTTAAAACTGGGAGTTAAATTCTATTTTAATATTTACAGTACTACAGAATACACAAAGTAGAAGTCTGCTCATTTGTATGTTACTTTTCTCAGTTCTGTGATCAAGTATACCTGATAACGTTTGTATTGGATTATGGTTTAAGAAGGAATACTGTCCATCATGGCACTAGGAACACGAAACAGTAGATTGCATTGGTTCTGCAACAGGAAGTGGGGTCAAGGCTATAGAAGGTCAAGATCTGCCCTTAGTGGTCCACTTTGTCCAGCAAGGAAGGCTCCATTCCAAGTTCCACCACCTTCCACCAGCTGGTGACCAAGTGTTCAAGCACACGAGCAAGCATTAGGAAGACATTCACATTCAAACCACGATAAAAGGCGAGTGGGTGCAGCCTGTATTGCTTCAGGTCAGGGAACGCTATGCTGTTATTATTTCTGTGACATCAGGAGCATGTCAGGAATGTCTATCCACTCCCACTAATAATATTTCCAAAGGAGTATCTGTACCATTTATTATATTATTATATAATATTATATATAACATATGTTATTATAGAAACACTACTTGTTGTATGCTATTATGTGGTCTTGTATAGTTTGTGATGATAGGGAATAGACCCAGGACTTTCTGCATACGTAACATACACTCTACTAATGAGCTATGTTGTTCATATCTTTTATCTGAAATGTCTTAGGAATCCTAGTTTTTAAAAATGTACCCTAGGGCTAGATGGTGATAGCACATGCCATTAATTTCAGCAATCAGGAGGAAAGGCAGGAGATATCTGTGAGTTCAAGGCCAGCCTAGTCTACAGAGTGAGTTCCAGGACAGCCAGGGATATACAGGGGAACCCTGAGTTGAAAAAAAAAAAACCAAATAAAAATATATGTGTGTTTGTCTGTCTTTGTGTGTATCTGAGTTCGATCCCTGAAACTCACATAAAGGTAGAAGGAGAGAACTAACTTGCCCTCTGACCTCCACATGCCCACCATTGCCACTATGGTCTGCACTCACACATATGCACCACATGTATACACACAATAATAATAAATACATTATACCCACATGCACACACACACATGCATACACACTCTAAGATTATGAGCCATTGACTTTTAATTTAAAGAGCCCTTTGACAAGGAAGAAAATTGTCTACAACACTTAACACTTCATCAGCTTCTGCCAGGACTCTTGTATGTACTTGCGCTTCAGGCTTTGAGGAAGGTATTTATTTGGTTATTAAGAAGGTATTTATCCAACACCTACCAAATGTCTGGTGCTTTTCTATATATTAGGGATGTAGCAGTTTTAAATTTTCTTTAAAAAGAGTCTGTCTTAGGAATCTGCTATTCTAGATGGGAAGACAAGCTGGATCAATAAGTACTATATGTTAGAGGGTGGTAATGGCAATGGAGGTAAATTAAGAAAGGAAGATGAGAGGAGAGGATGCTAGTTTTTTATAAATCGGCAAAGTAAGATCTTGTTAAGAAAGTAACAAATGGTGCTGGAAAGATGGCTCAGAGGTTAAGAGCACTGGCTGCTCTTCCATAGGTTCTAAGTTCAGTTCCCAGCAACCACATGGTGGCTCACAACAATGTGGCTCACAACGATCTTTAATGAGATCTGTTACCCTCTTCTGACATTCGGCATACATGTAGGCAGCATACTATATACATGAAGGAGGGAGGGAGGGAGAAAAGAAAAAAAGGAAAGAAGGAAGGAAGGCAAAGAAAGATAGGAAGGAAGGAAGGAAGAGAGAGAGAGAAAGGAAAGAAAGGAAGGAAGGAAGAAAGGCTCTAAAGGGGTCTAGACGCCTAACTCAGTAGTAGGACAGTTGCCTAGCATATGTGAGGCCCCACAAGCACCATAAGAAAGAAAACAAAAGGATGCAAGTTCCTTCTAAGGAGAGTCCCAGGAAAAAAGAACACCAGGAAAAATTTAGCCTGAAGGAAACAGCTGCCACCCACTGAGTGTCACTAAGTTACATATTCGTTCCTTGCCAAGTATTTTACACAGAATCTTATCACATAAGGTGATAAGAGATGGTTAACCTCACTTAATATTTTTTGCATGTATTTATTTGTGTTCGTGTGATTTGTGAGTGCAGGCACACGAATGCTATGGCACATGTGTGAAGGTCAGAAAACAACTTGTAAGAGTTGGTTCTGTCTTCCAACCATGATGGTTCTGGGGATCAAACTCAGATAGTTAGGTAGCTCAGCAAGTACCCTTTCCACTGGGCCAGCCTCATTTTAAAATGAAAACATGAATAGTTAAGGAACTCCTGCCCTGTCAAAAATGGCAGACTCCTCTCAGCTTCAGTTCATCGCTGCCTTAGGCTTTAAGGCTAAGACCCTCTGCTTCATCTTACTATGGATTATTATCTACGTGGGCCTACCTGTGTGTGTGTTTTTTTTAAGTTAAGACTATGTTAAACAACTATTCAAGCCAAGCAAAATAGACCAGGCACAACCCATGGCATAGATTGCTAGTATGCCTTTCCATAAGAGTTACTAGGATAAATGGATTTAAAGATGAAATAAATCTAGGTGGTGGTGGCGCACTCGGGAGGCAGAGGCAGGTGGATCTTTTGGAGTTTGAAGGCCAGGCTGATCTACATAGTGAATTCCAGTATAACCAGAGCTACGTAGTGAGACCCTGTCTGGGAGAGGAAGAGGAATAAGAGGAGGAGCAAAGTAGAAGAAATAAGACAAAGTGTGGCTCAGTGTGATAGTCCAGTGTACAGTAATAGGAGAGGAACCCTTCTGCAACTGTAAATTGCCAGGAATGGACTAGATGCCTTCTGATAGTCCTCTAACGTATTTGATTCAGTGATCAAATATACAGTTGGATATGATTTTTTTAATAGGGCTTAATAGCCGAGGCTGGCCTCAGACTTACTATGTAGCTAAGAATGATCTTGAATACTTTGTTCACCTGCCTTAGATTATAGACTTGTGCCACCACACATGACATGGATGTGGTCTTTAAATGTCCCTTCCAGCTGTATGCTTCTGAGAGACTAAATATCAAGTCTGGATTGATGTCACTAAATAATGATCCTCCCAGTTTTTGCTGTACTATGTTACACCAGCAAAGAGGGTGTACAGAGCCAAGTCAGTCAGCTCAGCTGGGGTTTCTGAAATACCAACTACACCTTGTACCTAAGAAAACTTTAGAATGAATCAAAGAGAGTCGGGAAACACCAAAAGCGCTATATACTCCTTTAACACAGTGGATCTCAACCTTCCTGATGCTGTGTGTGACCCTTTAGTGCAGTCCTCATGCTGTGCTGACAGCCCAAACCACAAGATTATTTTCATTGCTACTTCATAACTGTAATTTTGCTACTTTTATGAACCATAATGTAAATCTCTGTGTTTCCTGATGGTCATAGGTGACCTCTGTGAAAGGATCATTTGACCCCCAAAGGTGTTGACCCCACAGGTTGAGAACTACTGCTTTAACAGGTCTGTGCCCATGGCATCTAGGAAATCAGTATGGGACCGTTGTCCTGAGTGCCATGTTACTGTGGGAAAGAGTCCTTAAGATGAAGTACAGGCAGTTGTTGAGACCAGCTTCTCAAGAGCTCCAGACATTCCTATTGTCAAGCTGGAAGCTTTGAGACCATTTTTCAGAGGGTGACTTTTTCCACAGTGAAACCAATTCAAGGCCAATATGTGAAGAATTTGAGCCCTGATTCCTCTTCCTTGTTTACCCTAATATTTATTTCTTTTTTACAATCTACCTCAGGAAAGTATGTAGGTAACCACTGCCATCCAGGTATCTGTGACTGAGTAAATTATTCTTGATTGTTGACATTCTCAGAGAAATTTTTATACTCACAGAAGAAAAAATAAGCTCAATTCAAATATCAGAAAGCAAAAATAAGGGGAATTGAGGAAATCAGAAGGTACAGTAAGATATTAATAACTAATGAAATAATTATGATTTGGTACATTAAAGTTGTCGGTACCACTGTTCTCATGCGTTGGGGCATTTATTAGGTAAAGTAAGGGTCACTTGTAACAACAGTAAAAATAGACTTATCACAGTGGTAAATCTAAGAAATGAAATGGCAGTTGTGAGTCAAGCAGGTAGAATATGCAGTGTAATCAACAGTAGATAAAGGGCTGTTTTATGTTCAGAACAGAGCAGAATAGATTAGGATTTCATCACACTAGTCAGAATAGCACACAAATTTAAACTTAGGGAGTATATATTCTCCATTTAATGTTTTTGATTGAAATTTCAGAAAGTGAAACCACTGACAAGAGGGTACTTACAGTGCAATACAGGTATCATATGTGTGTCTTGAACAGGTTACTCATCTTCTCAGAAGAATGTTGAGAAGATCCGGTGAGTTAATACACATAAAATAGTGAGAGCAATGCCTGCCAATGGTTAGGGGTTAATAAATGCCCATTGCTGTTGTTACTTCTGTTATTATCTAAGGGATGGGGCAACTTTTACCTATCAAAAAATCGGAAGCCTTGGGTTTCATCTGTTTTTCCATTATCCTGCCGTGGGACCTTAGATGAGTCATGGACTTCAGTTTGACATTTTTCATTCATAAAAGTATAAATTTAGAATAGATTGTTACAGGTATGACTGGTTTTCAGAAGTTTAGGTAGCAGTTTAGTTGCCAGTATTTTGGGGGTAGAAATATTGAAACTCTTATAAATAAGAGAGTCAGAATAAGGTATCTGGTTATGAAAGTGAATCTCATAGGCCTCATTAACCTCATTATGGGCAGACAGCAGTTGGGAGAGTTGGGAGGCTGGGACACAACAGCTCCCACAATAAGATCAGTCTCTCTGGGATAGAGCGTTCACTCATTGATGTGACATCTAACCACATGGTAGAAGCCCAGTAAACAACAGTTGTTAAGTGAACATCCTCAAGGAATTCTCCGACTTATGGAAGAACAGACACAAAGGCCACTGCAGAACCTTGTGGCAAGTCACCCATAGGAGAACAGGTATTGTGAATACTAGAACCCTTCCTGCTGGATTTCAGATGCTTTCATTTTCTGTTCCTACTGCCTTCAGCTCTGTTAGAACAAGGCGATAAACTGAGGAATGCCATGCTGATTTCTGCAATGAACTCGAGCCCAGATACTAGCATGCTGCTGAACAAAGCTCCTCCTCCTGTGCTGGAAGATGCTTTCAGATCCTCAGTGCCGTAAGTTAGTGACAAACACACACCCCTGTAGCTCATTTCTTCAGTTGTTGATTTACCTTGCTTTTTGTTGTTATGAATGGGATAATCTTGGAAATGTTCAGCAAATAATTCTTTTTTTTTTTTTCAACCTGGGTGGTGGTGGTGCACATCTTTAATCCCAGCACTGGAGAGGCAGAGGCAGGTGATTCTCTGAGTTTGAGGCCAGCCTGGTCTACAGAATGAGTTCCAGGATATCTAGGGCTACTCAGAAAAATCCTTTCTCAAAAAAAAATTAATAATAATAATAATTCTTTTTCTTTAAATTTATTTTTATTTCATTTGAATTGGTGTTTTGCCTGTTTGTACGTCTGTATGAGGATGTCTGATTCCCCTTGAACTGGAGTTACAGACAGCTTTGAGCTGCCATGTGGGTGCTGGAACTTGAAGTTGGATCCTTTGGAAGAGCAGCAAGTACTGCTGAACCATCTCTCCAGCCTCTCAGTAAATAATTCTTAATGTGGTGAGACTACAATAGAAGGTACTTAGAATCTAACACCTAACATTGGTGCTTGCTAAATATATAAATGGATAAATTCTTCACTCTCTAAACTGGAATGCTTATATATGAAATGAAGATATTTTTTTCTCACTTCAGAAATGAAATGAGATTCTGGTGTTGGGAAGAAATTTGTACAGTGAAAAGTTTTATAGACATTTAAGGGAGAGAAGCCTAAAAATGTCAAATTTTCTAAGTCAGACTAGTACCTTCTCTTTCTTAGCTTGATTAGGATTTAAATTTTTCCCATCTGTTAGCCATTCATGACAGAGTATTTTTCACACCTTGGAACTAGGAATTCACTTAAAAATCAATTTAAAGACCACAGTGGTGACCACCTCCTCCCCTTGACTGAGAACATGTTTTGTCAAGATGACATAAAAGTGGACACCAGAGCCATACAGCTGCTGTTAGGCAGGTAAGTGCTTTTATCTAGCTTTCTTCCATTTAAAACTTCTTTCAATTCATTGAGTACTTTGTTAGTAATACTTCCTTGGCCTGAGTCCTCCCCTTGTCCTTAAACTAGGGCTGTTTGCCTATTAAGTAAAGAACCAGTGTACAGCCCTTCCTTCTAGCTTTGCTCACAGAATGGCCCACAGCCCACCTCTCTGTCCGTGCCTCCCCATTGTCATCATCTGTGTTAGCTGCTGTGATGAAGAGAGCATGACTTTTAACTAGAGTCAAGGTGAAAGTTGAAGTTTTGCTTAGCAGTTACTTCAGCTTGGAAAAATTTTGGAAGTTTTTTTTTTGCAAACTGCAAAATTTCAGTGAGGTTGAGAAATTATGTATATAAAGGAGTTAGCATGGTGTTAGCACATAGAAGTTTGGTTAATTAGTAATTAATTGTGAATATTGTTAACACGTGCACTAAAAACAGACTCATGTATTGTCTCTTGAAGAACTACTATAAACAGTACTGTCTTGATATGTTACACATGTTACATATACACAAGAAACATTTTTAAGAATGCACAACTTACTTAAGGTTTTTTTTGGGGGGGGTTGTTTGTTTGTTTTTTAAGAGGGTGTCTAATGTAGCTCAAGGTTGCCTTGAGCTTGCTATGTGCTATGTAACTGAGAATGACATTGAGCCCTGACCTCCTGCCACTGCCTCCCAAGTGCTGGCACTGTAGGCATGCACCACCATGCCTGGCTTTTGCGCTTAGTTTAATTTGATTAAAATTTAAACTTACAGGAAAGTGGCAACAGATGTAACCTTTTGGTCCTTGTATCACCAATAGGACTTTGACTATTACATTAAAGAACTTGAACTTCATACTAAAAATCTAAAAATGGGGTGGATATCAAAATAATCTGAGTGGAAGAGTAAAAAGATCAACCTGCTCACACTAAGAAATAGGAACGCATTTCCTTCCCAGTGGAGGTGGGAAGAGAAGAAATTAAAGTCAGATCACAGGCTTGTATAATATCAGTTGTAGAAAAAGGCAGAGAGCCAGGTGGTGGTGGTGCACACCTTTAATCCCAGCACTCGGGAGACAGAGGCAGGTGGATTTCTGAGTTCGAGGCTAGCGTCATCTACAGAGTAAGTTCCAGGTTAGGCTCCAAAGCTACAGGGAAACCCTGTCTCAAAAAACCAAACAACAAAGTTCCAGTTTGTGGTGTTTCAACCTCTTTTACTTGACCGTAATGACTGCCGCCTGGCCTGGAAGGTAGTGTGGCTGTCGGTGTGCTTAGGAGTCAAGACGGAAGATAAAATAAGTCCATGGGATGATGAACTGCCCCTCTAACTTCAAGCCCCTTGTTCCTTCTTGACCGAAATATAAATCCTCATTTCAGTGTAAGACAATGCTGGAACTTTGTTGTTTGATTTTCTTTTACTCCAGTCACGTGTAGGAACACCAAAATATTGTTTATTTTACTCTTTTGGCTCTTTGGTTCTTTACTCTTTTGGGGGGCCCACCACCTAGTACCCAAAATCCACATGGAGGCTTAATCTTACTTACGAATCTCCAGCCTTAGCTTGGCTTGTTTGTAGCCAGAGTTACTTAAATTATCTTGTCTACCAATCGCCTCTGGACTTTTTCGTTTTCTTCTGTATATCTTACTTTCACTTGCTCAATGGGTGGCTGGCCCCGTGCGTCCTCCCCTCTTTGTTCTCTTGCTCCTTCCTTGGTTCTCCTTCTATTTATACTCCCTTCTGGCCAGCCGCCTGTCCTTTCTCCTGCCTCGCTGTTGGCCATTCACCTCTTTATTAGGACCATCAGGTGTTTTAGACAGGCAAAGAATTACAGCTTCACAGAGTTAAACAAATGCAGCTTCAACAAAAACAACACATCTTTACATGGTTAAACAAATGTTCTAGAGCATAAAGAAACGTAACACACCTTTAAATAATATTCTACAACAGAACTTACTCAAAACATCCAGCTCTGCCCAATTGTTTTATGATGAAGCCAGTTATTAAGGCCTTCCTGGCTCAACTTGTGTTTTGAACTTCTAGTCAACATTTCAGGGCCTGGATTTGAAGACATGAGAAGGCCTCCAACATGTACAGAAAACAAGAGTCAGTATAACATTTAGAAGAGAAAGAGAAGGGGAACAGTTGCGGAATGTTTAACAAAAAGAGAAAATATGAAAATAAAGTTTAAAATTAAGACCATTTTCAGCATATTCAACATCTAGATAACTATAATTTCAGAAATTATGTTTAAGAAAAATAAAGAAATAGTGCTGAGAGTGCTTAAGGCTGAGAAACAGACAAAATTTAGCAATACAGTAAATCATAAGCAAGTTAATTAATTAAAATAAATCATAGTTGCAAAAAAAAACAGTACAGAGGACTACATACTGAACAGTAGAGATCTCTGTAAATCTGTATGCAGAGTAGGTTCAGGTAGCAAACAGCTAGGATGGACAGCATAAACCCTAAATAAAGCTATATATGGGGCTGGAGTGATGGCTAAGCCGTTAAAAGCACTTGCTACTGTTGCAACCTGTGTTGCTCCTAGCACCTACATGGTAACTCAGCCATCTGTAAGGAAGGGTCCAGAGAACAAGTACACATTAGGTACTGTCTTAATTAGGGTTTTGTTGCTGTGAAGAGACACTGTGACCATGGAAGCTCTTAATTGGGGGTGGCTTACAATGTCAGAGGTTTAGTCCATTATTGTCATGGCAGGAAGCATGGTAGCATGCAGGTAGACATGGTGCTATGGCGGTAACTGAGACTTGTACATCTGGATCAGCAGCAGCAGGAAAAACAAGTCACACTTCCTCCAACAATAGTGCCATTCCCTATGAGCTCATGGGGGCCATTTTTAGTCAAACCACCACAGGTGAAAATACATGCATGCAGGTAAACACTCATAAAATTTTTTACAAATACATATTTTTTTAAAAAGATGTTATATAAATGAATACCAAGAATATTTTCAAAAAAGGGGGCAGTTTTTGTTAGCGAGATATCTCAGCAGATAAAGACACTTGGCACCAAGTCTGACAACCTGAGTTCTATCCCTGGAGCCCATGTGGTAGGAGAGAATCATTCTTACAAGTTATCCCATGCATGGAAATGATCTTTCTCTCTCTCTCCCCACCTCTCGCTCCTCTAAGTAAAGGAAATAAAACTAAAAAGTTTTGAAGTAATATACAAACATTGTCTCATTTGAAGGTAATGATTGTGCACTTTTTTTTGTAGAAATTAACAAGAATGATAGCTAGATTGAAAAAGAAGCTGAGAAATAATAAATTAATACATGAGTCAGTGATGAGCATATGGTATTTAATAATATTATTGCTTTATTAGTAATGGATGTTCATTTAAATATTGTTCAGTTCACTAACATTAAGTATTAGTTACTATAAGAGAAAAATAAGCTGAATTTTTCCTTATAGTATGAGTTACTTACATTTGTACTTCCTCAGTTTATAAACTTGTACTATTTATTTGTTTTTGTTTGTTTGTTTTGTTTCTCGAGACAGAGTTTCTTTGTGTAGACTTGGCTGTCCTTGAATTCAATGTGTAGACCAGGCTGACTTTAAATTCACAGAGCTTACCTAGTTTTATAACCAATGTAAAATTAATCATGTCATAATAATTCCAAAATACATGTGTTTGTTTAATTGAAGAAGCCGATTTTGTGAATTAGCTCTTTTTTTCACAAAAACATTTACTTTAAAAAAAAAGTGATAGTTACTATTTTTTTTTTCTCCCAACTAGAGCACGGGTACCACAAGGAGCACAGCTGGACCTAGGTTAGGTTAGCCATTTCTGTAGCAACCATAGCACATAATAGGTAGCCAGCAGACACTTGCTGAGAACACAATGCTTGTCAGTCAGTAGTGGGTTTTGAGTCCTAATTGACATCATCCCAAGAGGGGCAAAATTGAGTTGGAAAAGGACACCAGTAGTTTGTGGAGAGTGAGTCCTTCTTTCGCTGTTAGGAAGTTTTGCCAGAGGTTGGGGGTGGAGGTGGGGGAAGTGGGTGATAGTTCCACCATTAAAATCTTTGCCTTTGTTTTTCTTGTCTCCAGTGCTGAATTATCCCAGGGTCTTTTCTGGAATGGATTAGGATCTCCTCCAGACTCCCCATCTCCTGGGAGTGATGTGTACTGCAGCAGTGACCTGAATGACCCTCAGTATGACCAGAGTCTCCTGGAGAACTTGTTTTACACAGCACCCGTAAGTCATCGCATCTGAAGCTCTGCAAATCGGGGAACGCAGCATTAGCAGTACTCACAGGAAGCTGTTCATTTTACATACAGCTTATTTAATAATGATGACAGCTAGAGAAGAAAGTATTAGTTACAGAAAAGAGACAGGCCTAGTGACACTTTATTTTGTCCCAAGAATACGTAGCAAGTGTCATAGCCAGAATCACATTCAGATTTAACCGCGTCCAGAACCTTTGTTGCAGTGTGTCATATGGCTTTGTTGGAGCTAATACGGGCATGCTTCGGAGCCTGCTCAGTGTCTATTCAAAAAAGTCTAGAAACATTTCTACTCACAGGTGGCATAACCCTCTTTGGGCTTGTAAAACAGGGAATTCTTTTCAGGCAGTTCTGCCTTATTCCAGCCTTTTTATGTCAAGCTGTTTGAGGAGTTGCTGGTTTAGCATCTTCTAGACCAATGGTTCTCACCCTGTGGCTTGCAGCCTCTTTGGGGTCATAGCAGATATTTACATTATATCGGTAGCAAAGTTACAGTTATGAAGTAGCAATGAAAATAATTTTATGGTGGGGGTCATCACAACATGAAGAACTTCATTAAAGGGTCATGGCATTAGGAACCACTGTTCTAGATGCTATAAATAGTGAGTTAGTCGCTTTTCACAAGTAATCCTGGAGATTGTTATCATACTCCTCAAATAATTGTTTGTTACCATACAAAATACCTGCGGTAGGCTAAGAGAGATTTATGTGGCTCATAGTTCAGAAGGTGGAAAGTCTAAACAGCACTCTCAAAGCTCTGAGAAAGATCCCTGTGGCTACCCCATCTCATGGCATGTATGAAAGAGGGATCACATCACCAAACAAGAAGTCATGGGAACCGAGGTCTCATCATCATCTCATCCTAAGAACTTTTCCTAACAGAACTGAGGATCTCTTTCCATGAGGCCTGACATCTTAATGGTCACTGAGGGCCAAGCTTTCAACATGAAAAGCTTTTAGAGGACACACTCTAATCATGTTCAGACCATCACACTTCTGATTTTCCCTTTTTCTATGCCAGGAAAAAAAGTGCCTGAAACACAAGGTAGTTTATTCTGGCCTGGTAGTAAGTTGGGGAGGGCTGCCAAAGTTGAGATAAAATGGGGAAAATTACATGATATTGTCAAGCAGGAGCATAAGCAGGCATAAAAGGTTTTAACAGACTTGAGAGTTTTGAAAGGCAGAGAAATGGGCTGTCTTAAAGCAACTTGGTGAGGAAAAGACATATTTCAGCTTACAGCTCACAACTTACATCTTCTATCACTGAGGGACATCAGAACAGGAACTCAAACAGGGACAATGGAGGAACACCACTTCCTGACTTGTTTCTCATGGTTCCTTCAGCCTGCCTTTCTATACAACCTAGAACCACCTTGTAGTGGTTGCCTGAGCCCTCCCACTTCAATCATTAATCAGGAAAATGCCCTAGAGGCCAATCACAGAATAACTGACCAGCACATGGGTATAGAAAGGACCTATGTAGGAAACAAAAAGGATGTTGGAAATACACTTTTTTTTTTCTAAGTGGTGCTGGTGATTAAACCTAGGGCTTTGTGTGTGTGAGGCTCTACCACTTGGCTGTAGTCCAAGTCCGAGAAAAGTGTGTTTAAGTACTGCAAGGAATCCAATTAAGTAAATGAGAGTTTTTCAAGAGAATAGGGAATTTAGCACTGGCCTAATGTATGCAAGGCCTTGAGTTTGAGACCCAACACAGGGAGGAAAATTAGCTTGTAGAATAGACTGGCACACTGTGACCAGACTGAGAAGCTTTACATGGCAGTTGAGGTGAAAATGACAGGGTTTTAACCAAATGGGGAGCAGAATTACAGGGCAAGCAGTTCAAAGCAGAAACAAAGCTTTTGGGGTCTAGAGAGAGACAGAGAGAGACAGAGAGAGACAGAGCAAAAGGTGGATGTAGCATCAAGAAAAAGAGAGCTTGAATTTGAAAGAGTCTAGCTGTTAGGATCCCAGGACTTCCTGCCTCAGCAGTCATCACTGGTAATTGTGTTACATGTGGGATAAAGAAGAAAGGGTCTCTTTACTTCACACTTTCTTAACCAGTGTCCTATGTGCTAAGGCCTTTACATGTTGTTCTTCCAGTAATCATGAACTGTGCCAAATGTTTTTAATTCATTACTTCAGTTTAATTCTTTTACTAGACCCATGAAACAGTATTTTCTCTGCCTTACATACCATGAAAAAACAGTTTATATAGTTAAATACAAGGAATTTAAATACTTAGACGTTAAATACAAGGAAGCTGGTCTGTGGTGATACACACCTGTAATTCCAGCACTTGGGAGTCTGCGGCAGGATCCAGGGTTCTAGGCCTGCCTGGTTAAAAAGCAAATTCAAGGCTGCATAGTCAAGCTCGGCTTTAAAAATAAAAACGTTGTAAGCTGTTGAGTGGCAGAACTGGAACCCTTGTCCAAAACTTCTGGCAGCATACCTGTGTTCTTTTGCTGTCCCGTTCTTTAAAGCTCTAAGCGTGGCTTTGGAACTCCACCCGGCTTCCCTCGCTCATCTTCCGGTTTGGCCTTTACTCATTGGCATCTCCATGCTGGCATCCCATCCCTCCTCAAACACCTCAGCTGCTCTTGTACCTCCCTACTTCCTCTTTCTGATCCTTCTGTGTGAATGTAGAACTGTTTTTAGCCATCTAGTAAACTGCATTCTTCAAAAGGCCCTCTATGAGGAAACCATCCTGACTCTCCCAAGAATGTCTTATACATAACCTTTATTGTGCATCTTTGGTGCAGTTCTTCATAAACAGGTGTGTGTACCATTGTTATTAACCATACAGCAAAGACAGTGAATAAATGAATGTTCAAAGGGCACTAAATAATCCCCCCATGCTATGCGAGCAGAATAACTTCAGAAAGTGTTGATGCAGACAGTGAACCAGTTGATCGTGAATCATCAGGAAGATCAGGGGTTTAACTTGTTCATGTTCTGCTCCAGAGACAATGTTTGACATTTCTGATATTGGGTACTAAATCATCACCGCTTAGAAATGCTTGCAGTATTATTGCTGTTTGGTTCGGATTCCTGGAATTCCAAGCCCAGTTTAATAACCCAATTTGTATTTGCCCTAATTTATTTTAACCTATAAATCTACTTATATTTTGTGTTGTTGGAAGCCCCTTGTTCGTTTTCTAGCTTCCCAGACTCCTGAAATAATCACACAGAAACTGTATTATTCATAATACTGTTTGGCCAATGACTTAAGCATATTGCTAGCTATTCTTAAATTCTAAACTAACTTATCTCCATTAATCTATGCAGTACCTCGAGGTCATGACCTACCAATAAAGTTTTGGTAGGCTGCAGAGGCGTGCCCCCGCCCCCCACCTAGCTCTGTTCTGCTAAGCCACTGGCCAAAACAGATTTATTCATTAACCAATAAAAGCAACACATAGACAGAAGGACTTCCCACACCAGATTTTGGTTGTCTTTCATCTGACCATTTTTATTATAATGTTTGTTTTGTTTTGAGTCAAAATCCCATTATGTATCCCTGGCTGCCTGGTACTCACTATATAGACCATCATGGCTTTGAGCTCCACCTACCTTTGCTTCCCAAGTGCTAGAATTAAAGGTGTCTGTCACTATGCCAGGCTTCTGTATTCATTTTGAAAAGCAGCCATCAAAGGAAAACCTATGATCAAAAAGCTTTCTACTTTGATCTTTGAGTAAATTTGTCCTCCTTATCATGGGTCAACAAACTATGTGCCTAAAAATGCTGAAGATGGAAACGGGAGGAGACAGACTTGAGTAACACATTGTGAACACATTGTGTGTTAGATACTGTTTGCCCTTTACAGTCTGAAGCCAAATAGTCATAATGCCACCTCCTCTGTTTATTTTGCATTTTGTAATACATGAGGCCAATTTAATCAGTTACAGTAGATGCCTTTTCTCAAAAATAAAATTGAGGGGTTTTTTTTAGCTGATTTCTTCTTGAAGACAATTTGTGAAATAGTCATTAATTTTTAAAAGCAAATTTAAAAACAGAATGAATAATTTAGAGCATGGATAATGGAGGCAAAGACAGTCTTTGCACCCAGCTAGGTGACATTGTAACAACCATTCTGCCTCAAACTATGGTAGAAAGACAGACTTCAAAAATCATAGAAATCAAAATGTGGGTTCCCCTCTTAGAGCTGGGAATCACAAACAAACTTCCTGGTGTTTTCTACCTGTAAAGACAAGACAAGGCACCTGGTAGGAACATGCTGCATACTTGGCTACATGTCCAACTCCTAGCACAATACTGAACACAGCGGACAGTCAGTCCAGTGGTCTCCCTGAGCACTTTCCTGTCTTCTTGTTTACTCTGAATGGACTTAGAGCTTATCTTTGAACTGCAGATTGTTCTTGTATAGCCGGGATCAAGATGGACTATATCCCTGCTGCCATTTATCTCTTTAACAGAATGTTGTCTTTGAAAAGAAATTGCTGCTTGCTTTGGGAGAAACAGTGTAATTGCTTCCCCTGAAGTTAGCATCTTTCAATGCCATACCTTCTGTTTATCTTCCCCTAGAAATCTGAAGTCAGCGCCAGTGACTTCCTCAGTGAGGATGAGAACATGGAACCTTCTAAAACAATGAACCAGTCCAAAGCCTCCGGCAGATCTAAGGTGGCAGGGTCAAGTGAGCACAAGCTGAAGAAGAGGGCAGCTGGCAAGAAAAGCAGGTGAGGCTCATGAATGCTGAATGCAGGCTAAAGTGGAGCAGGAGCATTGTCGCAAGGGAAATAGCCTGGATTTGGCCAAGCCTGCAGAAGTGCTTACGTTATGACAGCTCATTTAAGGATTTCAACCCTAAAATGCACAGCTCAGCAGGCAGAGTTAGGTGGAGCTCTGTGAGTTCAAAGCCAACCAGGTCTACGTATTGAGTCCTAGGACACCCAGAACTACATAGAGAAACCCTGTCTCAAAAAGTTAAATAAATAACAAAATAAAAGGTGATGCTTGACAAGATGGGTTATGAAGAAAGCAGAATAGTGGGTGGTGGTATGTCTGCTGTGATCATACCTGTATGGCAAATGTGAAGAGGAACACACAAAATGGCATGGTAATGAGATTAGGATAGTGGGTAAACTAGAAGAAGTTACACTTCCCTTCTAGAAAAATCTTATTCTTTAACACCCATTCCTATACTTGTATGGATATAAATCTTACAGTTAAAGAATATTTTTACATAATTTTAGATGAGAACCAGATCTGATCATAAATGCTGTTTCCAATCCCAGCATGGAAGTTAGAATCAGGAGAATGGGGGAACGGTGTTCAGGCCATCTTGGACAACATAGTGAGACATTGTCTCAAACTAAAACAGAGCTGTTCCTACTTACCTTTGAAAAGAAATACTCACTGCTTGACCTCTTTCCTCCTGTGCAACTGGATTGTTCCCAGTGGGTCTCTAACTCATGCCTACCTGTCTGTGAACTTACAGAAGTATGGTTGACGAACAAGTGTTCTCAGGACATACCCCAGCGACATCACTAAGTGTGGATAGACTGGCACTTCTGGGTAGAATACATTCTGTCAGAATCATCATTGAAACAATGGGCGTCCCTCCAGATAGTCCCCATGTGACACAAAACAGAAAAAGCTTTGCCGGGAAACCACCAAAGCCAGCAGCAGCAACAGCAGCAGCAAAAAAGCGGTATGTCTAAATAGGAAAGCTGAATGGTTCTTGGGGAAAGTGTGGCTGATAATAGGAAGGGTATAACTGTTTTTGATTTCTTTTCATGTATATTTTCAATCAGTAAATTGATTCGAAGTTCCCAAGAATGAGGGTAAATTTAGAGTAAAGAAAGCTGGGGTAGATGCCGTTTTTTCAGCCCTTACAGCAAAAGACACAGGCACCTAAGATGGTTATCTGTAGCATAACACCTCAGGGGCCAGAGAGATCGCTTACATTGGAAATACTGCGGGTGCTCTCAGAAACAAGCTCCATCCTACCTGGCAGATGGTAAAAGACTTGAAGAATGAGCTCTAACTGACCTCTGAGGCCATGCAGTCCTGGAAATAGGAACTTCAAAGATAGAGAGACAGAAAATAAATCTACTTTTTGTTTGGTTTGGTTTTAGATTTTTTTCTTTTTATGTGTATGGGTGCTTTGCCTGTATGTGTACCACATGTGTACGTGATGCCCAAGGAGGTCAGAAGGGAGGAGAGCACTGGACTCCTGTGGGTGCTGGGAACCTAAGCTGGGTCCACTGCAAGAGCAGCAAGTCCTCTTAACTGCTGAGCCACCTCTCTAGCCCTTATTTTGTTTGTTTTTAATCAGTTTTTTCCCCTTCCAGCACTTTCTTTGTGGAGTATCACTTTCCTGTGGGCTTTTCCAGAAGTGGACCGGGAAAGACAGCTTTGATCACTGAGGTTGTGCGACTTGCCTCCAGTAAGGTCGCAGATGGAGGTAAAAAGCGAGCTGGTTTTCTGCTGATCACTGCCTCTGACCAGACTGCTAGAATTAGAAGTGTGTGCCACCACCCATGGCTTGGTTTTTGCTTTTTAAAATGGTCTCACTATATAGACTAGACTGACCTGAAACTTTAGTCATCCTGCCGTTGTTTTCCAAGTGCTGGGATTTCAGGAGTGTGCCACATGCCTAGAAGGCACTGTTTATAGTAATGTCTTAGGGTTACTATTGCTGTGATAAAACACCATGACCAAAAGAAGTTGGGGGGTGGGAGGGTTTATTTGGCTTATATGTCCATGTCTTAGTCCATCATCAAAGGAAGTCAGGACAGGAACTTAAACAGGGCAGGAACCTGGAGGCAGGAGCTCATGCAGAGTGGCTTGCTCCCCATGGCTTGCTCAGCCTGCCTTTTTATAGAGCTCAGGACCACCTGCCCAGGAGTGAACCTACCTACAATGGACTGGGTTCACCCCATCAATCAGTAATTAAGAAACGACTTACAGGCTTGCCTACAGCCCTATCATACTGAGTCACTTTCTCAGTTGAAGGTCCCTTCTGTCCAGTGACTATAACTTATATTAAATTTACATAAAACTAGTCAGCACAAGTGTAAAATGTTTTGTTTTTTATGTAATTGATTTTATCTAATTTTTCTAATTTTTTTCTTTTGATTTATTTATTTATTTATTCATTTATTTATTCGAGACAGGGTTTCTTTGTAGCTTTTGGAGCCTATCCTGGAACTAGCTCTTGTAGACCAGGCTGTCAAACTCACAGAGATCTGCCTGCTTCTGCTGGGATTATAGGCGTGCACCATCAGATTGCAGTAGAATTCAGTCTGTTCATTAAGAACTACTACTATACCCAGAGTCTTTCTATTTGCCCCTCAGTTGACTTCCTAGTATCCAGAAGAGGTAAAAGTATTATCCTTTTCCTGGGTACAGCAGCCAGAGAAATTGATCCCCTGGTGACTCTTAGTTCCTGGGCACAGGCCTTTTTGTGGGTGAAGATCCACATTCTGCTTAAGAGTAATGAGAAGGCTAGAGTCAAGAATTGAGATTGCCAGAAACAAACAGAGAAGAGTAGGTCAAATCTGGTGATTTGAATGAATGAATGTTCAGTACCAGATTCTCTACATAACTCGACTGTTGGTGAGCATTCTGCAAACCTATTAAAGATGCTCAGAAATGAATGGCCAGGAACATCATCTTTCAGGTGACATGTAACTGAAGTAATAGGACTGAAGTAAGCTCATCTTTGATTTGATTCTCAGATTTCTTATTTCATAGATAAAGCTCCATTACCAATGACCACAAACTAAATACTGCTATCACTTCATCCTGTTTACAGTAGAGATTCCTGTCTGCTCAGAAGGCCTCAACTCCACCTGATATGACTAACTAGCATGAGTAGTTGATACTCTTTCTGAATGACAGCCTGAATGTCTTGTCCGTTAGCCAGAAAATTTGTTTGCTTTTATTATTGGAATTTTAAGTATTGTTCTTCTATAAATTCATTTTCCCCTCATCTTCCCTCTAGCTAATCTCCTTTTTCTGTTGAGCCACCTGATTTTCAAAAACAGTCATGTTTGCCAGGCCATAGTAGCACACACCAAGCAGGCAGATCCCTGTGCATTCCAAGCCAGCCAAGTCTACAAGTAAAACCTGATCTCAAAATAAATAAACATTTTAAAAATCACAGTGTCTTGACCGCAGTGAAATTATGTGGGTAAATCTCCTTTTATATCCTGGTTCACCTTTGATGGTCTTTCTCATAGCAGATCTAAACAGTAGAACCCGCTTATCTTCTGCTACTATACCCAGCTTTTCTTCTTGTCTCTTCCTACAGCCTTTGACTTTATAGTCACACTGAATTCCTGCATGAATGTGAGAAGGGCAGGTGGAGTCAAAGCATGTATTAATGATGGCTGTGGTTGGTTGTGTGACATGTGACTGTTTCCCGGTTCTCTTTCACAGTGGTGAAATTCCAGCAGCGATTTGTGTGTCCAATAGAGTTTGGTGGCCCAATGATAGAGCACTGGTGGAATTCTAACCTCACCTTCCAAATTTATGCAAAGAAAGCCCCACAGAAAAAGGTAAGTTATTTGAGCTTTATACCAGGCATTTTCCTAGATAAACGAGATTTCTGGGTTCAAATAATACAAATGTTACTATGCTAAATACTCTCTGCCAATACACTGTCAAATCTAATAATTATACCAGCTTTGTGAATTTAGTATTTTACCACCTTCATTTCCTAGAAGACGAACGTGTCTGAGATTCCCACTCTAACAAGCAGAGCCAGAGCAGCATGCAAGTTCTTGGTCTGCTCTGTTGATATGTGACACCCCCGCCCCACAATGGGTCATGACCCATAGGTTGAGAACCACTGCTTTAGATGTTTAGTTGTTTCTAGGTATTAACTACTTTTAACACATGCAATTTGTGTATAGTTTTTAATATGTTGTTGTTTTTCTAGTGTAAATTCCAGAAATGGAATCACTGGAGCAAAAAATACAAAGCTGCTCATAGTAACTGCCAAATCTCCTATATGAAGACATGTTGGTGGTTTATTTTCCAGCCTGTTCAAATGACAGCTTTGTTGTCTCAATAGCATATCACGTGTGACTTCCTCAGTCTTACAACATTAGTCAAAGAACCTTACTGTAGAAAAACTAAATTTTAATAGAGAAAGATGCTTTTTGTGGCTTATAAAATCCTCTGTAATCTATATTTTCTAGGGGAAATTAATGAAATCCAAAAGGGAAAGTAAAAACTGGCAGGATATGGTGTTGACTGAGGTTTCTGTCCCTCCCACTCCCACAGCTGTTAAGTCCCAAAGAATTACACAGAGATCTACATTAATTATAAACTGATTGGCCTATTAGCTCAGGCTTCTTATTAACTCTTATAACTTATATTAGCCCTTAAGTCTTGCCTGTGTTAGCCACGTGGCTTGGTACCTTTTTCAGCGAGGCTGTCACATCTTACTTGCTCTGTGTCTGCAGGCTGAGCTTTGCTTTTTCCAGAATCTCCTGTACTCATTGCCCTGACTACACTTCCTCCCTGGTTGTCCCGCCTATACTTCCTGCCTGGCTAATGGCCAATCAGTGTTTTAATGAAAAATAATACAAGTGATAGGATAAAAGACCATTGTCCCACAGCAATATGGTGGTAGCATTATTGGTCACATCAGAGTGGAGCTTTGTACTTCATAAAGCACTATTCTCTCACAAGCCGCCATAGGCTGTCACTTCAGTTAAAGTCCCCCGTGGCTCCTTCTTAAACTTTTTCTTTCCTTATTCTATCAGCCAGAAGCCATTGGATCTGCATCTCTTCCTTTGCGAGCTGTCATTCAGTCCGAGCTGCTTTCTTTCAGTAACCAGCTTCCAGTGCAGCAGGAACATGGTTTGTCTGCACTTGGCCCCCTCCAGGTATGTGGGTGTACATCCAGAAAGTCAGGGCTATCTCCTGAGCATAATATATAGCTGCAAACTGAAAATGAAGGGCTCTGCAGTTGGGAGGCTTCTGTTGAAGAGCAAGAGTGCCTTGAAGGCAGTAAGTACGAACAGTAACGCCTGGGAGGAAGCAGGAGATGGGCAGACGAGCCTCTCTGAGGAGCCAATGTCTGAGGTGATAGCTGAAGAAAAAGAGAAAAAAGTAAAAGCACATATAAAAGCCCTAAGGATTGTTACCGCGGGATAGCAAGCAAGAGTCAAATGGTAGAAAACAGAGTTATACACACTGGTAAGAGTGAAATTCAGATCCTTTTAGGTCAAGGCAGTGTTTATTTAAATTTTGGCCTTGTGACCCCAGGAAAAGATGTCAAAACATTAGAGTGACATCTTATTTTCATTTAAAATACTGCTATGTAGGGAGTGACAGGGAAATGAAAACACTGAAACATTGGCTCTGAGAAGATGCTGGGTGACGACTTAGACCAGATTTCTGGTGTGCCTGCTGGCATGAATTCTGAGGTGTCTTAGAGAAAGAGACCTTGTCCAGTGTTAGCAGCTTCAAGATGTCTTGGGTAGCAGGATTCGCATATGTGAATTCCATACAGCTTTGTATGATATCACATTAGGTGTTCTGGTTTGAGTTTTGAGACAACTTTCACTATGTAGTCCCGGCTGGCCTGGAGCTCACTATGTAGTACAAGCTTCCATTCAAACCTGAGTCCTCCTGCCTGTTGGCCTCCTAAACACTGACCACCATTCCCAACTCTAGTTTTTCAGATTTTGAAATTTCCATACTCATGCCCTAAAATATTCTCTTTGTTCCTAATGGCCCAAAGGATAAAGTCCAAGGCTTCAGTGTATTACCTTCTTCGTGCCTCACTGCCAGTAGCCAAGTCAGTCAAATCCAATACAGGCATGTCTAGCCTGTGCCCAACAGGTTCATGATCCAACACAAAACAATAAACTTCCTTAAAACATATGGTAAACTTACTTAAAAAATTAGTAAACTTAAACATGGGAGGCTCTGTTTATTTATCTGTTGTTTGTGTTTGCATTGTATCTGTTACTCATCTGCATGATTCTCAGTCATGATCCTATAGATGTCAACCCCCTGTGGTGTTGGTGAAAGGTTGGACATGAATCACTGAAGTGCCACGCTGGTTCATGCCACTGTTCCCAAACCCACCTTATTTTTGAAAAAATGCTCCCCGTGTAGCTCAGGTCGACCTGAAATTAATCATCCTCATCCAAGTTTTATTTTTCACCTGCTTGGTCCATTCTTGAGTACAAAGTTTAAAGTCTTCAAAGGATAATAAATCGGATCAATGAGCTTGAAATTGTTTCTGTCCTTGCCCTACACCAGTGATTCTCAACCTGTGGGTCATGACCCCTTTACAGGGGTCACAGATCATATATATATCCTGCATATCAGATATTTATATTGCAATTCATAACAGTAGCAAAATTACAGTTATGAAGTAGCAATGAAAATAATTTATGGTGTAGGGCCACCACACCACGAGGAACTGTGTTAAAGGGAAGGTTGAGAACCACTGCTCTACATGGTGGGAACTGAGAAGTACTAGACAAGATTGACACTTGATTAAGAGAAAGAACTTGGCTATGGAAAACAAATTTCAGAGAAAAGCAATATGCAATTCATTCTTCTATTAACTAGTGACCACTTCTGTTCTTCCCAATCATTTCTTATCCTGCTGCCTCTGCTTGCTTTTTTTTTTTTTAATTGAGGCAGGGTCTCATTGTAGCTGGCTTGGAACTCACCCCCCCACACTTTCTCTTCTCCCTCCATATCTGCATAAATATGTAGTGTAAATGTACACAAATATGTAGTGTAAATGTACACACATGAACATTTTCTGAACTATTTGAGAATAAGTTATATCAAACCTGTTCCTATCTAAGTCCCTTCATGTGGATTCCATGTATTTCCTGAAAAGAATATCATATCATACATAGTACTCGAGCTTAAAAAATCAGCTTAGCATGAGTGATCTACAATCTATACTAATTTTACCATTTGTGTCAATACTTTATTTTTTCCTTTATAGTAGTTTTTTCTAATGTTTTTATTTCTTTCTAATTCCCTTTAAACTGAAAGGGTTCTTTAGCCCTTCCTATTTTAATATTTTAGTAATTTTTAAGATAAGCCAGTTATTTATTTTGTAGACTGCCCCTCTACTGGTTTACCTAAATATTTTTTATTTTGTTTCATTTTTTGAAAGAGGCCTTCAATATATAGTCTAAAATTCTTGATCCTTTACTTCAGCCTCCCCAAGTCCAGGAATGACAGATGTGCTCTAACTAACTCAGCCTCAATCATGGTTTTAGGATAATTATAAAATGGCAGTTTCTTTTCTGTTGTTGTTTTTGAGATAAGATCTCACTATGTAGTCCTGGCTGTCCTGGAACTCACTATGTAGACTAGACTGACCTCGAACTCACAAGGCGTCTGCCTGCCTCTGCTTCTCAACTGCTAGGGCAACACTTGGCTTAAAATGGTGAGTTCTGGCTTCATGTTCCTTGTGCTTTATATTTTTATTTTTATCCAGTTTTGGGGGAAAAAAAGGTGTGGAATTGGAGCTTTATGCCCATTATGTACTTACTCTACCACAGAGGTATCCAGCTCTATGAGCATTTATTGATGGACATTGTTCTGTATAATGGTAAAGAGAAGTTAATTTTGCACTGGTGTGAACTGACAGATTCTTACCTTATTCACTAGGCTATATGATCTGTGTCAATTATACATGTCTCCATCCTTTTCTTAGCATTTCCTTATTTTCCCTTACAAAGTGATTTTACAGGTCATCATAATTGGTAAATAATCTGCCTGGATCCTCTTAGTCTGGGAGGTTGACGTATATGTCTGTTAGTATTTGAGGATGGATGAATGTATTCTTAAGTTTGCTGTCAGCTCCAGAATTCTGATTCTAGTTCTATGAGATATTCTCACTGACTCTTCTCCTTTTGTCTTCTAGGTCACCATGGAGCTTGTTTTAGGCAACAAGGATTTCACTGGTGTCAGTGCTAAGTTAAGCAGCAGCACCCAACACACTCCACGTTCTGCTGCTACCGGTCCAGATATGGCACGAAAAACACTCCAGGAGATGACCTGCACCCAAAACCCACAGAACTCAAATCAAATTCATGAGGACACTGCAAGGAAAATACAAAATTTAGTGCTTCCTAACCCGAAGTCAGCAAACCCTGTATCCTCAAATTCTCCAGACGCCATGACTGTGCCGCATCACAGCTTAGTGCATCAAACCAATGGGTCAAGCAGAGAAAGTGCCTTACTGTTACATGTGCTGTTGATGGTGCCAGACGGGAAAGGCTTTGTTTCTGGGGAGCCGGAGAAACCACCATGCAATGTGTACTTAAAGTGCAAGCTCTTCCGCACAGAGGAAGTCATCACGTCTGCCATCTCGTGGGGCACGGCACAGCCTGTCTTTAATTTTTCTCAGGTAGCTTTGTATGTTTCTTGTCCATTTGTGGTTTGTGGGGGCAGGAGACAGATGTATCTTAAGTGTACTCTGCATCCTGGAAGAAGCTTTGGCAGCTGTCTGGTGTGCTCTGTTGTCGTAGGACTGATGGTGCGCAAAGTTTTGATCTCTGCTTGTTTCTGTTGTCTCTGTTTGCCCAATTTCTAGATTCTCTTCCTTTCTGCTTCTTTTAAACGTATCAAGTAAAATCTCAACTCCCCAGCTTTCTCGTGTCTCTAAGTTCTTCAGTTTTTTTAGTTACGTATTTCCTCTCTTTTATTCTCTATTTTAATATCCATCTCTTGATTCTTCTGTAGAATTTAGTTCTTTAGTGCTGATGCGTTTTTTTTTTTTTTTTTATGACACTGATGATTGAACCTAAGACCTTGTGCGTGTTAGGCAAGTCCTATACCACTGAGCTACACCCACAGCAAGCCACTCTGGTTTTTTTCCTGACTTAGCAGCTGATCGCTTTCAGTCTTAAGACCAAGAGAAAACCTAACTTATCTTCCTTGGGAAGGGTTGAGTACGTTTGGCAGGCAGCCTTCCATTGGGAAAAGGTGGAGGCTGCAGCACACTCCCCTTCCTCCTTCTCTAGCTTTAAGTGTTAGGCTCCCACAATTAGAATTCTAGTCTCTCTGTTCTCCTGTGGACACATGGATTCCCACAGCTTCATCTTCATTCTGTGAAGGTAACTTCCAAATCGATACTTCGGTGTAAGTCAGACATTTCCCTCCAGGGTCAGCTCTCTGACTGTTGGCTGGACATCAGCACCTGGGTGTGTCTATAGCATCTTTACACTAGCATTGCCTAGCCTGTACCAGATATTCTGTAAGAATGTGCAAATAAGAATTCAAAGCTGTCCTCCCACTTGGGGTCCTTCAATTGGTGGCCTCTCGCCACCACTATTAATTTAATGGAGCTGCTCTTAACCGTTAATCCGTAGTTCAACTACCGGCTAGCTTTGTCTAGAATAGTTTTAAATGAAAAATCCAGATGAATAGCTGGCTTTGCTATTTTTTATGACACATGTTAAACAGAGGGGATTTTTGGGTTTTTTATTTGTTTTATTAAGTGTTGTCTAGGCACTGGATTGGCAACCCTTTGATAAAGGGTTCAAAGCTCTTTCTCCAGGCTGGAGAGATGACTCTTGATAAGAATGTGCAGTTTTCTTACAGAGGATCTGAGTTTGGTTCCTGGCACCCACATCAGGCAGCCTCCGTGCATATACCCAAACACTGACAATACACACATACACTTAATTAAAAATAACATGTCTTCCAGCAGGATTTAAAAGTGATCACTTTACCTTAGGAAAGGTTGGGTGAGTTTGGTAGGCACCATATTTGACATACCTGACAACTTGCCCTGTGTCCCTTCATGGGCCCTGTCATCAGAGAGAACCCCTACTGGCTGGTAGCTGTCTTTTGTATGTGTTGGTCTCTTACAGCAGACTGTGTTTCTGTGAGGATACAGACTGGATTGTATTTTAATAACTTCAGCATAGTACTATGTGTACATATGGGCTTTCAGTCAATACTTGTTGAGTAAAAAAAGTACTAATTAATTTTTTCAGTGTTGGAAATTCTTTTTCCTGATTGTTCTTCCCAGGTGATTCCGGTTTCGCTGTCTTCCAGATACCTGGAAAGACTTAAGAACAATGTGATGATAATTGAAACTTGGAACAAGGTGCGGAGCCCAGGACAGGACAAGCTGCTCGGGCTGGTGAAACTCCCTCTCCATCAGTTTTACATGTCATTCAAGTAAATAGGAGTACTCTTTATTCTTCATCTCTAACTTCATATAGACTGAAGATGAATTCTTTGAATGTACAAGCTTGAGTAGAATCTCCCAAAAGCCTTTCTTAGGTTCACAAACTTTCAGCTCTTTGTTCTTTTGTAAAGCTGACACACAGACCCTACTTTTCTCAGTTTCGGGAGTTTGTTAAGAGCCTTAGGACTTTAAAGCATTTGACTTCATAGCAACCTCTGATGCATGTGTAGAAGAGTGAATAGAAATTCAGAGGAGTTAATTATGTGCTGCATACATTGTAAGAGTAGAACCAGGCTTATAACTAGATAGCCTGGCCCTGGGGTCCACTACTCAAAAACTCTACTGCCAGAGGTAGCCTTCCTGCTAATGGTTGGCTTCTCCATCATGAATGTCAATGTGTTCTCAAGATTTCTGTAACAAGTTAACAAGTTGAGATTTGCTAACTATATGTACATCTCTTTAATAACTAGTCAAACCCTAATTAACTTGGTTACTTCTAATCTACAAACTTCCTTTTCTGTTTGATTCAAAGGGCAGATTTTTAATTGCTTTAGCACTAAGCATGGCTCTGTTGTAAATTTTACAGTCAATACTTCTTTGTGCATTATCTCACTTGAGCTTCAGTGTAACCTCATGAAGTATTATCATGGTTCTTATTTTACAAATGAAGAAAGTTGTCCTGTAACTTTGAGAGTTCATTGTCTCTGGCTTCTTTTCCCTCATCTCTAAAATGGAGATGATACTGGATCCACTTTCTCACTTGTGGAGCAGTCGTGAGGATCTAGTGAGAAAATGCATGGGTTTGCCTTGCAGGAATAGATAGGTCAGTATTTATGATGGTAACTTTGAACATGACAAGGCTGAGGAATGCTGCTGAAACCATGGGTGTCAATATCTGTTCTAGCCTTTCAGCTCACTACCACCACTGCTAATACACACACACACCACACATCACACCCACACACATCAACTCTTTTTAGTTGTGAAATTCATCTGATCTGTTATCCTCCCTTCGCTTCCCTTCTTATTCCAGTAGATCCTATCCTTTGCTGATCAAGTACAAAACAGTAGTGAGCATTTACTGTGTACCAAGTACCTTAGTTGACTTTTTATATGAGTTGTCTCAGTTTAGTCCTAACAACTGTTTTATAGAATACTCATAGCCGATGTTTTACAGATAAGAAATCAGACTGTAAAAAGTTAAACTGATGATTTAAGCCTATATAGCAAGTAAGTGACAGCACCAGGAGCCAGCCTGGTAAAAGAAAATTATTTGGGTTTAGAATCAGATAGTTCAGGACTGGAGGTATAACTCAGTGGTAGAACAGTATGATGATAAATAAGGGGCTTGGGAGGTAACTCAGCTGGCACAGTGCTTGCTGCAAAAGCATGAGGACCTCAATTCTCTTCTCGGTACCATTGCATGCATCTGTAAACCCAGCACTGTGTGGGTAGAAGCAGGGGAATCCTGGAGTTTCCTGACTAGCCAGTCTTTGCCAGATTGATGCTTCAGGTTCAGTAAGCGACCTTATTTCAAAATAATATCAATCAAGAAAAACCTTGACAACAATCTCCAGGTTCCATGTGCACGTGCAGACATATGTGCACACTCCCAAGTTACACATGCACATACATAAATTAGTTAAAGCTAAAAAATAATCAGAAGAGTCAATAGTTGAATCCCAGTTCAACTTGAATCCCTGCTGGCCGTGTAGCCTTAGCTAAGTTACTTAACCTTTTGAATAAGATTTTCTTACCTGTTAATAATGGTTAATACCAACTTTTGCAGTGTAAATGGGTTAAAACACTTTGAAATGCTTAATGCTTCTGTGTGGTTAATGATTACTAAATATCATTGGTACTGTTATTGAGATCTTACCTTTCAGACTGTGAGATCTACCTTTCTTAGTTGACCACATGGACTGTATAAAATAATGAAATTCAGCAAGTTTCCTCTGAATTACTGTTCCATTGCAGACAGTGGGCTTGGCACCACCATGGCACAAAGATAACCTGGACTCATTCCTAGCCCTGTACTTACTGCAAACTGAATTTTCCTGCCTTGTAATTTTAGTTTGGTTACTAACAGAATCATATTTTTAAAAGCACTAATTTATTTTTCTGGTTATCAAGCCATTTCTGACAAACTGAGAAAATAAGCCAAGTAAGCAAGTCTGATATGACTGATAGTTGCTATTTGCTCATTCACAATGTCTCTTACTCCCTAGAGATCCCAAGATTTCTCGCCTGCTGCTTGATGCCAGGTACCCAGTTGTTGCTGTCGACAGCTATATGCCTGTGATTGATGTGTTCTCAGGCCACCAAAATGGGAGCCTTCGAGTCTTTTTAGCCATGGGTTCTTCAGATCAGATAATGATGCTGCAAAGATTAAAGAATGAAGAAGGAACGTTCCCTCCCTTCAGCCCTAGGCCAGCCCATTTCCTGGACCAGTCGCCTGTAGCATCTGTTCCTATGGTAATGACCTAACTTTATGGTTCACAGAAAACTGTCTCATTTTCTCTTACACATTTGAGTGAAACCATTACCCAGTGAAAGGCTCCAGTAAACAGTATAACTTGCACTTACTTTATACTTACTTGTACTTGATTTTGTATGGGGAAGGTATGTATGTGCATGCTCACATTATTTGTGTAAGTGCATGTGTGTAAGTGCCAGTACTTAAACTCAGGTGTCATTCTTCAGGAGCCCTCCTTTCAGGCGTGTGTGTGTGTGTGTGTGTGTGTGTGTGTGTGTGTGTGTTTGGTGTATATGTATTTGGGTATGTGCACATGTGTGTACAGGTGGAGGCCAGAGGCCAGCACTGACTGTTCTCTATTGCTCTCTATCTTAATTTTTTTAATAATATTTTCATCTTATATGTAAGATGTTTCAATTGTATATACATATACATCTATATACCATGTGTTTGTGCCTGGTGCCAGAAAAGGGCATCGGACTTGAACTGGAGTTACAGATGTTGTGAGCTGTTGTAAGGGTGTGCAGATCAAACTCTGGAAGAGCATCCACTGCTCCTAACTACTGAGCCATCGTTCCAGCCCTCTCTGCCTCTTTAGTACTTGAATTACAACCACAGCCCACCACACTAAGTCCTTTCCTCAGCCCCACAAGTGCTTGTTTTAAATCAGAAGAGTCATTGGTATTATTCTCTTATATTTTAAATGGTCTTTATATCACTCTTAGCTCACTGAATTTATAAACAAAACCTAGGATTAGAAATACTGTTCATTGATAAAGAACTAACCTAGTATGCTGAGTATGTAGCTCAATTGGTAGAGTGCTTGCCTAGCATTCATGAACCCCTGTGTTTTGTCACCAGGACTGCACAATGCCAAGTATCCATCATCCCAGCACTTGGAAGGTAAAGGCATGAGACTCAAACACTCAGTTACATCCTTGGCTATGTAGTAAGTTCAAGGCCAACCTGGGCTGCATGAACATTTGTCTCAAAACACACACACTGAAGACTTTTGGAGCTGGAGAGATTGCTCAGTGGTTAAGAGCACTTACTGCTCTAGCAGAAGTCCCAGGTTCAGGTTCCAGCATGTACATCAGACAGCTTATTACTCCCATAACTCCATTTCTAGGGGATCCAACACCCTGTAGACATGTGGTATACATACATATACTTAGTTACACACACATACACATAAAATATAAACAAATAATTTTTAATAACTTACCTAATGTGTAAAAGACTCTGGTTTTGGTCTCAGTACCACCAAAAAATAAATAAATAAATAAACAAATAAATAAATAAATAAAAAGAAGAAGAAGAACTGTTTGGACAACCAGGTATTAATCATCCAATGTGCTAAATCGTCTTGAGAGAGAGAGAGAGAGAGAGAGAGAGAAGAGAGAGACCCAAGTAAAAGACTGTAAAATCCCTGTGTATTGACAACGTGAGTGTAGTGACAGTGAAATGCCTTGTTTTTCACTAATAACCAAGAAGTAATTTATTTTATTCATTGCTGCACGATTGAGAAGGTATACTGCCCTACATTTCCATGTTTAGTTTTATAATAGCTGCGTACAGTGAGTTTTGACATTTTTTTAGTAGGTGGTGAAACAGAATCAAAGTCACTGTACTAAATTCCAGGAGTCATAAATTACTAACTGAAAGTCACATGAAAAGCACAGATAAAGAATAATCTATAATATTCGCAAGTCTTTTCAGGTGGTGTCGTCCCTCAGCTTGCAGTATAGACTCAGAAATTATTAGAGTCATACTGGAAGTTAGAACATGATTCTGAGGGTACATCCACAGAGGAAATCCCTAGGAGATTTTTTGCCTTTATGGCTGAATATCTACACGTTTGTTTCCCTCTTACACTGCGTTTCATCCAGTTCTCCATCTGCAGGATCAGTTAAGTTGCTCTAGTGCCATATGGCCAAATTTAACAGCTGCCATGACTCCTAAGAGGGCTTCTCTGCCACTTTTTTTCTTCCAGGGATCAAATTATAAGTTTTCTATTTCCCAAAGGAAACTTTTTGAACCAGTATTGCTTACATATGTTTTTGGGTTTCAAAACAAGTACTTAATGCAGTCTTCTCTAGATTTATTGGATTTGTAGTTAGGTGTTATTTAAACCAGTCGTCCCACTCTTAGCTGAACCCTGAATTCATCCTTTGAAAAATTTCGTTAACTGGTTGCTAGTGCCTGCTGAGGCTGTGTAAAGTAGAGCTAAAGAACGCGGGCTGCAGGGTCAAGGAGCTTGTGAGCCTGGCTATAGTTAACAGTCACGCATGTTAACCAGCTAATACACGGGAAGTGTGGATAGAGTACCTGGCTCATGGTAAACACTTAATAAGCACACCAGTAGTGGTTATGAAATAATACCCTTAGCAACCATGTGTTCACTACCTCCCCAAGTCTCAACATTATCCCCAACTTATTTAGAAGTAATTATACCTGGTGCTTCAAACACATATTCTTTTTCCTGTTAAGAAAGTAATGCCCTATCCCGTGTTCTGAGAGCTTTTATCAACAACAGATGCTGAATTTTATCACCTTCATTTTTATCATTTGTTGAGAGTGAGACCATCTTCCTGTTTCACTCATGCACTGAATCTTATTTATGGACTTCCTAACATGACTCAGTCTTAACGGTGTAGGGTAAATCCTGCCTGTTCTGCTTACAGGAGCAGTCGTGGGAGCTAAACATAGATTTCTGTTAGGTTTCTTCATAGGCAAGCAAGGGTATTCTAAACAGATTCATCTTTAAAGCTCACCAGTATCTGTTTCATTTCGTAGCCAGAAGGCCAAGGAAACCGACTGATGGAGCACCACTTTGAGTTCCATGTGGTGATGGTCAAAGGGCTCATGCCCCTTCAGACAACAGTCTGGGGAGAAGCAGATTGTTATGTTCAGTACCACTTTCCATTCCAAGACTCCCAACCCAGTGTGCTTCAAGGACCTGACTTCCTTGAAAATGGTAGGCTGGGAGACCACATCTTCTCAATCATGCTTGGGTCTTTCATTGAACGTACTTAAGACTGTGTTTTTCCTGAGTAGAGTTGTCTATTTTGTTAGTTTTTTTCCAATCATACCTAGGGATAAAGTTATGTGGACTTGTAACATAAAATATGGCCTAAATTTTCATTTTGCTTTTTAACTAACTACTTTTTTTTGACATGGTCATAGTATTCATAGTATGTTTTCATGTACATTAATAACATGGAGTAACATTCATGCACTTTACTTTTTCTTGGTGCACTTTGTTGTTTGTGTTGAGTTAGAAAATATGTCAGGGTTTCCCTAATCTCTGGTTTTGGAAGGTTTCAACAAGGTTTCTCAAGCAAAGTGTCTTCCAGGTGTATTCTGACCATTGTTTCAATACTTCTATTGTAGAAACAAATAACAAAACATGGATTCATATAATCTTTTTATTTTGATATGATTTATATTTAAAGAATACTTACAAAAATAGTACAAAGAATTTCTGTGTATCCTTTGCCTAAATCTATCAGTCTTTTACATATTAGTCCTTATTTACATGCTTGCTTGTGTGTATGTGTGTGTACGTGTGTGTTGATATTTTGTAATAGTCATGCTTTATAAAGTCACCATGAATACTTTAGGGAACTGAAGATGTTGGACTATTGTTCCTGAGGAAAAAATGTCCACATTTGTTGAGAGTGAGACCATCAATGATTTGTATCTCGTGTAGATCATAATCTTAAACACTACAAACAACTATTTTTATTTATTTATTTTTATTTATATATTATTTATTTATTTTATTTATTTATCTATCATCCATTTATTTATTTATTTATTTGATTGATTGATTTTTCGAGACAGGATTTCTCTGTAGCTTTGAAGCCTGTCCTGGAACTAGCTCTTGTAGACCAGGTGGGTCTCGAACTCACAGAGATCCATTTGCCTCTGCCTTCCGAGTGCTGGGATTAAAGGCATACGCCACCACTGCCCAGCCAAACTACTTTTCTAGGTAGATTCTATTCTGTTATTCTGCAAAAGAGAAAACAGACTTCAGAAGCATTAAGCAACTTGCATGGAACCAACTCATTAACAAGGGCCGAATACAGTATTCCAACCCTGGTCAAGCATGGTGGTATACATCTGTTAATCTCAGCACTTGGGAGGCTGAGTCAGGAGGATTGAAAGTTTAAGGCCAGCCTGGGATACCTTATGAGATCCCATCATGAAAGAAAGGATGAAAGGGGGGAAAAAAGATCTAGACCAAGAGCCAGAGTGTCTGTTACTATACTGCCTTACCCTTTCTCTCTCCAGCTTCTGATCATCTCCAAGAACTAACACAAGAATTCAGGGTTTTGCCTTGTTTGTTCTCATTTGATAGGAAGCAATGTTAATCGTTCTGCATGTCTGACTAGCAGATTCAATATTACTTTAGTGTTCAAAGAAGGAACTTATGTACAGAATATATTACAAACTCTTAAAAACATTTTTTTTTTTTTTTAAAAATCAGGACTCGGAATGTAGCTCAGTTGGTAGAGTGCCTGCTTAGCATGTACAGAGCCCTGAGTTTGATCCTCAGCACCACATAAGTCAGACATGGTGATGCTCACCTGAAACCCCAGCATTTACGAGATTGAAGCAGGGGGATCAGAAGATCAAGGTCGTCCATGACTGCATAGCAAGTTTGAGGATAAGCCTATGCTACTTGAGCCCTAGTTAAAAAATAAAGTAAAACTGAGGCAGGAGGACCATGTTTATGGTCAGTCTGGACAACTTGGTGTGAGACCGTCTCAAAATAAACAATCTGGTGTTGTAGCTCAGCAGTTGTACGAGACCTAGCATATATAAAGTCCTGGGATTAACTCCTTTACCACAAACAAAAAAAACTACTTACTCTATTAGTCTCTTCTGGTGATATAACAAAATGTCTGAGGCTGGGACTTTCAGAAATAAACAAGATCCATTTAGCTCCATTTTGGAGGTGACATTGATTTGGCCTCTACTGAGGAACCACTTGGCTGCGTCAGAATGATGGATAAGCCAAATCAGAAGGCTAGAAGGGCCAAGCCCATAGAATGGCATTACTTTATACAAACTTATTCTTGGAAGAACTTGGTCCAGAAGACTAGCATTAACCCTCCTGAGAGAAGTACCATCCGTGGCCTAAGCACTTCTCTCCAGATCCTGCCTCCTAAAGGTTCCACCACCTCACAAGATAGCCACACTAGGGACTGAGTCTCCAGCACTTGAAACTTGAGACAAATTATAGCCAGACACTTGGCATCATCAGTCTTTTAAAGAATGCAAATCTAAACCTTCATGAAAACTCTTTCTCATAGAGACAGGTATAATTGTTTAAGAGACTAGTAACTGTTTGAAAGGACATGGAAAATTTGAATATTCATATACTGTTCACCAGAAAAGGGATCTGTTCAGTATTACCATGGTACTTACTGTACCATAACCACAGAAATGCTAGGAGTAACCTAGTTCCAAGATGCATGTTGTAGCAAATCTGGAAGCTACTATCTTTAATACCTACAAGGTGTCCATATCCTCATCTGTTCTCACAGAACTATCATGAGGATAGAGTTAAATGTGATGTCTGTAAGTCAGTGTGCTGCAAATATAGCTGTTTATGTGTTAGATATTCTCAACTGCTTTTCTTTCCCAAAGGAATTACTCTGAAGCCCTTTAGAACTTCAACCACACTGTGTGTCCCAGATCCCATCTTTAATAGCGAGCACCATCACTCTCTCCTGTTGCCAACTGAAGTTCCAGTGCAAAGGCTCCTGCTAAGTGCCTTTTCCTCCCAGGGCCTTGTGCCTGGAGGTGGAGTCCAGTTTGAAGTCTGGTGCAGGTACAGTATGGACAACCCAATCCCCTTGCTTAGGATGGAAATGCCTAGTCATAACAATAATGGCATGAGGAAATGCCCTGTCCTTGGTCAGATGGAACTGTTATAAGAAGCTAAGTAGGATGCCCTTCCTTGCTTTGTGTTTTTTATATTTGACAGTAGCTTGTATATGGGATTTATATGTTAGGCTTTCCTGAGCAAAGAGTAAAATTGCATTAGTGTTATTCCCTACTGTCCTTTATGCAGTGCATTCACCATTTTTGGTATTCTCTTACCATTTAGTTTACTTTAGGTCTTTATTATATGAGGCCTAACTACTGTAACAGCCTTCCAACTGTTCTCCCCACTTCTAAACTCACTTTTTCCCACCATTAGAAAAATAGTCTTCACAAAATGTGAATCCACTTAATGTTACAATCACTGATAGATTTCTGGAAAGAATGCTGGCCTGATTGTAGATGTCAACCTCGCCCGCACCTCTGCACCTCTAGGAAACCTACTAAAATGATTAAGAGAATACAAAGAAATGTAAAGGAAGGAAAAATAGGATCATAAACAGTACTGTCACATGACAGAAATACTTTCTGCACTCAGAAAAAAATAGATTTTTAAAACCACCTAGCTCTGATGGTACATCTAAGAATGGATTAGTTTGACATGAAAAGAAGATAGAGTGCGTTCTAGCAGGTTCTCATCCTAATGCAAATAAACTGTCATAGGCCTAGAAACACAGGTGAGTCATGGGGAAGAGGGAGATTGTCTCGCCTAGAGCCACCTGTGCTGCTCTAGGGTGGACATTTTGAGAGGACCCAAGGCATTTGCAGATCCTCGTGCAGAAAGCTGTAAGTCATCCTGAGCCGAGGGTAGGATTTATAAGGTTGTTTCCGTGTAATAAATAGGCAGTATATCCTGCCAGTCCAGCCACCACCGTACACCACCAGTCCAGACAGCTGGGTTCCAAAGGTAACTAGCTACTGAAAACTATCACTGGGGCAGGCTGCACTGTTCATCCACCTGATTATCCCAGCTGGCATTTTGTGCTTTTGTGGTTTTCAGATACTATTATCCTAATGTAAGGGACCAGATGGTTGCCAAAGGAACCTTGCCATTATCAAGGATCTGTGCAATGGTGACCATGCAGTACCATGAAGATGTGGGAATGCAGAACTTTAATCTTCCATTAACTCCCAGATTTGAGAATAGTAAAGAATTGAAGAACCAGTCATCAGGTAATTGAAGACTTTTCAAAGTCATTGTATATAAATATCCTTTTTCTTGTTGGATTAATTATTCTTCACTTGGGGTATTTATGCTTTTGAGTCTCTGATGAGAGTTGTGAGTTTCACCCTCTCTTAGAAAGATGAGTGTAGAATATATATTGCAAATTTTGCATGTAATTTTAGAAAACTCATGTTCTGGGGACTCTGTATACATGATGCTTGTCTCATTTTACCTTGAACACTTAAGCATTTAAAAAGCCCTCATAGCATAAATGCTAAGTAATTTATAGGTACCCTAGAAAATTATTCTAAGCCAACATGAGCAGAAGTGGGACTCTGGATGTGATTAGCTTGGATTGGAAATTGACTCTAAGGAAGATTTAAAAACTTATTTGGTGTATGTGTACATACATATGTGCAGAGGGCACACCTGCCATGGAACATATGTGGGAATTAAAATTATTTTATTTTATGTGTATGGGTATTTGCCTGTCCATATGTCTGTGAACCTAATGCATGGACCCTCAGAGGTCAGAAGAGGATGTCAGATCCTTTTCTAGAATTATAGGCAGTTTGAAGCCTCCACATGGATCTAAGAACTGAAAGCGGGCCCTCTTCAAGAGCAGCAAATGCTCTTACTGTTGAACCATCTCTCCAGCCACAGGAGAAGATTAACATTAAATAAGGCCAGCAGGATGACTCAGCCTGTGCTGCCAGCTCTGATAACCTAGTCAGTCCCAGGACCCACGTGATGAAAGGAGAAAACCAGCTCCCACACGTTGTCCTCTGACTCCCACCACAGACAGACAGACATACAGATAAAACTTGAAAGAGCTTAACAAGAATTTGGCATTTAAATAGTATTACAAACTGATGGTTTCCAGAAAGGCAATTCAACCTGCAAAATTATCTGAATTAACTTTCTAAGTCAAGTTACTGTGTGATACTTGTTAAAGAGTATCTGTTAAAACCAAAGGTTTTATCTTGCCTTATTAAGATTAAGTTATTCCTCCTGAGCCCCATGATTCAACTTGTTGAGTTCTTCTTTAAAGCTATCTCTGGAATGAGGCGCTAGCATGGAAGACTTTTTTTAAAAAAAAAAGAAAAAAAATGGTATATGATTTCATGAAGTACAGTATATAACATGGACAGATCTCTTCTGTCACTCACTGTGATTGTGCTCATCCTCCTTCTGCCTCCCTGGCTAGGCGCTAATGGTTTAGGAGGACAGAAATCCTTCTGGCCAACCTAGTGTTTTTCTTCCTGTTCTCATTCGTCAGGTTTGCTGGACGTGGGTTTGAGGTACCGACGTAGCCCAAGAACAACAGAGGGAGTTCTTGCTGCCCGAACTGTCTCCATCTCAGTCCAGATTATCAGAGCCTGTGGTCTTCAGGCAGCAGCCAAGTAAGTCCACCTTAGAAGAGTGCTTCTTAAACCTCTCTGTGGTGCAGTCTGTCCAGTGCGTGCTCCCGCCTGGGTGACTGACAGACCTTCCTGTGGTGCAGTCTGTCCAGGGTGATACTCCCGTGTGGATGACTATCTTGTGAAAAATTTTCATTTCACTAACTGTGACTTTCTGTTAAGAAAGCATTTCAGAATTTCAGGAAATTGCATGAAGACTCTTGGTACTGTTATTGCAAATCCATTTCTTCACTTTGTAACAACTTTGTGTTCTGTCCTCCTTAGCCCCCTCCTGCCATGGTTATGTTCTGCACCCTCAAACCATGCTGTGTGCTTGCATTTATTCTCAGCATAGTGACCGATGACCTGTTAAAACTAACTCCAACCTTGACCGTATGTCTATTAAAAGATAGCCACAGTCCTTGCAGATTTGTAAGGACCCACATCTGTTATCTTCCTCCGAAGCTCCAGCCTCTGGTCTGCTTCTGGCTTCTGAACACATTAAACACATTTCCCCTACTGATGTCCCTTTTCTTTCTGTTTATTCTGCTTCCTCTACATCTCCTTAAGACTCCTAAGACTCTTCCTCTTCTTCATGCTCTCCTTTTGTCCTTTTGTCTGCCAGTCCCACCTAACCTCTACCTGTCCAGCTAATGGCCAATCAAATTTTTTATTAAACCAATCACAGTGACATATTCACACAGTGTAAAGGAATGTTCCAAAGTTGGGTCTACTGCTCATCACAACATCAAAAAGTAATCCCCATGGAGAAGCAGAAGGCATCTTAGTTGAGAAGACGCCACTAAGGATGCATACCATCCAGCTGGGATGTGCTGATCTAGGAAAGGGCTCAGAGGAGCAAGATTTGCTGCACTGGTTTTCTTCGTTTTATCTAGAAGGAGGGAAGGCAAGACTAGAGTCACATTTGAGCTTGCTAAGTTACTAGGGACACCCATTTTAGGCAGTGTGAGCCAGGAGTGTTAGGTTTACAGAGTGATCTTGCCTTTGGTGTGTTCTTAGATAAGATTACAGAGAAGTCTAGTTTTTTTCTCACTTTATCGTGGTGACAGAGTAACCTTATCCCAGCCCTTCAGGGCAGTTTTTAATCAGGTTACTTCTTAAATTAAAACTTTTGAATTTCCCAGTATCAGTAGCAGTGGTCTAAGCAATTTTAATTAGGCATTTAAATTTTAAAGTTAGCATATTTTCAAGTTAGGGTATGCTTATTTATGTATAAATTATCTTTAGGTACTTCTGTATTAATATGCTAAATACATTATTAAATATATAATAGGGAAACTTTAATATATATGATATAACAGGTTTTAGTATTTTTTCCAATGTCCACATTGTTACCCCATGAACCTTCTCAGTGTGTACTCCTCTTTAGGGCCACTTTATGCAATATCTCGTCATACCAAGGTTACTATGAAAGCTCACTGTGGCGTGACCAAGATAGAAAAGCCTAGACAGACAAGTGTTGTTAAGCTTGGATCTTGTGTGAGTAGTAGAGCTCTCTCCTGGGCACGCAAGCTGATTTCTAACAGTGTTGTCTTCTTCTCACTCCTCTCTTGCCTCCTGCAGGGCTTTGGCTGAGCAGGAGCCTGCTGTAGAGTTTAGTGCCACCGTCGGCGTCAACGCTTCTGTCACCACACATCTCTCCTTCCTGCCCAAGGGGGAGCAGCGCCGAACCCGTCCTGTGGCCTGTTCCTTCTGCCCTGAGTTCGCCCATCACATTGAGTTCTCCTGTAACCTGGTGACTCAGCACTGTAGTGGAGAAGCGTGTTTCCTGGCAGAGCTATTGGAATATGCAGAAATTATTTTTGCAATCTATCATGAAAATACCAAGTCAGGTAAGCACTGAATGACCGTCACTTTCAGAATCAAATGAGGCCCTGCTGTGGATGGCGTGTTCCTTCCTGAAAAACTGAAAAACTGAAAAGTTTTTCATAATCTTTTCTTGTTCGTTTTATGGTTGGTTGTTTTTTGAGACAGTTTTCTCAGTTTAATATCCCTGGCTGTCCTGGAACTCACTCTATAGACCGGGCTGGCCTCAAACTCACAGAGATCCGCCTGCCTCTGCCTCCCGAGTTCTGGGATTAAAGGTGTGCACCACTGCCCAGCATAATATTTACAACTTCTAAAGGACATAGTGAAAATAAGCATGTGAAATATGTATGCAAGAATGTAGAAGGAAACAGCAGTTGTGTTCAGATGTTGATGGGTGAATCAAAGAGTAGACATGTGGTTTGCATACCTTTCCCATATGCCTGTAGAAGGAAAGTCTGAGTAAAATGTCTGAAGGACATTCAGACTCTGACTAGGATGTAAGCAAGATAATCTCTGATTTATCAGTTCAGCACTGATTCGTGTGTAGAAATGAGGTGTTCTAGGAGTATACTGTAAACAGGCCTCAGTAGCCCACCAATAATTATTCATTTTTGCTTCACTTAACAGTCAGTGATATAGCCAGTATCCAGTCGTGCAAGGATTATCTGCTTGGAGTAGTAAAAGTTCCAACAAAAGATCTACTGGTCAAGAGATCTGGTAAGGATCCTGAGAAATCTTATGCTGATGCTGCCTTGATGAGGTAATCCTGTCTACCTCCCATGCAAAATACACAAGGGTGCCCCCAGAGACACGCTGTGAATGCACCCAGGTTCGTCAGAGTTCTCTGAGGCATTGGAAGGTCTGTCCCAATCACTGCAGAGGTCAGACTCACCCTACTCTAGGAAAGATGGTGATGGTGATGGCGGCAGTGGCCATACCTCTGCATATATAGCATGTTGTGACATATTTCCTCAGGTTTATTTGAGCCTCGTGACAAACCTCTAGCAGGATACATTTGACAAACGAAAGACTCAAAGAAGCTGATTTGCCAAAACCACACAGCTGCTGAGTAGCAGAACTTGAAAAGTAGTCAGCATTCACCGATTCTTTTCACTCTCCTGTCCTCCACTACAAATGGAATGAAGATAACCATATAATGGCATGGACGAATACATACAGTTTTTGTTCAGGAACTAGACCCCAGAACACTTGACTTTCCTTCCATTCCTTTTCCTTTGCACTAGCAATGCCATGATAACATTTCATTTTTCTTATAGCACTTTAACCATTGTTTCATTCAGCAATTATAACAACTTCAGTAAATAAGTTCAGTGTGAATTTACCCATGTGTGCCATATAGAAATGAGAAGAGAGATTAATGATTTATTCAGAATAAACCACTAGTTTGGGGTCTCAATCAAAGAAAGAACTCAGATTTTCCAATTCCTGCCGTATCCTTCCTATCTGATCGCATTGCCTCTCAGTGATCAGAGAAAGACTGGCTCCCAACTCATGTGGGTATGTTTTCTATTCAGCATTGGGCCAGGGTAGTGGGGAATTTGAATTATAAAGAGGATATGTGTTTTCTCTTTGGAGACAAGGATTAAAAGTCTTTTCCTTTTCCCAATAAGGGATCACAGGATGGTATCCTGTCATTTTGCCAGAAGATGAAGGCCTGCCTCAGGACCTGGAGTTTATGCAGAAGATTGTAGGAGGCCTGGAGCTTTCTGTTTCCTTCACACATCCTGGAGATAGAGAGCGAGTGTTGGAAGCTGCTGAGCTGTTGGGCTGGACCTTTGACAGCAGCCTGAAGGATCATGTCAAGATGGAAGAAGAGGTGCCAGCCACTGTCACCATCTCCACCCCACGACTCTGGCTTCCTGTGCACTGTGTGCTACTCGCTGGCCACAAGAACATTCATAAGAATACCTACTGCTACCTTCGGTACAAACTGTACACTCAAGAAGCCTTTTGGACCCCTCTCCGGAAGCCTAAGGAATCTACAAACAGAAACCAGGTCCTGATCACTTTCAAGGCATCCAAAAGAGCAGAAGTCACTCGGAGCCAGTCACTGCTTTGGTACTTCAGGGAAGAAAAGTTAGAGATCCAAGTGTGGCGAGCTTATGGCAATGACAATTTAGAGAGGCCACACCAGACTGACAGCTGGATCGGCTCAGCCTATGTAGACCTGTCCAGACTTGGGGAAAAATCACTAAGAACACTAACTGTCAGTGGTGAGTGAACATTCAGGGCTAACTCTTTGTTTGGGTACCTTCTCTCAGCGTAAGTTCATCAGATCTGAACATGTACTATAGTATCTATATTATCCTAAGCACTCAGTTAACATGTGTAGAATAAGGTTGAGTGAATCTCAGCGACTACATTTAACACATGTGTAAGAGCCTGTGTGATCATTAAGGGTGATGGTTTAGCTCCTAATTGAAAAGAATACCTGCCAAGGATTTCTTTTCTCAGGATGGTTCTCAGAATATTCATCCTGTCTGGTGAGCACATCTTGGAACTGTAAAGAGAGCTGCATGATTCTAAACTGGTTCATAAGGCAGAGAGGAAAAATTACATTTTACAAATGGAGTGCACTGTGTACTTTTGTTTCAAATATTCATTGGTGCTTATTGCATATATATTAGCCCTGGGAACTCAAATATGAATAAGAATTAATTCCTAACTTAATTGTGTTTATATTCTAATAAAGACTACAACCATAAACAAAGAATGTGAAGTATAAGAACTAAAAAGAGAGTGTTCTCAGTGGTTTGGTGGGACCGTGAAGGTTCGTAGTCCTTAAGGTTGATCAAAGGACAGAATCACAGCCAAAATGATTTAGGAATTAGGAACAAGCCAGGGAAAGGGGAAAAGAACAGTGTTTTTGTTTGAGACAAGGTCTCTATACATAGCCCTGACTGTCCTGAAATTCACTATGTAGACCAGGCTGGCCTCAAACTCACAAAGATTCACCTGCCTCTGCCTCTAGAGTGCTGGAATTAAAGGCATGTGCCACTATGCCCGGCTAAGAAAGATTTTCTAAAGATACAGAGGTGTGAAGCAGTTGGGTATATTGCAGATGTTGTAAGTAACCTGGACCAGCCAGGTCTCGGGGAACACAGGTTACAAAGCACTGCAATCAGAACAGTGGTCAGGAGAATAGTCTCATCAAAGCAGAAGCATTGGTCTTTCTTCTAAGAACTGTGAAGGATCATTACAAGGGACTTTGGATAGAGAAGTCAGAGCTTTGCATTCTAGAAAAGTGGGTGCAGTGACTATGATGTGGCATGAATTGAAGGCAGCCAACTAAGTTCTTTTTCGTTGTTGTGTCTCATGTGTCACATAGCCCAGCATCACCTTAAATTCACTGTGTAGCCAAGGACCACTACATCTTGTTCATGTGGTGTTGGGGATCAAACCCTGGGTCTCTTGTGAGCCTGGCAAGCACTCCCTGCTGAGCTCACAGCAGCCCCTGACTAGCTTCTGTTCAGACATGACTCAGTTTAACACTCCTGTAAAGTTGGTTGTTTCCCTGCTCTGTAGGGTTAAAGATATGAGGACTTGACTCTGTTTTCTTCAGCGTGGCTCCTGCTCCTCTGATCCTTGGGGGTTTTGTTTTGTTTTACTTTTGCTGTTGGTATGGTTTTGGTTTGGGTGGGGTTTTTTTGTTTGCTTGCTTACTTGGTGTTTTAGGAACAAAGTTTTAAGATATATCCTATGTTGGAGCAGAATTTGTGATGTATCTCAGACTGGCCTTAAACTCGCAGTCCTTCTTCAGCTTCCCAGGTGCTGGGATTATAGGCCTAAGGTTCTAACCTGTGTTGGACAGACAACCCAATCTAAAAAAATAAGAAATGAGTGAGTCTGGGTGATTGTCCAAATTTTTGGGTTCCTTTTGGACCCAGTAGATGTAAGTCTGGCCCTATGAAGTATCTTTTCAAATGCTACATGACCTATTTTATCTAGCCCAGTTCAGGTCACCATAGAAGCTACAGAAAAGGTTTTTGAAATGAGTCAGTCTCACTTGATCTAACTTTTTTTTTAGATGGACTTTTAACTTCACTACTGAAGAAAATAGATCTGGAACACAGAATATAGGTCAAGGGTCAGAATTCCATCACAAATACTCCTTTTTTATTAAGTTTCCAAAAAGACTATTATACTTTTCAGATTGTCTGTGTCTGTCATATGTTTCCATGTCCCACTACTGTAAGGTTTGTATCCACTTAAACAAGATGTTTAATGTGTTTGTTAAATGTGTCATCCACATCACTCAGCCATCCAACCTGTTTCCATATGAGAGTAAGGACGAGCTGGGTTGCATGTGGGCATTTTTTCCTCTCATAATGACTGTCATTTTCTGCTTGCAAGAGTCATGGTAATTTGTATAGGAAGAAAAGAGGCTATAAAGAGACAAAAAAAAGTTGTCTTACTGCCATCTATGACAGTAACATCTTTTTCCTTGAATAGGAATGAATCTAGCAAAAAGATTCAGAAGGAATTATTGATGCCTTCTACACTAAGTAAAATCTTAGTTTAAGATCCAGCAAGTCAATGAAGTTGAAATCCACTGATTATTGGGAGAACGATGCTGGCATCTCCATTGACCCCCCTGAAATTCTGGTACAGAAAAGACACAGCTGTTAGTACCCTTAGCCTCCCTTCCTCTGCTGTCACCTCCTGCCTCCCCTAGCGGGTGTTGCCAGGTCGTACTCAGATGGTAAAGAGGCTGATGTGAGCACTGAATAGCTTCCCACTGGGGAGAGATCTAAGAGTAGAAGCCTGTATGCATGCAGAAGAGAAGATGGGCTCCTCTTGTCCTTACCTGGTGCCCCTTGGTGTGAATTCTCTCCATAGCAATGCTGCCTGACTGCAAAGTATTTGGTTCTGGCTTCAAATCAGAAATGTCACCATGTAATATTGGATGTAACTGGACATTGTAGGGGCAGAGACAAAATTTTTACATATACTAACTTCAGATTCTTTTTGGAAATTGGTATGTTGAGACCTGTGGTCCTATTGCAGGAAAGAATCCCATGAGCAGTCTCCGAGAGATATTTTCTGTCACCCAGGCTTATTTGCCTCCATTCTCTTGCAGGTGTGTATCCTCTGTTTGGAAGAAATGCTTCCGACCTCTCTGGAGCTGCCTTGAGAATTCACGTGGTTCTTTCCCCTCTTTCCCCTCTCACTGAGCCCACTCGTGATCTGGACTCCATAGACTGCAGCAGCCACAGTGAGTCTGAGCAACTCCCCAGAAAAAGCGATGAGCTCCAGCTGTCTCCACCCTGTGTCCTCCAGAAGACTCCGGCCTCCACCCAGGTCAGCTGCAGCGCTGCAGCTGAGGTGTGCCCTGCCCAGGAGGGCCCTTCCGAGTTGGAGGGGACTTTTACAGTCAGCATCCTGGTGGAGAGAGCCATGCACTTGAGCTTGAAAGGTATGCTCTGCAGACTTACCCAAAAGCAGGCGTCCAGTTCCTTGCGGTGCTCTCTGTCTTCACAAAGCTTTCAGATTATGCCAGGACCTACAAGGATGGTTAATCCTCTTTGTCGATAATTATATTTTATAAGCCTAAAGGTTGAAGTAACAAGAAAGCCTTTCTGAGATTAAAGCCAACTTTGCCAATTGTATAAATGCTGCAGACCATAAACTGCTGTCCAGAAATCAGATGTCACCCTCAGTGCTTCTCTCCTCCTCATCCAGATCCAGTGTCCACATCAAATAAATAGTTCTCTTCTTTAATTGTCTCACAACCTCTTCCTCCTCCTCCATTCTGCCCACTTAGGTCCTCAGTGGGTTCTTCGCACTAGGACTATGACTAGGAGTTACTAGCACTAGGTCCCCAGGAGATTTATAAGGAAAACTGGAAGTTGGTGACACTAGATAGAAAAAAATTGTATTAAGAGCAATGCCTACAGTGTTGACAGCCACAGAAATCACAAACATCATGTGTCATTGTAGGATCTTAGAATATTATTTTATTCTCACCAGTTATTTGAATTTATGGCACTTATGGGCTACATCTAGGTCTTACTAATAAAACATGTACTTTTATATCACTGAGTTCTAAGTTTTGATAGCTACAAGTATACTTAGATTTCTTTATAGTCCTAGGTCTTTTGGATTATGCATTTTTAAAGAAACACTATTAGACAAAGAAGCCCAAACACTTTACCAGACTGCAAAGGAAAACAACCTCCTCCCTACCTTCGTTAGCCTGGCATCTAAGATTTTCGCTTTGCTGTTACCTTCCCTCTTTAGGCTGTATGTCTGGCCAGCAAATCTGACCTTGTCTCTCCATTGGTTAAAATACTTGGTTGGTTTTCTATCACTTGCCACCCTAGTGATATAGCACATAAAATCTTGCCCATCAGGCCTCAGCAACCTTGCCAGCTTTGTTTCTTGCCACGTTCACTCACATTCAGCAGCTCCTTAGAGCTGGCTAAAGTGATGCCGGCACTCTGAAGCTTACCTCTGTCACACCCATTAGCAATAAGCCTGCCTCTGTGCACCCAAAGATGTCCTGTAACATGCCACATTCTCACACTGAGTCACACTATTTTGTACTTAATACTGTCTCTGGTTCTAGTCCTTGGGTCAGGGAATATGTCACTTTTTTCTGTGTTCTCGTTTCCTGACTCTCTTGATACAGCTAACATATATAGTCTGCTCTGTGACTATGAGGCACAGCCTCTCACATTTCTGACTGAGTTAACTTGTAATCATTTGATACTTGGCCTCTTGTCACAGCCAGGTAATGAATGGCACATCAATGTAGACACTTGACTTTCAGAGATTGCCTTTGTATTCGGATATTCCACATAGTCCTTCCATCATAAACGTGTGCACCTGCCAAGTCGGGGAAGTGCAGACATGAGCCCTCTGCATGATGGCATGATAGGGCTCCAGAATGGGAATTGGAGGACTGTGCCTGCTCTAGCTGAGTTGTAACTGATTTGTGATCTTGAGCGAACCTACTTCACATTTGCTCGACTATTAAACATATCATCTGAGTTCATCAGAGAGTCCTCTCTACTTCTGTCTTCTAAGAACATGGGGCTGAGGGGATATGTGTTTTCTGTACACTAGCGTACCTTGTCAAGCTTCCGCGTCATTCACGTGCTTCAGCGTCACATTGGATTTGCTCCTGCCTCCAACAGCATTCTCACTGTGCCTGAACTTGAGCCTTGGAATGGAATGAATGGTTTCTTTGTAAAAAGTGCATGCTGATGATTTACAGACAACCCTAAAACTTGAACATGGGACAGCTACAAACTTACCATGGTCCCCACTGTAGTTGTGGTTCTGAAAATACAAGAGCATTTGTTACAGAATCTCTGGGGCACCCTCCTTTAAGACGTAGCTTTGAGCCCAGCAGTGATGGCACATGCCTTTAATCCCAACACTTAGGAGGCAGAAGCAGGTGGATCTCTGTGAGTTTGAGACCAGCCTGGTCTACAAAGTGAGTTCCAGGACAGTGAAACCCTGTCTCAAAAAACAACACATAGCAGCTTTGAGGCCAATACAGTGGCACATGCTTTCAGTCATAGCTACTCAGGAGGCTGAGGCAGGAGAATTGCTTGATTCCAGGAGTTCAGAGCCACGTGATCAACATAGCAAGGCCCTGTCTGAAAAGAAAAGAAAGTCGGCCTCAATAATCTTATTTATGCTCTTGCATTATACAAGACACGAGACAGCTGAAGAACAAAGGTGAATGCTTTGAGGCAGTGTGTGCTATAACTGAAGAACAGATGTCCTGCATTGTCTGTCTCTCTCCTCAGATCAAGAACCAAATCTGACTCAGGTTGTGCACATTTGGCACAGAAATGTCAATTTATGCTAAATTCATAGCACCATACTATTTTTTATTTTTAACTTTTTATATTGATTGTGTGTATCCCTGCATGTATACACATGCCACAGTGCACATGTGAAGGCCAGAGGACTTGTTGAGGGAGGTCAGTGAGGCAGGTGTCTCCTTGTTTCGGTGCTGCTCTGCGGTGTGCGCCATGCTGACTGGCCCGGCTCTGGCTCCCATCTCACTGGGGAAGTGCTGAGTTATAGCTGCATATCCCTGCTTTCAGTGAGTATCTGTGGTAAAACTCGGGTCATCAGGCTTGTGTGGCTAGCTCCTGCGTCTGCTGAGCCATCTCTCCATCCCTGGACTAAATATTTTTAACACACAAAACTGGCCTTTGTAAGGTTTTCACTGGCTCATATTAAGAGAGCAAGCAAGCTTTCTCTTCACTCAATGGAATGAATTAGAACTATTAGATGGGAAACCGTGGAGGAGTCAGCCAATCATGGCTGATCTTCTACTTACTAACTCACCAGAAGTGTGGTAGGCCAGCCATTGGCTTCCCTGCCTCCTGTCTTGCCTTGTGACACTTATCTTACCTGATTTTTCAGAGGTGTCGTTAGCATGAGTTTAGTGTATAAGGAAACCATTTATAAAGTGTTAGCTAAATATGAGTTAATCTCACTGAAACAGCACTGCCCTTGAACAAAATACTTTTCCTACTTAAAAATTCTGGAAATGGAGTGAAGAGGTTCAGTGCTGTAAAGCTGGTTTGCCTCAAACCTTAGCTGCTCTCAGTGTGTGTTGTTAGGGTATAATGATTCCTTCGGACTCCTTAAACAGTGTTTTGGTAGCCTGGTGCTTGTGGTGCACGCCTTTAATTCCAGCACTTGGGAAGCAGAGGCAGGTGAATCTCTGTAAATTAGAGGCCAGCCTGGTCTGCAAAGCAAGTTCCAGAAAAGCCAGGGCTACATGGAGAAATCCTCTCTCAAAAAAAGCCTAAAAAAGGGGGGAGGTGTTTGAGAACCCAACTCTGTGCAGAAATGTGAACAAGCCCAGTTCTCACTCATAAGGAGAGAGGGGGAACCAGACAGACCTGCGCTGCCTGCCTTTACAAGTAGCTTCAAAAGTAAGGCTCAAGCTGGGTCTGCAGAGCAGTGGCAGGGAAAGATCAAAGCAAGATTTATGTACATCTAGAATTAGAATTTTATTATGGGAAGTGATTTGAGAGCATGTGTCCCGAGAGAAACACGAGCTGGGGGAGTTAGAGTGAAGTGGTGGTAGTAGGAAGGTCACTAGTGAGCCAGGCTTGGTGGCAGAGTCCTCAAACTCCAGTACTAAGGAAGCTGACACAGGAGGACTGTGAATTTGAGGCTGGATTCAGGAGGGGGGATACAAAACATGTCAGGTAGAAGGAGGAACTCAAGCAAAGAGCAAAGGTGCTTACACAACGAGGCCCCTGCCAGCACTCTGTGATACCTGAAGCCCAGCTTCTTGACCTGTGGGTCACACCTCTTATGGGTTACATAATTAAGTGTGGGAATCACAGAGCATTTGACAGCAATGAGAGGTTTCTGATCTTACAGAGACCAGAAATTAATTCAAAACTCAAGCAGTAACAAATCTGTAGTATTTCTTGCAGCTTATAATGCTTGACTTGGTGGTTGCCTTGTGAACTCATACTGTATATCTAGTCACTGCTCAAGGCCAACAAGCAGCTGATTTTAGACTACCTATGTTATGAGTTACAGTGCATATGAAGTTTTCTGCTTTTTATTTTGAGTTAGGCTCTCACTATATAGCCCTGCTTGACCTTGAACTCACAGAAATTCACCTACCTCTGCCTCCGAGTGCTGAGATTTGAAGGCATGTGCCACGACACCCAACCATTTAGTTATGAAAAACAGGTTTAATGTTTTCTCATCACCATTCCTCAGCATGTATAAAATTATATTATTTCTGGGTTGTAGTATAATGTTTGGATTTTTTTCTTAATTGCTGAATTGAGTTTTGTAAATAAATAAATGAAAATCTTTCAATGAATTTTTCAACTTGGAATTAGGACAGAATTTCCAACATTTTTCTGAAATGGCTCTAAACATACTTCTGCTGTTTTGTATTGTGTATCTATACAGAGAGGCATTCTCAGCATTGACTATTACAAACCAGATTAACCACATCCTTCAGTATTCAACCAGGATTTAATTATTTATGTAAAAACACAAGCATGTCCATCTCACTAGTATATAGATTGCTCTTATCTTTTATGAACAGTAAATTTATGTGTATTTTAAAGAATTGTTTTTAAATGAACTTTTTAGAATTTTCTCTGAGTAAATATTGATTTCTGTGCCTTTTTTTAATTTATATGTCTGCCCAAATTTATATGTCAAGTCAAATTTCTCAGATAAAAAGTGGTCCTAAGTAGATAGTCCCACCCTAAAATACAATTACCCCCACTGTTTTCTTTCAGGGAGCCCCTTGACAGAGCGGAAAGTGTCCATGCCCAGTTGTTGTGTATCCTTTGCAACAGCCACTGAGCCATCTCCTATATATACCCATGTGGTCGAAAACACCGACTCACCCATTTGGAATTTTCAACAGCAGTCAAGGTTTGTCTTTTCTGATGTTCATCACTGTTTAGAATCAGCTTTTGATTCCAAGAGACAAACTCAGAGCCAGAATATAAGAGATACAGTAATGTTTGCACAGAACTTTATTCCTCCTGTTTACAAGTAGTTAGAAGGTTTGTTGCAGTGTTAGTTTCTTTAAAAATGTATTGCATGTATGTGTGTGTACATACCATGACAAGTGCATGGAGGACATAGGACAAATTGTGAGAATTGGTTCCCTTTTTTCCTTGTGGGCACCAGGGCCAACTTGAGTTATCAGGTTTGGAGGCAAGTGTTCTTAGCCTGCTGAGCCACTTGCTTGCCTTGTCTCAGTGTTTGTTTAATGTTTACGTGTTTGGATGTTTTGCCTGCATGTATATATGTGTCCCTGTCAGAAGATGTTGGCTCTGCTAGAACTGGGGTTACAGATGTTTGTGAACTACCATGTGGGTACAGGGGATTGAACTGAGGTCGTCTGTAAGAACAACCGGTGTTCTTAACCACCGAACCAATCTCTCTAGCCAGCCCCTTGTTTCAGTGCTTTTAGCTCTGATTATTGTTCAAAACACAGTCAGGGAGAGATAAGAGATATGTCCTGCCTGCTGTGGGTTGAAGATGAGTAAAATTGTCTTTACTGTTAAACCGTGATCATCCTGGGAAGAAGCACAGACATTAAAGGCTGTACTCAAGTTTGTCGGTGACGTCAAAGAAGCAAGATGGATGCTGGTAGAAAGATGACTTGGCATTGACAATGTCACTGGGACTAGTTTCCTCTGCATATACTGGATTTTTGGGATCCAGTCTGTTTGGATACTCACCTTCCTGGACCTGGAGGGAGGGGGGACGATCTTGAACTTCCCACAGGGCTTGAAACCCTGACTGACCTTAGGGACAAAGAGGGAGGAGGAGAGGGAGTGGGGGGAGTGGGAGGGTGTTGGGAAGAGGGGCGTAAATGGAAACTTTTATAATTTAATAAAATTACTTAAAAAAAAAAAGAAAGATGGCTTGGAACAAAAGGGTTAGGCCAGTGTGGAAGTGAGAGTGTGCCTCAGAAATAGAACTCCAGGGCTAAGTGTTAGTGCATACATAAATTATATACTTATATAAAGAAGCCAGGAATGGGGGAAGTATTCAAGGTAGAGAATTAATCTCAGTAAAGGAAAAGACCTTTAGTGCAATAGAAAGAACCTAGTCTTTGGAACCAGAGAAACTTTGCATCCAACCACAGACCTGACATGTACTAGCTGTGTGAATTAAGTTATCCCGAAACATCGTATTCCTCATCTTAGGGAAGATTTTATAGGTAACTTTAAAATCTAAATTAGATGAGGTTTTTTGAAGATTTAACCAGTTTTAATAACAAAGACATAAATCTCCAAAGGTTAATATAACTATTATATAAAATACATACATGAATACCCTTTTAAAATATAAAGTTGCCAGTCTTAGTGGTACATACCTTTAATCCCAGGACTCATGAAGCAGAGGCAGGTGGAGCTGTGTGCATTTGAGGCCACAACAAGTTTTGGGCTAGCCAGGGATACATAGTAAGACTAAAAGACACATACACACATGGTAGGGAGTGAAATTTTTATGTCATTTAAAGAAAGAAAATCATCATTTATATTCAGATTTATTTAACAAGTTTTTTTAAGTATTTGAAATGTTTACCTTCCATCAACTTCAATGTTTGTTGTTGTTAGAGGCTGCTTGTTAATCTGTTGTTGGAAGCTACTTTTCGTTTCCCAGCTGCCCAGACTCCCAAAGCAATCACACAGAAACTATATTATTTGCGATATTGTTTGGTCAACATTTATGGCTAACTCATCTCTTAAATTAACCCATGTCCATTAATCTATGTATCACCACGAGGCTGTGGCTTACCGGGTAAAGTTCCCGTATCTGTCTCTGGTGTGGCTACATGGCTTCTCTCTGACTCTGCCTTCTTTCTCCCAGCATTCAGTTTAGTTCTCCCGCCTAGCTCTGTTCTGCCCTGCTCTGCTATAGACTCAAGACAGATTCTTTATTAACCAATGGTATTCACAGCATACAGAAGGGAATCCCACATCAGTTTATATTGTGGCCAAATTTCCCATCCAGTTGATCTATCAGATTGTCTCACACCCACTGAATGAATACCACTCTGGATTTTAAGACATAATTTCTCCTTACAAAATTTTCTTTGCTTCTTCTAACATTTCTTGGGTTTCCTCTTGAGAACGTCTAAAGAAAACACCTCTAATCTGATGTTCCATACTAAATTCCATACTGTGAAAGGTTCCTATAGTTCACTCATGGTGATTGATGGTTTTTCCTCACAGGTTATCAAAAGAGCTGCTCCTGGATCCACATCAAACCCTGGTTTTTAAAGTGTGGCATAAAGGAGGTATGAGTGCTATTCTTGTGATCATCTTTTCCAGATAAGAAAAGCCATGGTACTGATGACCCTGAGAACACAGGTTCTCATTATACTCTGTGGAATTTAAGTACTTAGGAGTCGTATTTTTTTGGACTATATGTATAATGTAGGAACCCGACATTTGAGCCTTTCCAGTTCATTCTGCCTTTAACCATAATGTGCAAGACACATTCAAGCAGTTTCCCTACACTTTATATAATATTAGGCCTTCTGTTAGTTCTAGCTTGTCAAACAAGACCAGTAATATATAAGGCCATAGTAACAGCTTATCCTTCCTTATTTCAAAAGCCTTCCTAAGAGGGAGTGCTGACATCTTAGTACTTGAACCTATTTTTACTATGGGTACTATGGGTTTTTTTTGCTTGTTTTGAGGCAGGATCTGATTTACTTTGTTCTTAATTAACTAAAATACATATGTACATCTTAGGAAATATAGGCAACTATAAATTAAGAAGTAAAAATTCTCGAAATCACATAATTTCAAAAATACTCTCTCCTGTATAGGTGCGTGTGCATGTGCACACACACAACACCCTGAGAAAAATCACGGAGCCTTGCTAAGTCTATAGAAAAGTAGTATATCGGTTTAGAATTTTTTCTAGTTACTTATATGAAGAATACAAAGGACAGCTCTGCCAGCTCTTCTCTGATGCACCAAAACAGGGGCCAGATACAGCTCAGTTTGTAGATACTTGCCTAGCACGTGTGAAGTCTACGTTCGATCCCCAGTGCCACATAACTACAGCGTAGTGGCACAACTGTAATTCTCACACATATCTGTATCGCTAGCACTAAGGAGATGGAGGCAGAAAGACCAAAAGTTCAACTTGCTCTGACTACATAGCAAGTTCAAGATCAGCCTGGGGTACTTGAACCTTGCTCAAAAAATAAAATGGGGTTGGGGATAACCACGAAACAGGAAAGGCTCTTCCCCCAGCCTCTCAGCCTCAGTGCAGACTCTAGTCATCTGAGCCAGCATTTCCATGTAGTTCCTAATATAATATCAACAGGAGGAAGGCATGGCCAGCCACACTACCCAGCTCTTCTCTTTCCCCACAGATGAGGAGAGGGTGGTTGGCTTTGCCTCGGTGGACCTCTCCCCACTATTGTCTGGCTTTCAGTTCATCTGTGGCTGGTACAATATTACAGACTTCAGTGGAGAGTGCCAAGGGCAAATAAAAGTTGCCATTTCCCCTTTGGAGAGTCTGATGCACTTAAAAGAAGAAAGACAAGCGAGACGAGGGACAGTGGCCCCAGGATCACTGGTAAGTTTCCTTGTTCGCACCTAGTTGCAGGTTCTACTGTAAGAAGATCCTTTATATTTTTTGCTACTTCCAGCCTAAAGCCCGCGTTTTATATAGACAACTTCCTGGCTTCGGGGTGGGGGGTGTTTAAAAAAAGGGGGGGAATTTTTCAGACTGTTCCAGACAGGGAACTCTATTGCTGTAATAGATTTTCTTCACCTCTCATACTTGCCTGGCACAGCAAGGAACCAGTCAGTACTGAATGCATGACTTCATGAGGAAGTGACCAAGAGTTCATTGGTCCCTTTGTAAGAAGTCTTCTGGTCAGTTCTACCAAAGGGGATAAGAGTATCACAACCTTATCCTTATGTATGACTATAAAATCATGTCCTATCTAGTACCTAAAAGAGTAAGACCATAAATACGAGAAAAGCAACTGAAAAGCGGCCTGAGGGCATGGTCTATAAAATAACAGTACCTATTTCATAGGGTGATTATTAAGCTTAAATGAGGCAGTGTATATTGCTCATAACTGTTCAGCACAGAGAGAGTAAGCTATACCAAGCAAATTTACAAATTTATGTACAGCTTTGCTCCAAAGGGATTAGTGGTAACCAGTGCACCATTTTTCTCATTGCTGCTGCAGATACCATTGTTCAGCCCCCTTTCTTTCCCTGCCTCTTCTCTATGTGACACATTCCCTGGGCCCATTGCAAGGCACATGCAAGACCAACTTGCCCACACTTCTCCAAAGGAGGTTGATTTCTCCTCTCCTTCAAGGTAATTGTTGATGGTAAGAGGTAATTTAAAGTATGTATGTGAACTGTCTTGTCTCCTTTACTAGAGGAAGAAACTGAAGACAGGGGGAAAATTCATACATAAACTAATTTTTAAGATCTCTGGAAACAACTAAGATAGATATGTGTAAGATAGAAATTAGAATATTTTTACTGCCATTGAGAGAAGGAGCACTCTTGTCCTGAGATCCCTTTAACTTTTTATGAAAATTATGTTATCCCCCACCAAAGAAAAAAACAACTGTGTTGAGTTTTGTTTAAAACACTTGTTTCAAGGGCGGGAGTGTGGAGTGTAGATCAGTTGGTAGAACGCTTGCCTAGCGTGCACCACATAAACCAGCTGTGGTGGTGGTACATACCTGTGATCTCAGCACTTGGGATGTAGAGACAGGAGGGTCAGAGTATCCAGGCCATCCTCCTCCTCATTGTGAGTTTGAAGGCAAGCTAGCTACATAAGACACTGTCTAAAAACTAAAAATAAATTTTAAAAAATCCAAAGCCATACACATGGTTGACTCATTATGTTCACTAAGCTAGCCGTGAACAGTGTGTGTGAATTTGTGGACTAGAGTATATCCCATCCTGTTAGAGAACAGGACCAAAAGTTAATTTATTCCTTCTGCCTCTCCCTTTCAGACCTTGGTGCCCTCTGACAGAGGTTTTTCCCACATCTTCCTCACCACTGCAGTAAAAAGACAAAAAATATTCCCTTACAAGACACATGCTTTAATCTCAGCATACAGGAGGCAGAGGCAGGCAGATCTCTGTGAGTTCAAGGCCACCCTGGTCTACATAAGGAGATTCAGGCCAGTCCTTGCAGAGTGGAACCCTGTCCTAAACAAGAATCTGCTTTTATGCAGCTGCCCCTGCTGTGGCTGTTACTAAGTAGACAGACAGACAGACAGACAGACATTCCCAGCTGCTTTCCCTCTGTGGTCTGTTTAGTGCTTTCTAGTTTTCCCCTGGTCACCTGTGAAGATAATTCTCAGTGTAGAAGAAGCTTCGTGTTTCAATTCCTATGTTTAGTGTTGTAGGCTCCACGTGTTGCTTTGGCCATAGCCCATCAATAAAACATGGCTGAGGGGCTTGTTTCTAAGTGACCACTATTTAACTTTAAAGCTAAGAATTTAGTGATTTGCTTTTCATCCACATAAAAATGCCCCAGTTAAATCAGAAAAGTCATACTGGCATATCCTTATTCTAACCCAAAAATCCATTGCAGGATGGGTTCCATTCTCTCCCTGTCTACCTCCAGCTGTTTCTGAGCCTGTCTCCCTCCAAGGAATGGGTGGTGGAGTCCTAGCTTTAGCCTGGACTACCTGTATATTATCTAATGCTAATTACTTTGGTTTTTTTTAAATTTTATTTAGTTGTATGGATGTTTTGTCTGCATGTTTGTGTATCACCTGAGTGCTTGTGCCCTTAGAGTCCAAAAGACGGTGTGGGTCCTCTGGAACTAGAATTACAAACAATTGTAAGTCACCACATGCGTGCTGGGAGTTTAGTCTCCTATGGAAGAGAAGCCAGTGCTCTTAACTACTGAGCCATTTCTTTTTTCTTTTTTTTTATTATAATTAATATACACCTCTGTGTGTTTATTTGGGAATGAAATGGCTGTGGCACCAGGTGGGATCCACAACTTCAATCTACACTGTATTATGTTTTCTACCAAAGAAAATAATAATATAGCAATTCTAGAAAGTCTTTGATTTTTCTTCTAACACTCATATCAAAAAAGGAGACATCAAATCATCTATCTAGTTTTTCCTATTATATCTATTTTATAGAATGAAATCAACAAGAGGAATCTCCAAATTCTTTTGTAGAAAGTAGTTATGATCTGAAACTAGGGTTATTATAGTAAAATGGAAATAGGATTAATTATAGAAAAATGAACACATTTTGCTGCATTTGCACCAACACTAATAATCTCACAGAAATAAACTCAAAGGTTCTGACAATTTAAGATTTTCCAAAACAAAATACTTTCTTCAAAAAAGTTACTAATAGAATTTGTCAACTGTGTTAAAGAAATGAAATATTTTTTTGTAGTTTCTGGTTTTTTTTATTAATTTATTTATTTATTTATGAGTATCCACTTCCTCCCCTCCTCCCAATACCCTCCCGCTCCCCCCATTCACTCTCCTCCTCCCTCTCCATCCCTAAGAGCAGTCAGGGTTTCCTGCCCTGTGGGAAGTCCAAGTTCCTCCCCGCTCCCTCCAGGTCCAGGAAGGTGTATTGTAAAAATTCCATTGTATACAATTCTAGAAAATGCCTACTAATCTGTAGTGGCGGAGAGCAAATTATCAGCGACCTAGCAATAAGGTAGGACAAATAAGAAGCAAGAGGAAGGAATTTCAAATAGGAAGACTCTGTAGAAGGCATGGGTATGTTGTCTTGTAATGACTTTCTTGAATGAAGGCACATGTCAAAACTCATCAAATTGTATGATTTAAATGTTAAGTGTTTTGGATATTGGTTACATCTTATTAAAACAATGGTTCTTAAACATTTCCACTTAGGAACTCTTCTGTACTATTAAAAGTGACTACCCCGGGCTGGAGAAATGACTCAGACGTTAAGAGCACTGGCTACTCTTCCAGAGGTCCTGAGTTTAATTCCCAGCAACCACAGTTACTCACAACCATTAATAGTGAGATCTGGTGCCCTCTTCTGGCGTGCAGCATACATCAGTCAGAACACTGTATACATGATAGATAGATAGATAGATAGATAGATAGATAGATAGATAGATAGATAGATCTTTTTTTTTTTTTTAAAAAAAAAAAAAAGGTGACTATCCAGACCAGGCACGGCTTTCACACCTTATCCCAGCACGTGAAAGGCAGAGGCAAGCAAATCTTTGTGAGTTTATTCATAGTGAATTCAAGCCAGCTGAGCCTACAGTGAGGCTGTCCCAAGTGATAATAATTTGGTGAGTCCACTGGATTTGTTTATATGGATTATATCTTAACAGTTCTGTCAGATTGCACATTTAAATTGAGAAAAAGTTTAAATATACAAAGTCAGTTTTATTTCTGTACACTGGCAATGAGGAATCAAAAATAAAATTGTAAAAACAATTAATTTGCAATAATATCAGATACAATATATATTAATGAATACAGATATTTTCTGAAAACTATCAGTATATTGTTGAAAGATGGTAAAGATCTAAGTAAATGGGATGATGTCCCATGTTCATATTCATGAATTTAACATTTTTAAGTTGTACTTCCAAAATTATCCTATAGGTTCAACACAATACATATCAAAATCCCTGTTAGCTTCTGTCTATAAATGAATAAGTTGATTTTAAAATTCATATAGAAATTTGAGAAATGCAGAATAGATAAAAACAATCTTTTAAAAAGAACCAATTGTCCCAATTCTACAAAGCTACAGTAAGTAAAACACAACACAAGCTAGAAATACAGAGCAATGAAGTAAAATAATCCAAAGGTAAAAGATGTCAACTGAACTTTAGCAAGTGTGCCAAAGCCGTTCAGTGAGGAAAGAGCAGGTTCTGAGCAGTGCTGAGCAGCTTGATTCCCGGCACAGGCCGGTCAAGCCCTCCCAGTGTCATACACAGAACAGCTCCAAATGGGAGGTAGCACAGTAGCAAAACAAGGAAGTCTTCAAAGGAAACGTAATCAGAGTAACTTTTTGTGAATTATTGATTCCCTAACTGTGACAACAAAAGAAAAACTGATTTATCCAAAGTAAGAACTTAAATGCTGTAAATTATATTATCAAAAATGTATAAGGGGCTGGGTGGTGATGGCACACGCCTTTAATCCCAGCACTCAAGAGGCAGAGGCAGGTGGATCTCTGTGAGTACGAGGCCAGCCTGGTCTATACAGCGAGTTCCAGGACAGCTAAGACTGTTACACAGAGAAACCCTGTCTCGAAAAACCAAAAAGAAAGAAAAAAAGAAAAAAAGGAAGGAAGGAAGGAGAGAGAGAGAAAAGGAAAGGAAGAAGGAATATAAAGGGGAAATGGGAAGATGGCTTGGCAGTTAAGAATGATTCTTGAGGGCACAAGTTCAGTTCCCAGCACCCACATCTTGGGGCTCATGGCCACTTGTAACTCCACTTTGAAGGAATCCAAGACCCTCTTCTGAGCTCCACAGGTACCACGTACATGATATACTTTGACACACACACAAATAAAATAATACTTTTTGAAGAAAATCTAAAAATAGAATGCCTGTAGAAGAATGATTCAAGCCTAGCTCTAATAGGGGTTTGTGCCTGACTGTAAGCAGAGCTCTGGCAGTCAGATGAGCAGATACCCCATTCGATGTACTTCTGTACGACAGGCACTGTGTCTGGATTTAATTCCCCAACTCTGGCAGAGGGACACATTTTAAAACAGACAAAGTAGCTGGATAGGAAGTTCTCCAAAGAAAATGTGCAAGGGGCCACTGAGCAGATGAAAAGATGCAAATCAAAACCAAAATGAGATGTAGCTTCATACCCATGGCAATAACTATTAAAAAAGACCACAAGTGTTAGGAAGAGCGTGGTGAAGAAACTGTAAAGTTGTCTAATTGCTTTGCAAAACAGTTTGACAGATCCTTAAAAGTTTAAATATAGGGACTGGAGAGATGTGTCAGCAGTGAAGGGCTGCTCCCCCAGGGACCTGAGCTCAGTTCCAGCATCCACAGCACGCAGCTCATAGTTGCCTATAACTCCAGCTCCAAGGGATCAGACATACTCCACACTCAAGCATACATGTACATACAAAAAATAAACAAATAAATAATGCTTTTGAAAATTCTGAATATAAATGGAAATTTTAATTAAAAGAAAAAGTACTGTCTTAAATTTATATTATATCTTAATGTGTGTACCATATATTATAATATAAAAGAGACTTGAGTATGTTGTGTGATCCCATTTGTATGAAATATGTGTCGACAAATGATAAAGACAGAAGTAAATGAGTAGTTGCCTCAGCTTCAGGGTTTCAGAAAGAAATGAAATGATTGCTAACGGATGTGGAATTTGTTTTTAGGGGGTGATAAAATGTTCTAAAACTGATTTTTGAAAAGGAGTAGATAACTCTGAATATACTAAAAATCACTGGATTGTATATTTTAATTGGGTTAACTGAATGCTGTATGAATTACATCTCAATAAGGCTGCCTTATTAAAAGAGAAAGAAGATTGTCACAGTCACATTCTTGAATACCATGCTTCAGAATGAAAAGATTTGTTCTAAAGATTAAAAGAGGCAGAGCTAGAAAGGAATGGTAATGTGAATAGATTAAACCCAGACAAACCCTTCCAACTGCCATCGTGATGAAGGCTCGAATGTGTTGTTGTTTCTCTTATTTCAGGCCTGTGTTTTAGAACAATCTCCTGGGCTCTGATGTGGAGAGCAGAAGTGTAGTGGAGTGGGTCGGACTGGAAGTGAGTTTATTAGGAAACCTGTGTGATCCAAGCAAAAGTGAGCAAGCCAGAAGTGGTTGCTGTGCTAGGGACTGGTCTGCGCTGTCCTTCCACACTAGGAGTTCTCTCCTTGGTTAGGAATTTACTTCACTCCCAATTTCCCCGACAGAAATGGTGCCATCAGAAGCCAGGCAGCACGCCATGAGGAGCATGTGCAGAACATCCGCCGATTCCATGAATCCCTGCAACATGGGGAGGCAGTCTCAGCAGGTGATGAGAAGCTGACCACAGTGCCTTTGTCCTCCCACACCTCCATTCTGACTTCTCTCAGGTGAGGACCTGCAGGGGGGAGAAGCACAGGGTCCCAGTGCAGGAGATAGCCATGGCCAGGTAACTACAGTGAAAGGTGGTGAGGGATGTGGTTCCCATCCCAGAGAAGACAGAGGAATGAGTAATCTAGAAAGGTGAACATGGAAAGAGTTAAAGACAGCACATGTGGGTTTTGAAAGAAGGGGCTAATAAATGTGAAGTCTATTCTGTGCAGAAAGATTATCTCCAAACCCCAGAGGCATAGAGTATATCAAGATTGGAAAAAAAAAAAAACAAAACAAAAAAAAACGAGCTAAAGATGCAAGAGGTAGGCCAGCAAGATGTCTCAGTGGGTAGAGGCACTTGTGCACAGGCCTCAGGTCCTGAGTTCAGTCCCAGGATCTCACACAGCAACAGAAGAGAAACAACTCCCTAGAGCTGTCTTCAGTACACACACACACACACACACACACACACACACACACACACACACACACAATTGAGTAAATAAAATTTAAGTGCAAGGAGCAGGACAATTCTTTAGGGGTTAGCTCATGAGGGTTCTTGGCGACTGGGGAGCCATGTATGACCTGTAGAGCAAGTACTGATAGACCTGTGTCACTGGTGAGAAGATACAATATGGTGTCAGCAAGTGTGTAGCCCCTGATTCTGTGCCGGAACCTCTGGAATTGCAGATTTCCTAGCACTGTGCCAAGTGTGCTCATGCATTCATCCACAGGACGTAGACACCTACATGACTTGGTGACACTGCCGCCATTTGATAAACTGAATCCTTTAGTGTTAGAACAAAGATGAGCCCTGTTCTCTCCTTTCCCTTGGATGTGACACGGTCTGGACTTTGGGAATCCTCCTGGGCGTATCAGGGCAGTAGACATGCTTCCCAGACTGTCTGTTCCAGGATACTCATGGCCTAATCAGAGGAAATTAATAAATACCAAATAATGAAAAATGACAAGACAGAAATTGGAGGCTGAGAGTGGAAGAACTTAGGGGGCAGGGGACCCAGTGATTTCAGATAGTAGACTTCGAAAAGTCATGAGCAGCAACCTCAAAAGATGAATGGAAAGAAGAGATAAAGTAGAAAGTGATGTGATCTTAGGTTTTATAATCTGCAGAAGTGTGAGAAGTGTGAGTTTGGAACAGAGCCCATCTGATGTCCTAGAAAAAGCCTAAGACTTGGAGTCCCAGAATCTAAATAGCCACACGCTGCTTCTTACCCTAGACAAATCACTTACATTCTCTGAACCTGAAATTGTTTATTTGCAAAGTAACCATTACTGATTTCAAGTGGTTGGCTGAGAATTTCCAAAGGTCGATGTGATTCTTCAGTGGAGAGCAGTGAGAATGAAAACAGGATTATTTTTAAGTCACTCAGCTATGTTAAATTACTCAATAGTCAGTTGTTCTGTTCTAGGCACTGTGCTGTGCATAGATATGGTAGATGTAAGGAATCATCACTGAGCCACAGTGATCGAGAAATACAAGGGAAAGTGAGACGGAGTCCTGGAGCCAGCCTGGAGAGTTCAGGAAGGCTGGCTAGATGAGGATCAGGAACGAGTGAGGTAACAGGAGTAAGACGAAGTGAGGACCGCCATGATGAGGGCCAAGAATGGTGCTTGTACGCCTTGTGTTATGATACTTACCTGTAATCTCAGATGAGACAAGACTGTTGCAAGTTCCAGGCCAGCCTGGGCTATATACGAAGACTTGTCTCAATGAAACAAAACAAGCTAACGAAAAGAATGGTTCCTTATGAGAAAGTTGTGTTTTTTGCTAGATAGCAGAAGAGGAATCATTATTAGTCAGACGGGGGCAGGGGAGAAAATTATCTCTGGCAATGGAAGGTAAAGGGTAAAGGGTGGGTTGAAGAGAATAGTAGGCTCTCTGAAGCACCAAGCCAAGTGAGCAGTGTTGAAGTCCTGCCTCGTGTCATGAAGATTCCTGTAATCACTGAGTGGCCTCTTCCCCAGGAAGAATTTGAGTGAGCTTGATGAGATCCAGAAGTACTTCACCCAGAAGCTCAGCAAGCCTTTCCTGCCCTTCACCTCTCCCAGTTCTCCTGCTCTCTCAAAGAGCCAGGAGAGCCCAGGAGCCAGCAGCCGAGACCCCGAGAACCAGTGCATCCTGGAGAAATCCAGTAACCTGGTGTTGCAAGTCAGCTCCCTAATCTCAGGTATGATTCAGAGCTGTTTCTGCTACAACTTTGGTCACTGGGTGCCCACTCAGAGGCCACCTGAGTATCCACCCTCAGATAGGCCTCCATCACAAATGCAAACAGTTTTCACATCTTTCTTCTTCCTTTGCCATTTTCCTTTTTAAGGAAAAGATAGTGGTGTGAACAGGAACATGTAGCAATGGAAAGAGCACCCGGGTGAGAGGCAAAAGACCCAGATCATGGCATCTGGCATCAACTTGCTGTTAACACTGGGCATGCTCTTTCCTTTCTTGAGCTTTCATTCTCCTAACCAAAGTGACAGCCATGGATTAGATGATGTGATGGATCCCTGGCTTAGCTGTTCTTGAACTTGTCTGCACCACTATCTTTCAGGGGGAAACCTTAGCTATTCCCAGAGTCCAGAAGTGTACAAGGGTTTTTTGTTTGTTTGTTTGTTTGGTTGGTTGGTTGGTTGGTTGGTTAGCTGGCTTTGAGACAGGGTCTCACTGTGTAGTTCAGGCTGGCATCATATTCACAATAATCTTCCTGCAGGCTGTGGTGACAGACACGTTTAATCCCAGCACTCGGAGGCAGAGGCAGGTGATCTCTGTGAGTTCAAGGTCATCCTGGTCTACAGAGCGAGTTCCAGGACAGGTTCTAGAGCTACACAGAGAAACCCTGTCTTGAAAAGAAAAAAAAAATCACTGTAAAAGATCTGCATGTAACGATCTATCTATAGTTTACCATTCCAAAAGGTCCCTTAGAGTAATTCTTATTCTGCCTCCATATCGGTGTTGAGAGGTATGGAAGGGTAAAATCTACAGGTCCTAAAAGACACTCTGTGTGCCCTTTAGAGGACTTCCACTTACTCCAACTTCGTCACCATCAGACAGAACAGACACAAACTTATACTCTGCTGTGAGCCAAAGATGCTTCTCCCAAGAAAGAGCATTAACATGAAACAAGAGAGACCTTACCAACAGGATACAAGTGGCTACAGATAGGGGAATCCCCTTACAGGGGTATAGAAAAAGAATAGAAGGATTAAAGCTGGCCTTGAAGTCAAATTTGGAGGTTTAATGCTTGCCCAGAGAGAAAATAAGGATGCAAGCCAGTGCCCAAATATATGCAAAGCCCTGGACTCCATCATAGTGCCTCAGACAGAAAAAGGGAAGAAGAAAAGAGAGTTGTTGGCAAGGAAATAAACAGAATAAGAACTTATTTTCTCACAGACTGTGGATATGAAGAGATAGGATTCTCTACATCAAGGAAACAGTCCGAAAGTAACAAAAGCCTGCTCTGACCACCATGCTTCAGTGCTCTTTTCTGAAGGGACAACACGAACCAGACGTGTGGGCCACTCACAAGCTGATGTGAGAAACAGCTTTACCCTGTTAGTGTGTTCTCGTATGTTCTAGCGCTTCCTTATGGAATAAAGAACAAAGCCCTTCAGCTGGTGCAGCTGGGTAGACTTCCTGAAGGAGATGTAATAGGCATTGGGAGATAAATTGGTTTATAAAAAGGGAATTTCTCCAAGGCAGTAATTAAGACCAAAAGACTAGGGCCAAATAAGTCTGTTTTGTTTAGAGGTACACTCACATAGACATACTCTCCTGACGTCTGAACCTTATGGCCATACTAACAAGCCCTTCCTTTCAGTTTACCCTCTAGCAGTGAGCAGGTATAGTCCTTAGCCCTGGAAATCAAATCCACTACTAGCTTCTGACTTTTACTCTAAAATAACATGTCATTTTCTGTCTTTGTTGTTTTGCTATTCCTTATTTGAGATGAGATCTTAGCCCAGACTTACTCAAAACTCCTATACTAAAGCAATCCTGTTGCCTTGACTTTCAGAATAGCCAAAGCCAAAGGCATACACCATTATGTCAACTTATTTATTAACTTCTCTACCCTCATTTTACCCAAAAATTTGAGTTGACTGGTACTTTCTCTTTATCAAGTGTCTGTACATGCACCATGCAAGGTATACCCGTTTTTCTCATAGAGTATCAAGCCTGTGAAGTGACTGGTATTGGTCACATTTGAAAAAAAACAGGCCCAGAAGGGACAATTTGCTCATGATCATAAACTTTGACTGCGTTCTTCCCAATGCCCTGCTGCCTCTGTTCTTTTCTTTTATTGTGCATTGATAAGATTTCCTTACTTTTATTTTCCAAGTAAAATAGATAGTTTTAATAATTGTCATCGAATGGGTAAATGAGTGGATTCTCGTTTTGGTTTTAATGTAGGTGATTACTGAAGTAAATGGAAGCGTGAGCATGCCCATCAGGACCTCAGCTCCCGACAGATCTGAGCATGAGCCTCCACAGGTGTCTCCACAGCTACACATAGATTAGATCTCAGCCTCTAATAGTAGAATAAAGTACTAGAAATCATACTGCTGTGAACATAGTTTCACTGACTCCTGGGTGAATTAACTGTCGTGAGGTTTGTCTAAAGTCTGATCACAAGGACGCTTGTGAAGATAGAGGCCGGGAGGGCTGCGCGGTCTGTAGCCTGCACATAGTGAGACTTACTGTCTGTTGCTGTTCAGATCTGCAGACGATCACCAGAGATTCACAAGCAGCTCTGACTTCTCGCCAAGCCAGGAGTAGAAACAGAGCAGTCACCACCCTCCCAGATGCTCAGGACACCGAGGCCTTGCCAGGACGAACCACCACTCCAGAGAAACCGGCAAATTCCCTGCCTGCCCCTGTTCTTGAAGAGACTTCAGAGGGAGGAGGAGTGCTCCGTGAGTTGGTGGAACATACACTACCTGTCACGAGGGTGCAGAGTGGTGAGGACACTGAGGTGGACTCAGACCTCAGTGAAGAAGACTATGAGGAAGACATCATTGAGCCCAGGACCCTAAATGAAATCACCACAGTGACCGACAAAACTAGTCCCTGGTCTAGTTTCATGTCAGACATGAGTGAGGTCTTGAGCCCTCAACCCAGTGAGATACCAAGGGAAGGCCCCTCCTGTCTTCCAGGACCTTTCCCCAGAGAGGAACTTAAGGTCAGAAGTAGCTTGATATCCAGCCCACAAAAGGTAAACCCCCAATCTGTACAGGACTCACCTAGCCAAAGGCCTAGTGAGGGTGGAGCCTATAAGACCACAGTTGAAGAGTCTGCCTCAACCAAGCCTCGGCTTGTCCCAGGGAGCAATGATTCTGTTGGATGGAGCTCACCACATATAAATCAGGACAAGAGACCCATGCCAGAGATCCTGGCTGAGAGTGAAGCCATCTCCAGTGAGTTGAGTGACTCTTCAGAGAGTCTTCTATATCTGCCCTCCCAAAGCAAAAGGGAAAACCACAAGGAACCACCCACAGACTTTCCTGCTGTGAGGCAGAAGCAGGTAGCAACTGGACCAGAGGTGTCTACAAGGCAGAATCTCCTGTATCCTTTGGTGTTTCCCACAAGTGGGTACTTAGGCCATCCATCCCTGAGCACTTTGGATGCTGGTGCCAGGCTAAGAGAGTGAGCGTGACTGGTGGCCCCTGTGGAATGCACTGGAGGGTGTAGGACATGGGAAGGCTCTTCCTTCAGAAGGCTCACCTGTGTGACTAGTGTTAAAAGCCCACCACCCACCACTGAAGCCAGGCTTGGTGGCCCATGCCTTTAATCTCAGCTCTGAGGGTGCGGGACTGTGGCAGGAGAATTGGGAGCTCTAGGTCAGTCTAGGCTACAGAGCAAGACCTTGTCCAAAAACAAAACAAAACAAAACAAAAAATCTCCCATTGATTCCAGCCCCTTCCGTGTAAAGCGCTGACAGAGCTTGGGTGTTGGTCAACTTCTGACAGCTTCTGTTTATACACTGTGCAGTTTCCTGCCTGAAGGCAAGGGAGGCTGGAGCTAGGGCTGTAGTCCTGTGGTAGAACCCTGGGTCCTATCTGCAGAACAACAGAAAGGAGGGTATTGCTATTGACTAGCATTTACTGTATGCTAGGAACTTGGTCAGTTTGTCACCACAAGTATTTTAGATGAGTGTCTTCTACTCTACATGTGAGGAAACAGACTCAGTGACTTTTTTTAAGATTCATTTTATATGTATGGGTATTTTGTGTGTGAGGGTGTTTTGCCTGCATACATGTCTGTGTACTATGTGCATGCAGTACACATGGAGGCCAGAAGAGGGTGCTGGATCCCCTAGAACTGGAGTTTACCATTTTGAACAGCCATGTGAATGCTGGGAATAGAACCTAGGTCCTCTAAACTAGCAACCAGTGCTCTTAACCACTGAAGCATTTTTCCAGCCCCCAAGAATTAACTTTTTAAAAAAGTGAGCCAGGTGGTAGTGGCACAGACCTTTAATCCCAGCACTCAGGAGCAGAGGCAGGCGGATCTCTAAATTCAGGACCAACCTGATCTACAGAGTGAGTTTTAGGACAGCCAGGGCTACACAGAGAAACCCTATCTAAGGGGGGGGGGGGGACAGTGACAGAACTAAGCAGTAGGTGTCATTGAATGTCATTACTGATGGAATGATGTGGTGCCTTATACTCCCCCTTCCCTCCTTTCTCTAGGGAAAGTAAACCACTTAGCACCATCTATAGCCTTCGTGTTTGCTTCTATCTGACTGATCTTATGAGCCACGCTGGCCAGTGAAGTAGGCTGCTTTATGATAAGAAATCTTCCCATCCTAGAAATCGGGGGGCCCGACTTTGACCCTCCAGACCTCACTTCTTATTACTGGTATGAACTCAGGGTTAGCCTTTCTGAGCCTGTTCACAGATCAAGCGGAGACATGACTTACAAGCCTCAGGTCAGTGTCCTTTTCTTCCCCCATGCTCACCCTCACCTAGCATTGCAGAGCAGAAATCAGTAAATATAGATTAAACTGAACTATTGCATTTATATAAAATAGATAAAATCAGATGAGTAGAAATATTTGTATAAACTGTTAATTTGTGTGCATGTGGTGTATTCATATGTATGTGCCCTTGTATATGCATATGTACATATGATCACTATGCGTGTGTGCTAGTGCATGGAGAGGCCAGAACAATCTCCATTTTTCTTTACCACTGAACCTGGAATTCACCAATTCAGCAAAACTAGCTGGTGGCTGCTGTGCTCCAGGGATCTTACTAGCACTAGGATTACAAGCATGTGCCACCATACCTGACTTTTTATATGGGTGCTGGGGATCCAAACTTGGGTCCTGCATGGCGAGTACCAACTGAGCCATACCCTGAGCCCCACACATGAATAGGCCATTCATGATACAGGTCAGAGAAAATCTTAAGGGTTATAGGGATCAGGAAAAGCCTATATGGCTGGGGACTTCGTCCTCCCAACAGGCCACTTCTGGGTAAAGCTGGTCCCCAGGCTTACGTTGAGCAGAGCTGGCATTGCTGCTGTCGTGGTCAGTGTAGTTATGGTCAGATGGTTGTCAGGGAAAGAGCTGCCATGTGTGCCCAGCCCCTCAGCCTGCTTGACCTTCCATTCTTGCCAGACCATACACTGAGTGCCAAGGACAGATCAGCCTTTAGTAAACTCCACTTCCATTGCCTGGTGAAAGTCAGGTACAGGCATGATCCAAGTGCTTTGGTGAGATACAGGAGCAAAAAGTGGGGCTGCTTTAGGCTGCTCAGAAGTATAAAAAGAGATGTGAGGAATGGGCCTGCTGGTGCAGCAGTCAGGCTGGGGCAGAGCAGGCAGGAGAGGAGTTCAAGGCCTGAGAAAGATAATGTCTCAGAAAAGAAGAAAGCAAGCAAACATCAGCAGACCACTCAGGACACTGTACCAACAAGAGATGAAGGCCATCTGGTCGAAAGCGTAGAATGTTGGAAGAGGAGACAAGATACAGGATCAAGCAGAAGGGTGGGGATGAAGAAAATCTGAAGCATGACTGATGTTTCTGTCACAGGTTATAAGTTGGCATTGTCTTCACTAGATAGGGAAGCACATAGAGATGGTCTTGGAGAAAGATATTTCCATGTTGGGCAAGTGCCTAGGGGTATCCAGGAGGAAATACAGTCCTTGGTTACAGACAGGATCAAGTGAGCATCTCAAACATTAAGACAAAGCTAGAGCTATGAGTCACTGGGAGTGCTGTCTTAGTTAGGGTTTCTACTGCTGTGAAGAGACACCATAACCACAGCAACTCTTATAAAGAAACACATTTAATTGGAGTAACAGCTTACAGTTTTATAGGTTTAGTCTACTATCATCATGGCAGGCAGTGTGCACACACACAGACATGGTGCTGGAGAAAGAGCTTAGAGTCCTACATCTTGATTCACAGGCAACAGGAAGTGAACTGTGACACTGGGTCTAACTTTGAGACCTCAAAGCCTGCCCCAAGGGTGGCACACTTCCTCCAGCAAGGACATACCTCCTAACAGTGCCACTCCCTTTGGGAACCATTTCTTTCAAACCACCACAGGTGGCATGCAAACAGGTTCGTGAGGGCTGGGAGGCACTGAGGAGATGACTGGCAAGGACAGGCTGTAGTTTCATGTCCTGGTCAGAGGTGAGGATGGGTCCTGTGGTAGGAAGGACCATGCCATGGTGGGAAGAGACCCATATCAGTGGCTGAGGGAACCTAGTGGCCAGGACAGCCACAGTAGGCACCTGCCCCCTCCGCACTGCAGCAACAAGAGCGCGGATTTATGATGTCAAGTGCCATCCTAGGCACGTTTCCTGTATAAGCTCTTAATCCTGATTGCCAACTGAGATAACTTAGAAGGGGGTTCATGATGGGGTGGGATGGGCACAGTGTTAGTCTTTTTTTAAATGTGAGACCCTTGTACACTTTCATAAACTGAGGAATAAGTAGACAAGAGCAAACAGGTGACAAGCTAAGGAGAGCTGTGTTAGGGTCCAGCTGACACCTCCCAGGAATGCTGCTCCTTCCCCATAACTTCAACTGACTGTGGCTAAAAGTAGTCAGAGCAGCACAAACAAGCAGGCCCAGCTCTGGAGATAGTCTGGGTCAAAGGGTTCTACTCCTTTGGGACCTCTGTACCACCTCACCTCTCTAGGAAAATCAGAGGCTTGTTTATGTGGGTGCACATGGTCCATTCAGGAGACATTCACTGAACATTTATTCTGTCCCAGGCACTATGCTAGGTAATAGGAATAGGACTGTGAAAATGACATCATCTCTACCCTCTCAGAGGCTACTCTATCATGAAAGGAAAAACAATAAAATGGAAAGCTAGGTAAATAAATTAAGCCAGAGCCATACTTGGCTGTTTAAACAGAAACCCTAAAAAAATGCACCACAATAGTCTTGTCTCTCTCAAAAGTAAGGCAGTCTGAGTCAATGCTGTGATTCAACAGATTTTTGTAGAGCAGTGTGCTTCTAATAGCAGCTTATGAGGGTACAGAGAAGTCTGAGCTACAGCTCCCACTTTTATAGGTCTCACCTGCAGGTATGCCACGCCTCCCAACCCCCAGTTCTGGCTTTTTAATGTGTTCAGAGAACAGCCAGTAGACAGGTCTCCCCCAGTACCAGTCACATCCATCCTGGTCAACGGCATTGCCCTAGGGCCACCTTGCCACCCTCCCTATATCTGAACATCACTTTTAACCAGCAGTGTTCAACCCTTGCTACCGTTGTAGCCTCCTGCAAGCTCTAGACAGGGAACCGAAGGAAACTGTGTTGAGAAACTTGAAGAATACTGAACTAAATATGGACTGGAGAGATGGCTTAGTAAGTAAGCCCTGGCTGATCTTCCAGAACAGGTTCAATTCGCAGTATTCACATGTTGGTTCACAACTGTAACTCCAGTTCTATGAACTCTGGTACCCTCTTCCAGCCTCCTTAAGCACCAGGCCTGCATGTGGTACACAGCCATACACGCAGAGAAAACACCCATACATATACAATAATAATTTGAAAAAAAAGTCTTATAATAATTGAGCATTCTTCTGTGTTACTACTTTCGGGAGCAGAGGAGGAGGGACCATGTGGCTGAGACTAGGAAAGGTCTTCTGGGGGCAGTTGGGATGTGGACTAGAGAAAGAGGAAAGGGAAGGAGGAAGGCTGTTAGGAGAGGGCAGGGTCTTCCAGTGAGGGAACCACTTCTGCTAAGGATTCGTGGATGGGAGGAATAAGATGAGGAAAACACGAATCATGGTGTGGTTGAGGTCTGGCACGGGGGCAGACATCTTAGTACTTCTGTCCCTTAACTACCATTGCAGCCCAGAACCCATTGTGGTGCCCAACTTCTTTTTGCCTCCCCAACAACTGGAGGCCTCTCTACGCATGATCTCCCACGCTCCAGCTCTGCCACCACCAGCCACAACTGACCAGGTAAGGGCAGCCACGAGCCACGGCTTACCAGGTAAGGGCAGCCACGGCTGACCAGGTAAGGGCAGCCTCTGGGCTCCTCTCCTGTCCAGTCATAATATTCTGAATATATATGTGTGTATATGTATAATCCATAGATATGGATTATATAGATAAATTATCTGGCTTTGTGTAATACAGGTCCTAAACAAACTAACAAAAAGCCAGCCAGGTATGGTGTCAGAAGCTGTGACTCCAGCCTTTGGTAAAACAGAAGGGGTTCATCTTTTTTAAAAAAGAAAGAAGGAGTGGTCCAAGGACCAATCATATCTGTGACCCTGCCCCGGGCCATGTCCCCAGAGCCACCTGACTGCTTTTCCTCTTTGAATTCCCTCTGGGAGAATGTGACCTAATTTATATTTTAATAAATATATAGAATGTCACATTTGTGGGGAGAGGCAGAGACACGTAATAGGGGAGAAAGGAGCCAGGAACTGGTGCTGTGTAGCAGACACAAAGCAACCTCCCCAGAACTTTGAGAACATTTTTTTCAGAGACAAATACAAGTTTTAAGAAAAATGTGTTTGCTTGTTCAATGTGGCAAAAGCCCCTTCAGTATTTCTTTGTCTTGTACTTTGTTCTAAGTACCCTACAGCCATACTGTTCTAGCCCTTCAGCAACTGGGTGGGATGGCCAGATTATCCCCTTAGTAAATGAGTTCATCAGAGTTGGCACTGTGGCAGGGATGGCCAGATTATCCCCTTAGTAAGTGAGTTCATCAGAGTGGGCACTGTGGCAGGCTATCAGACAGAGATCTCAGCTCATAGTCTTTCGCTGCACTGGTTGTGACAGAAGCTACCCACCTCGAGACAGACAGGAAGCAAGTAAACCGAGAAGGACCAGTGAGCAGATTGTAGCCACCAGAGGCTCATCAACCTCCAGCCCGGCTCCTCCAGAAACTCCCACAATCTCCTAGAACAGAGCCACTGGCTAGAGATCCAACCTTCACTACATGAGACTTTTGAAGGAACACTTAATATCCAAACCATGACAACAAGGAAACTGAGGCTCAGAGCTTCCTGCCTCTATCTGCAAGGCATTAGAATGTCTATACAGGAAGAAACTGATGGATAAAGACTGAGTTTTGTCAGAGAACTGGAAACTTTAGGGAGTCAAGTGAATCTATGTCTCCAGCCTGCCCTCTTTCCACCTGAAATCCCGACACTGCTGCTTTTGCACTTGCGTGTTTGTGTGTGTGGGTACTGATATTACAGTGTACCACCACACCTAGCACATGCGAATGTTTTCCTAGCCCATCTGCCTTGGTTTAAATAGACTTTATTTAGCAGTTAACAATGTAAAACATTTCACAGGCCTCCCCAGAGGCCATGTTAATAGGGACAGAGTCAGCTCTGACTGGTCCTGAGAGCCCAGTGGTAGAGTTCTATACTTGGTCATGGCTAATAGGCCAAGAGACAGCTCTGTGATGGTTCTCAAGAGAAGAATTAAGATGTTTGAGCCATTCAGTGATTTTATTCTCCTTCTCTCCAACCTCCCCAACATGTTTCCAAAACATCTGTTTGTCAGACAGCTCAACCTGAGGTCCTGTGTATCTTAATAGATTCCCTCCAGGGGCAGAAATGTTTCCTCTCAAGGAACCTGTGGGCTGTTGTTGTCCTGATTCCTGCCCTGGCCCGCCTCCTTCTTCTGCACCTCTTCTGACATGTCACACACATGGCCAAGGCATCTGCACTATACTTTGGGGGCTGTGTCCAGGCACTGAGCACCAGCTTGGAGCATGACATTCATGGAACAACACTGGATCTGCTTCTAGTGGGTAACCAAAGGATCTGGGGCCTGTGGCTTGACCTCTCTGGGTCTCAGTTTTGTTCTAAGTAACATGGAGCTAATAGTGAGTGGTTGGTAGGATGGGGGTGAGAATTAAGTAGGCACACTTGAATCCTTCCTGCCACCCTCCGGGCCAAGTGGGTGAAGGGTCAGTGAGTCATGCAGCACAGGAAGACTTCTGCAAACTGTTGTTCCTGTTTCTGTGTTTGTGCCTCGGTGATGGCTTCTTCGCTGCGGGGACAGACTGTCTTGATCTTTGAGACAGCGTGGGAGAAAGAAGAGATGAGAATCTCCTGTCCCTTAAAGGGCACACTGGGTTTCAGGAAGATAAGCTACATACAGTTCCCTGACTGCTCATAGTGGAACTCCATTGCCCGCTGCCCTTGGGGCCACTTCTCTACTTAGGACTTCAGTCGTGGCCCCAGTTAGGATAACCAGTGTCATCAGTTTGTCCAGTTTCAGCACTGGAAGGTCTCAGACCAGGAAACCCCAGGAGATGGATTTGGGCTGGAAGCCTGCTGGTACTGAAAGTCAGATCACCCGTGTGTTTAAGGTACTAGTATGAAACTTAAACAAAACCAAAACAGAGTTGCCATGTCTTATTCTGGCAATGTTAATAATAAAATGGAAAATTATAAAGAAGGGGACCTTATGCTTGTGTGCCTGGTATCAAGAACTATTACAAATGATAACAAAGGTGCTGCAGCCTTGCACAGAAGGCATTGTTGTGGGCTGTCTGCCCAGCACTGTTGACTCAGCCTTGGACTGGTGCTGTCCTTGGACAGCCTTTTGTTAGTAGTCCTTGCAGCCAGAATTGTTGTTTTGAATGAACTTATGTCTTCTTGTTGCCTTTAGAAGTCCCTTGTAAGCGAGTGTACAGTGAAACCATCAAACTGGACTGCTCCACAGATGAAAAGAAAGGTTTATTCAAACTGCCAGAGCTGTCTCTCGGGGCAGAGCAGACTAGCAGAAAGCAGGGAAAGCCTTGTCAGTTGTAAGGAGCTGTGTTTGCAAAGGGAGGGAGCATGTAAGCAGGAACAGCCTAGGAGTTAGATTCGGGGAGGGGGGAGGCTGCTGTCTTGAAGAGCCTGGGAGCTGTGTGTAGGACTTTGCTATGTGTTAATAGGGAATTAGATGCCCTATTGCCCAGAAGTAGCTGGCTCTAGCTTTTCCTGAAGAAACCCACTTCACAGGTGTTTAGGTGTGGTGAAAGCCCCTGCTGTGTAGGAGTGCCTCTCCTCTCCTCTCCTGCTCTCTTCTTTCCCTCACTTTGAGCTACAGATTGCTTGGAATATTACTGAGAAATTACATGTTTCCATCAGACAGGCAATTCTATCACCAAATCATAGCTTCTGCCTGCTTTTGCACACTTCTTTCTTCCCATTGCTGGGTGCAGCTTTTCTCCTCACAAGGTCAGACCTGTGCTCTGGATTCCATGCCTCTGATCCAGGGACGGCCCTGTCCCTCTGCAGCGGTATCTCCATCTTCAGCTCTCTAGAGGCTCTGCACTGGCACACAGTAGCTGCTGTGAGAAAACTGACTGACTGCTCTTGCAGATGACAGGTTTGGTTCCTAGTAGCCCCATGGTGACTCACATCACACGTGATTCTGATGATAAGGGATCGGATGCCCTATTCTGACCTCCGTGGGTACCAGGTACTCATGTGGTGCACATGCACACATGTAGACAAAGCACTCATCTTAAAAAAGAACGTAAAAAGGCTTTCCCTTAATTTTATGTGTCATCCCAGCCACTGTCCTATTTCTCTGCTCTAAACTCAATCATTTTATCATTAAAATTTTAATTACATAAGATTTTATGATTATCACATACCAATGGATCTTTACAAGTAAATAACGCAGCACACTACAAATGAACTCTATAAAGCCACAACCCAGCCTAAGAGCTACAATGTTGTTAGTATTGTTTATGACCAGCAAGTTCTTCCCTGCCCCTCCCACCTCTGCAACTAGGAACACTGTAGCTACACTGATGAGAAGCCAAGACACAGGTTTTTTTTTGAGATAGGGTTTCTCTGTGTAGCTTTGGCTGTCCCAGAACTCACTCTGTACACCAGGCTGGCCTCAAACGCAGAGATCTGCCTGCTTCTACCTCTTGAGTGCTGAGATAAGGGTGTGCGCCACCACTGCCCAGAGAGAGAGAGATCTTAAAGGCCATATAACTCTCAAGAGAACAATAACAGAGGCATCTTTGTCTCATCAGAAACAACTGAAGACTAAAGATGGGGACTTTATTTTTTTTGCCCAGAGTCTCAGAGGTTATCTTGAACTTCTGATTTTGCTGTCTCTGCCTCCCAAGTGCTTGGATTACAGACCTGCACCACCACGTCCAGTTTAGGTGGTGCTGGAGATTGAACTAGGTAAGCACTCTGGCAGCTGATGTACACCTTATTGAGGCATCTCTAAAATGCTAAAAGAAACAATAGTCTAAGTTGGAATTCTATAGCCAATGACAATCAGTTTCAAAATAAAGCCACTTGAGAGTTCTGGTTACCAGCAGGTCCATGTGGTGTGAAACTTCAGAGGAAGTTCTTCAGACTGCAGAGAAACTACCCCAGCAAGAACCAGGATGTGGCACTCACAAAGCAGAGGGAGGTGGCTCTCTGTGAGTTTGAGGCCAGCCTGGTCTACATGAGCTAGTTCCAGGATAGCTAGGAGTGTTACACAGAGAAACCCTGTCTTGGAAAACAAAACAAATAAACGGGATGTGAGAGAATGAAGTGCACAAGCATAAAAATATGTGGGTAAATAGCAAACACTATTATTTTTTTTTCTAAATTTCTTCAAAATGAGGACCTGTGTGTGTGCGTGTGTGTGTGTGTGTGTGTGTGTGTGTGTGTGTGTGTGTGTGTGCAGGTGCCTGCGTCTGTGTGTGCCAGAGGTTGAGGCAGGGCATCTTCCTCTATTGGCCTCTGTTCTATTTTTTGAGACAGACCCCGTGTTTGGATGAGGTGTTTAATTTTAATTGGGCTTGTTAATTAGGTGAGCCAAATGGGGCTTTTGATAGCTGGGCTTTGGTAGTCAGCCTCGGGAGGAGAAAGTGGCTAAATAAGGGAACAGACTTGGTGGCAGCTTTAGGAATGTTATCTGATGGTTTTTAGCAAAGCAGAGGAAAAGTCAGCAAAGATGAAGGAAAGGCTTTGAGAGTTGTACAACTCAGAGAGAAGAAACCTTAGGAAATCACCCGACCCAGATGGTGCCAACAGTATGTGCCCAAGAGGAGTTAAGAGAGAAGGTCCCAAACTAAAGCAGTCAGCAGGCTAAGAATTAAAGAGCAAGAAGCAACCTGTCCTCTCTGCCTTCAGACTGGTTCTTCCCCATGAGATGGGCCTTTTGTCCTGTGCCTTCCCTCACCAAGCCCAGTCTCTGCCTTGGGTTAACCACAAACATGGGGCCAGACACATTTCTCCATAAACAGTGAGTGTAGAGGCAGGAAGTAGAAGACAAGGCCAGAAATGACTACCCTGGAGGCCTTGAGTTGCCTGCCTCCATCATTGTTGAGCCCAGCAGGTGAGCTGAGACATCACCAGACAGAGATCTGCTGCTGGCTTTCTCGGGTCTTGGGCAGTGGGCTCTCTGGTCTGGAGAGGCAGTGCTGACTTGATTTCTTTTTATAGAAACATGACTTCTAAATCCAGACAGCCAAAGTTTAAAGTTCAGCTTTGCCACTGCCTATAGACATGACCTGGGACAGGTTATCTGACTCCTGTGTGCTTTCATTATCTGAAAAGAGGGCAAAAGAGAACCTGCCACCTAGTGTTGCTTGTGGAATGACTCAGCTTGGGGAAGAAGCCAGAACTGTCTGGTACCTAGCCTGACCGAGACGGCAAGTTCGTGCCTCCCCAGAAAGGCCTGTAGACCTGTTGGCATGTGCTGCACTCAAGTCTAGACCTGAGCTGCAAGCAGGCTGATGTATAGCAGGACCCAGGAACAGTGGGATTTTCTAACCCACTGTTCTCTGGAGTCTGGACTGTGGTTAGTGCGCTAAGGAGTTGACCTGGCTCTCCTGGGCTCTTCATTGTGGAAACTGAGGTTGGGCCTCTTAGGAATGGCTTCTCCAAAGGACAGAGGTACTAGGTGGTAAGGCCCAGAGGGAAACTTGGGCAAGAGCCCGGTGAATAGAGTGCTGACGGGAATGGAGTCAGCTGAGCAGGCCAGCCATACTGTAGCTCAGGACTGGGACTCTGGTCTGAGTGTCTGTCCCCACTTCTCCCTACTCCTAGCTGTGGCTGCTAAGGTCTCTCCTGTCTTTAGTGTCAGGGAAGTCCTTGTCACTACCTTAGGGAAGGAAAGTGAAAGGCAGCCAGCCAAGGGGGTGGAAGTTGAACAAGGTGGCAGCTGTGTGGTGTCCTCACGTGGCCTCTGAAGCAGCAGCCCAGGCAGCCTGGCTGAGCAGGGCAGCCGTTTGCTTTCAGTTTTTCTCTCTGCAGTGTTGTTTCTCATCACTTAAGGAAACTGCTCTAAAAAAGAATAGTTTTGGTCATGAACCCAGTCCAGAGGATCACTTGGGGCTGGGGGTTGGAGGCAGTTGTGGAACAATTGCCTGGTCAAGCACTAAGCATACTTGGGAAGGTGCCAGATCCTAGTTCTACTCAGAGCCTGTGAGTCCTGACTTCTTGCCTGAGATGATAATAAAAGCTTTGTTTTTGCTCTGGTGTCTGAGGCAGGGTCAGCCCTGTGTTCTGCATGATGTACCTGGCATGAGCCTCATACAGATCTGAATTCTGAATTTCACAGTAGACCAGAGAAAGAAATCCAGTTACTACCTGCACTCAGCAGTGAGCACCGAGACCACAAACAGAAAGGATCTCAGTCTTAAGCAAGTAAGAGAAGTCATCTATACCACAGACCAATATTCCCTCTATCCTACTACCTCCCTTCTGTGCAAAAGTTGGAACAGCTTAAAGAAGACTACGGGCGGGCTGGAGAGATGGCTCAGCGGTTAAGAGTGCTGGCTGCTCTTCCAGAGGACCTGAGTTCAATTCCCAGCACCCACATGGCAGCTCACAAATGTCTGTAACTCCAGTTCCAGGGCATCTGACCCTCACACCAATAAACATAAGTTTTTTTTTTTTTTTAAAAAAAAAAAAGAAGATTCGGGGCAGCACCTGTGCCACCACTGCCTAGGAGCACAGAACCTGGATGAGGAGCATCCAGAGGTATAATGAAGGGGCCCAGAATTGAGATCAGACCATATTGCTGACCAAACAGGGACCTGACAAAGAGAAAAATATTCTCCCTTCCCCCTCTGTCTCTGTCTCTGTCCTCTCTCTCTCTCTCTCTCTCTCTCTCTCTCTCTCTCTCTCTCTCTCTCCATGTTTTTTTGAAGTCCCCCCTAGGGACTCCACTCCACATATGGCCCCTCTGTTCAGATACAAAGGCTCTTCCACATTGACTTCTCCTGCCTCCTCAGGAGTGTGGATGCTAGGCTGGTGTGCACCTGCTTGTTTGCAGTGTAGCTCCCCTAGGCGGGAGCATGGCAGTGAGAGAAATGGTGAACACACTTGGGTATGTCCCTGCCTTGGACACTTTCCTTCTGCCCAGGCCTTCAGGGTTATGTGTTTTGCAATAGCAAGTATAATGAAGATTTTTTTTTTAGCACTTACTAATCAAGATGTTTATTAAAGTCAACAGTTGATGCTGAGTATATGTATCCCCACCCCTCTTCCCTGCACATGGGGCCAAGGCCTGGGCTGTGTAGATAAGGTCTCCTGGGTCACTGGGTCTGGGTGTGGATGCTAGAAGGTTGGCTGAATGAACCATCTTAGCTTTAGCTCTAAGAGTGAGAGGATCCAGCAGCAGCTTCAGGTCTGTGTGCATGCTCTTTCTCCTCTTGAGTGACCTTACTCCCACCCTAGTTTCCTTGAAACTCAGCCTGTCTTAGATCCAGCACTCACTGAAGCCTGCCTGGGCCTTCCCAACTGTTACTAATGGTTCCTTTCTCCATGTTCGCCTCTCTTCTGTCTTGAACAAGGACAGGAGCCATGTCTATATGTTGTCCACATGAGCTGATCAGGTGGAGTAGATCCTACATTTCTAGAAGGCCTGATGAGCCACCAGCAGATGTCTGTGATGGTTTTAGGATTGATGAAGGGTCAGAGACCAGCCCCTCCGGGCAGAGGTACCTGGTGAGACCCTGACTCACCATTTCCCGTCTGGCTTAGCCTTGTAGTTCTCTTTCACTGTACAGAGGGTAAAAGAAAATGTAGTATAAGCCACAGCTAGTGGCCCAAAAGATCCACCTGTAGCTACAGCCAGAAGAGTGAATGAAGCTAGTGTCCCATTAAACACCAAATACCCCAGGACCTTGGAAGGGGGCATAGAAAAGCTTAAAAGTCTTGCAGGGAACCGCAAGGATGGAGATTATATATACACACACAGTAGGCCAGCAGCCTGGTCCTGCCCATTTACTGGTTTCACAACCTGGGCCCTCATCTTGACCTGGCCTGCCTGAGTTTACATGTATCGAAGCCTCTAGTTCTCATCCTTAGAAGTACAGTCTGAAACAGAGAACTATGTGGACACACTGGCCTGGGGCCTTCACTGGCCTTGGGTGTTAATTTGAATGGAAGGACTGCAGATCAGCAAATGGTGTTTTTCCCGTTAGCCTAGACCTGCCCAGAACACAGAGTTGTACCTTCCAGGCTCTGCTGAGCAGTCCAGCCCGACACTGCATATTCTTAGTCACCAGAAAAGCCTGCAGGCCTGCTTGTTCACCGTCCCTCAGTGCTCAGCGTCCTGGACTGGCAGAGACCGTCCTGATTGTTTGCCCAGTCCCCTTGTTCACTCAAGCAGTAGATGCCCAACTCTACTTCTGTCTCACTCCGGCTGCTGCTCTCTTTCTTCGGTTTGATCACTGTGTCTCACCTGTTTAACTGCTATGAAGCAGGAACTGTTCTGTTCATCTCTGCCTCCGTTTGACATGTATTGCCCTTGGGAAAGAAAAGATGGGATTTCTGAGTGTACTCATCCTGAAGCCTATCTAGCTAAACCTGTTTCCTGTTAGCAGTCTTACAGGGTACAAGTGAGTCCCAATCTCCAAGCTCTGCACACACTGCTGTCCCAGTGTCTGGGGATTGGGGGTAAGGTAATGTGGTCTTAGTGCTCCATCAGCATGTGGAAAGGCTCAAGAATTTGGGGACAGGAAAGAGATCTTTCCATAGGACAGGCTGTGTGCTGTGAAGCCAAGCCTCCATCTCTATTCAGTATTGCCTCTTTGCTACCTGCCCTCCTTCCCTGGGGACCTCAGCCAGCTTACCCAGGCTTTATTCTACAGATCTGAGCTTCAGGGCAGAAACCTGACAGAGTATGTCAAAAAAGGCAAAGGTGAATGGGCACATGGCTTTTCTATGGTAGCTGCTCAAGTGGGATTCCCACCTCAGCTCTGCCACTCAGAACTGCATGACCTTGAACTAATTGCACCTGAACTGTGGGGAGAAAGTTGTCCCTTGTGATGCTGTGGCAAGGGTTCAACAAAACAAGGCATGTAGGGTGGTTTGCACACCAGGTTTGCACCTCTACATTAATGTTAGCCCAAGAACCAGAGCACGAGGGATCAGACTCAGCCACTGGCAATGCTATTCCCTCTGTGCTAACCTCGCTGATGTCTTTCTCTCCAGGACAAGAATGAAACCACCAGGGGAGCCCTTGCCCAGAGGCCTTGTCGCCCCAGACCTAACTCTGTCCCTCCCAACCTTCCTGAGGAAGAGACTCGCAGAATCGCACGAATATTTTCTTCCAAGTATTCCCAGAAACCTCATGAAGCCTAAGGGACTGAGGGGAGGGGCTACCAGCCAACCTCCTCATCTTTGTTTAACTTACAAGAGGCACCAGGTCTGTTTCCCTCGGCATCCTGAGGCCACGACCACCACCCTATTCCATGGGCTTCTTGAGACCTAATTAAGACTAGAGAGATGTCTGGACCCACTAACTTCTGCCTACTAGGACTTCAGCTTCCTTCTGTAATGAGGCAACGGCTGGAAATAAAATGGACTCCAGCACCCAAGTGGCCCGCCCATCCATCTTCTGACTGGGGCCTAAGGAGGCACCTCTGAGTAGAGAAACCAGTATCCTTGACACAGCCTCTTGTTGAACATAGCCACCCTATTTTTGCTTTAAATATTGGTGGGAGCAGTAAGTGTGTGCATAGCTGAGAAAATTCCAAGGCCCTTTCCAGCTTGTTTATTTGGGAATGTGTTTGTAGACATAAATTATTTTTATGATTTAGTGAATTAATCAGTAGCACAGGGGGGATCACCTCCTTTAAACTGTATTTGATTGTCTGAAACCTAACCATGTTTTTAACTTAACTTTGTTTTTTTACTCATCTCTGAAATTAATTGTTCTTGCCTTTGTTTTAATAAAACTCTGATATTTGTATTTGTGCACAAGTATTTTCTGGGTTGGTCACTGGGAAAAAGTGCTGGAATTCATTTGTAGTCTTTGCTGCAAAAACAAAAGTTGACAACCATCCCTCAGCCATTTGGAACAAGAGTCACCATGAGGCTTCTGTGTGTTCTCCCTAATGTTGGATTGGCCCACATTGGAATGACACCAGTATCCCCTCTTGATTGTTGGGTTTTGCTTGTTTGTTCTTGGTTTTGTCTTTTCCTCTGATGATCCTTGAAATCTCTCAGCTTAGTGAAAGTCTATTACCCAGTCCCTCAGAAGGGTGTCTGTCAGAACACAGCCACTTGGGCAGATACCGTTGATAAAGTCCTATGGGGACCACTCTGAAGGGGCACAGATGTATAGGACCAGCTGGGTGGTGAGGCTGGAAGGTACTACCAGAGGACCCTGCTTGTCACCCCTAAGCATTTGTCATTTCACTAAATCCTCAAAACAACTCTACACCCTAGATAGACGCTGTAATGCCCCTCTACAGTTAAACTCAAGGTCAAGGAAGTCAAATGCTTTGCCTGTGAATAAATAGAAAGTGTGTCCAGAGATAAGGACTCGATGACCAAAGCGGAGGGCAGCCAGTAAGGGCTCTGAATCTGGGCAGTCCCAGACTGCTACGTCCAGGGAACAATTCCTGAAAGAAATCAGTGCTGGGGTAAACCCAGAGAATGACCAGGCCACAGACATCTGCAGATAGAACCAGAAGGATGTTCTGGGCCGTACCGGAGTCCAACCTGGCAGTGTCTGTGCCTCTGGCCTCGTCTGGAAGGCACAGACACCTTTAGACTCTGGCTTCATAGGATTGCTGTGAAGATCAAATGGGACATTTCTGAAAATACTTGGCTGGCATTTGGCACAGAATGTAAGCTTAGGAAATGTCAGCCCCGCCCCCTCTTCCCAAGCTCCTGGAGTGAATTAGAGGCAAGAGCGCCAGTACCCAGCCTCCGTTTATGGGCCATGTACCCTCAGCCCAGCCTGCCCTCATATTTATTTCTGCTCCTTGAACTTCACCCTGCAAACCCACTCCCTCCCCAGCCAGGGCTGGCCTCAGCCACAGGCCTCACACTCAGGCAGAATAGAGAGAGCTTCCAGTACCTGGAGTTTCACATCCCTCAGGGAATAAGAAACCTCCAGGTTCCAGGCCTAAGGGGTAAAGCCTCAGGTGAAGAAGATTCCTGCCAAACCCTGCTCTATCCTGTAAATAACCATGGGGTCAAGTGAGGACAGGGCCACAGGCTGACTTGGGCTGCTTTTGCCCCAGGTTGCAGACAGTCTCTGGTGACAAGGAAATGGTGAACATTGACACTGACAACACAAATGGTGTGTTAGTGACCAGTAGCTCTGAGGTACTGTTTGTCACTGTTACTAGAATGAACCAGTGTCTCCCTGACTTTCACATATACAACCCCTCCACAGACACCTGAAAACAGATGGTTTCTGGAGAGCCAGAGAGTGTAGCAGGCAACTTAGAACTTCTAGCAGAGGCCTAACTCTAGCTAGAAGCCCAGACAGATCCACCAGCAGGAAGCAGGAAGCAGGAGGCCAGAGTCACCTGAGCTCCCCTCCTTCCTTGTAGCACCCCCCCCTTCCCCCTTCCCGTATAGCTCTCAGTCCTGCCCAACTCCGGAGTAATAGTTCCAAACAGAGCCCGAAAGCATAAGGGTAGGGCATGGACCAAGATAGAGGATAAACACTAGACGTCACAATACTCACCCTGGGACCAGGGCTCTGTGCTCGAGCTTCAAAATGGCCTCTATCTTCTCTTCCCGACCTATCTTCTCCTGCCCCCTCTCCTTTTTGTCTCCCTTCTGTGTCAGCTATGTCCAACCTCAGTGCCTGCAGACGACATGTCATGGAGAACAGTGGTTACAGCAGATAGACCCAATGTGTGCTATACGTGTTATGGGCGGTATACTAGTTGTGTACTTGGGAAACCTCTGTCCTTGAGGTTCAGTTTTCTGTGTAAAGTAAGCATTGACTCATGAGGGTTCTACACATAATAAAGACGTGAAGTACTGATACACACTTCAGTGTGTAACACCACTGTGTAAGTGTAAGTAGCCAGCCACGAGAAGCCATACACTCTATGATCCTACTCAAACGATACATCTAGGGCAAGCAAATTAAGAAACAGAAAGATGAGTGGTTGCCTAAAGCTGGGGGCGGGGAGGAAGGGGTGACTCATATTTTTGAGCTGTAATGAGAATGTTCTGAACTAGATTATAGTAGTTGCTCAACCTGACTCTACAAAAAAGGTGTTTGAATTGTGTGCTCTAAGTGGGCAAATTGCATGCTATGTAAACTACATTTCAAAGCAGGGTTGTTTTACTTTGCTTTTAAATTTAGGATCCTGATAATAATTGGTTCTTTGGGGGTAAGGGAAATAGAAATGATGTGTCTAAAATATCAAGCACCTGATGGGCACCAAGAAACAGCACTTATCACCATTGCTATTGGGAAGAAGACACACCAGAGAACCCCTGTCCTAAGAGGCCTGGCCTTTGGGCTCTCAAAGGTGACAATGCACACACCACATCCCATATCCCCTGATCACGAAGGTAGCACTCCTTTTAAAAACTCAAAAGAACCATGTTAAAGAGCCCCAGGTCCGGGAAGCTAAACCAGATCTGGAACTCCCTGGTCCCCTCCCCGCCCTGCCCCACAGCAGCCCGCCTCTTGTCAAGTGATCGGGCTGTCAACTAGCTTCTCAGAATTAGGTTTCAGGTCAGCTGGTGCCTAAGGCCAGTACCAAGCCAGAGGCAACAGAGACAACAGTGAATGGTGAGGAGGGGCCATCGGATCCTGCTGCCACCACTGGAATGGAGTCCCAGGGAGCCCCTGCACTACCCTACCTTGGCTAGACTCAGGTGAGACCCCATACCTTGCCTCAGCTCCCCTTGCCCCTTCTGCCTGCTCTCCCTTCCATAGAAGCTCACAGCCAGGAGTGATTCAGTCTAGCCCCACTTGGTCAAGATGAAGGAATTGCAGTTCTAGGGAGGCTCCCATATCCCCTTTGTGCTCCTGGCCCCTCTTAGAATTTTACAGATCACAGATGGGCAGTGTCCTCTTTTGGCCCAGGATTCCTGCCCAGAGGACAAAGTCCTCTCCAGCACTTGTCTTGGGGCCCTTCCTAGGTAGAGATGAGGAGGTCACCTCTGGTCCATGTGTGGCAGACATTTCTAAAGCCTGTGCTCGCTCTACCTGCTGGTGTCCTCAGCGCAGATGCAAATGCTTTCCCTGAGAGAACAGCTGAGCTGAACGCAGGATGCACTCAGCAAACATAAATGGGCCCTGGAGACTAGAGCATCCTATGCTTTGCTGCCGTAGCAGAGCCACAGGATGAGGATTGCTCAGAACTTGCACCTCCAGATGGTTGCAAAGGTCTGCTGCCCACCAGGATTTTCAAATAACAGCTGAGGCACAGCAAAGAGGAGGATTGGGGAGCTCTGACCTCAGGGAGGTTCCTATTGTGTCTGCCTTTCTAACCTTGCTCACATACTCAAGAATTTTTGCCCATCCCTTCTGTTTCTGATGCACGGCTCGGGGATACTCCTTCAAAGACTTGGTGCACCCAGTCGCAAGCTCTTGACCACTTGTGAGCGCATTTCCAACAATATCCTCGCTGGTCTGTCTTTGATGCCTGCCCCTGCATGCTCCAACCACCCAGCCCCTCCTCATTCTCCACTAGACTAAGTCTAACCTCGGCATTTGCAGCCCTCTACCAAAGGGCCCTGAGGTCATCTCTGACCTCATTTCCTGTCTCCTCATTTTGGTAAGAATGATTTTTGGGCAGCTGGCCCTCCTTGGACTGTCTTCACGGAGAAGGAGGGAAAATTGATCTTTTCCCTGCTTTGGCGGCTCCTACGGACCTAGAAAACAGATAATGAGGCAGTGCTACAAGACAGCAGGGGCAAAAGTAGCAGAGAACAAAGTGGGCTGAGAAGGCAAGCCCTGGTCGACAGGGAAGCAAAAACTCCAGAGACGCACCTGGCCTCAGGAAGGAGAAAACTCCATTAAGTAGTCTGTAGGACCTGGCTCCGCACCAGCACCGCCTGCTGTTCCCTCCAGCAGAAAGTGCCCTGGAGTCGCTCACAGTGTGACAGTGGCCATACATGGGTTCTTTGCCTGACTTGCCTCGGTGTTTCTCTACAAAGCAGAGCAGAACACAGGTTTTTTTCTACCAGCACCAGACAGGCTCACCCCAGGGGCCTCCCCACTTCGGTGTGAGCCTCAGATTTGTGATTGCAAGTCACCCAGCGGCCTAGCTCTCCAAATCCAAGCAAATCCAAGGCTGGGGCGAAGAAGAGACCACCAGGACGCCATCAGGAGAGTCAGCTGTTCCCACAGTACATGCCAGGCCTGGGCAGGGAATCCAGTACCTCCCTGCTGGGAAGGAGCCAGGCCTGGCTGCCCTTCTGTAGGGCAAAGGGGAATGAGGCCTGAGCAAGTGGATGGTGTTTCCTTAACACGCCTGCACTGCTGGTTCCCAGCCAAGTTGGCTCCAAGGGCCCAGGTCTCAGGCCTTACTCTCCAAAGAACCCCCTCCTTGAGCTTATCTCAATTTACAACTCAGACAGACAAGAAGATGGGCTGAAAGAAGAGCCTGGAGAGCCAAGGTCTGACTATACCCACCCACATAGACTTTAGCCTATCTGGGCCCATAACTTGCATCTGATTAGTGGACCTTGGTATTCACCTAACCTTCTCCAGACATGTATATTTGGTTTTATGAAACACTCAGTGACTGCTTTGAATGCTCAACCAAAGACAAAACCATGGTTAGCCAGATGACCACATTGACTAGACCATGGATAGTGTAGTGATGACAACCTTATGGCTTGGCTATCAGAACAATTAGATTGGAGTTCTGTGACCAGTGGTCAGTCAACCTCTTTCCAGCTTAAGCCTCTATTTTCTCATCTGTAAACTGGATTTAAGTACTGCCCTGCTTTTTCCAAAGTGATTTTGAACCTGAAATAGGCTGAACACGGGCTTGGACACCAGGAGCTGTCTACAGTGAGCAGGCTAATGTCTCCAAGCCTCTGCTGCCCTTCCTAACAGGAGCTGAAAATCGAGGGAGATGACATATATGTGGAAAGCTCCCACTGCAGGTTCCCCACAGCCCAGCAGTCAGCTCCTCCTGCTCTGAGCTTCCCTATAGCAATGATTCTCAATCAATGGGTCTCAAACCCCCACCCCATATCAGATATCCTGCATATCAGGTATTTATCTTAGGATTCATAACGGTAGTAAAATTGCACTTATGAAGTAGCAACAAACTAATCTTATGGTTGGGGGTCACCATAGCTTGAGGAACTGTATGAAAGGGTTGTAGTGTTAGGAAGGATGAGAGCCACTGCCCTACAGGTTCAGGCCTCGGCCTCTCCTAGACCATCCTTTTCATCTTTGCAGCTGCCAAAAGTCCTTTTCAAGCCTGGCCTACATTAATCCTCTTATACTCCTTACAAGCAAAAGGACAATCTTCCTCCTCTGAGACCCTCCTCTACAGCTCCTCCCCATCTATACTGATCACAGTTCAGCATGCACTACAGTTATTTGCGGGCACTGTCTAAACCAGCCCATATAGTCTGCTGACGATGCTCCATAGGCAGCTCACAGGCATGGGTTTTTATTCCAGGAAATCAAGCCCTCTGGGTTGGTCCCTTTATGTGTGCTGGCCTTTACCAGCTGAATCCCTGAAGTCACTCAGGGACATGATGTGAGGATGGGATTAGACAGATGTGAGAGGGGAGCTCCCAATGATGTTACCATCTGTTTTCTCAACGAATACAGCGCCTCTAGATGGGCGAGGCCCCTGTTCCTGGAGACGGTGCACCCGAGGGAGACGGTACAGCAGTAGGTGAGGTCGAGGGGTGACTGGTGCCATGAGATGGTTGAAAGTGATACTGAGTTAGCATTTGAGTTCAGGAAAGGTCCTCTTTAGAGGTGACGTCTTAGGAGAAACGTGAAGGAAAGTGAAGAGGCAGTCTGCAGGTGTCTGAGAGAACTGTATTCCAAACGAATGCAGCTCAAGTGGTGTGAGACCACTGCCCTCAGCCACCGGGAAAGAGAGGGCTCAGCAGCAAGTACCTGAGGCCCAGTTCCACCAACAGGCCAGTCAGGAAACCCTACAGAGGGGAGCAACAAAAACCGAGGAGGATTCTGTTTCTTTTATATAGAGAGAGGTATATCCAGGCCAGACATGGCAGCACGGGGATAGGATCCCAGCATTTGAGAGCCTGAAGCTGTATGGTTTCAGGTTCGAGACTGGCCTGGGAAATTTAGTGAGACTTTTGCCTCAAATACATACGTACATACACATATACGTACGTACATACATACATACATACGAGGGCTGGAGAGATGGCTCAGCAGAGGTCCTGAGTTCAATTCCCAGCACCCACATGGTGTTTCACAACCATCTGTAATAGGATCTGATGCCCTCTTCTACCATGCAGGTGTATATACAGAGCACTCATACATAAAATATAAATAAGTAAAAAGTAACAGGAGAGTGCTAGGGAGGCATTTCATTGGTAGAGGGTTCACCTTACACTAGGCCCTAAGTTCAATACTTACAAAGGGGGCAGGAGGGTTAAGGTATCCTTTTGGGGGGAACTGGCTTAGTCCAGGATGGATCTCTAGTCGTAAGTAATGTTTGTCCTGTTTGGGAAAGAGGCTTGAGACACCTCAGAAAACTTGACCAGTGAGGAAGCAGCAAGACACTGTGAGAACAAGATGCCTGTGGAGTCGGAACCAGGTATGCTGCCTGCCAGACCTCAGTTTCCTCAGCCGTTCAGTGATGATACCAATGGCCTTGTCTGCTATTCCCCTAATCCTCTGTGACAGGGATTGTTCGGTGTGAAAGACAGCTTAAGTATGGTGGTACCCAGTCTTCTCACTTTGAAAAGCCCCTCCAGGGTGTTGTGGGAGCAGGACGGAGCCAGACAGCCCAGACTCCGCGTGTTCTCTGCCTTATCTCCCGTAGCTGCCTCCGGGAACTGAAGGATTGCCAGGCAACCTTGCTCCTTGAACCTCAGTAGGCACCAAAGGAATCAGGCCCAGCCACTCAGGACCATGGTTGGGCTTCAGCCTTCAGAAGTGCCTCCGACAACAGTTGTGAAGTTCCTAGGGGCTGGCACGGCAGCCTGTTTTGCTGACCTCCTCACCTTCCCCCTGGACACTGCCAAGGTCCGCCTGCAGGTGGGTGCCTTTGGCCAGTGGCTGTGATTTATGAGGAAGAAGGGGCTGCTTTTGCACAGCATCAGCCCAGGTGGGAAGTAGGGGGAAGGCCACTCCACACACTGCTTTGGTCCCTACCACCATCCCTCAGGACCAAAATAATCTAAATACCTAGATATGATGTGACTCTTTACAGTTTACCTACCCCTGCTTTGTAAACTGTAAAGGGTAAAATAAAAGTAAGGCAGTAATGGTGTGGGCTTGGGTGAGCCATTATCCATCTACTATAAGATGGAAGGCAAACCAACTGCACTGTGTGCCAAAGAGACACATCAGTGGGAGCAGCTTTGTGAACTGCACCATGCTGCATATTCAGCCATTTTGACCCTGGTGTGGTAATTACATTAGTTCTCAGACCCTGCAGGGGTCCTGCACACACAGCCCCTCCTTCCCCAGTTACCCATCAGCTTCTCAGGCCCTGCACTTGTCCCTCAGATTCAGGGGGAGAATCCAGGGGCGCAGAATGTACAGTACCGCGGCGTGCTGGGTACCATCCTGACCATGGTGCGCACTGAGGGTCCCCGCAGCCCCTACAGTGGGTTGGTTGCTGGACTGCATCGTCAGATGAGCTTTGCCTCCATTCGAATTGGCCTCTACGACTCCGTCAAACAGTTCTACACTCCCAAAGGAGAGGACCGTGAGTGCCAGCACCAGGGACACCCAGGGGTGGGCGGGAAGCTCATCTGCCCTGTGGGTCAAGGACAGGGAGTGGTCCAACAAGGAGAGCTGGATGCGGGGAAACTGGTAATAGACACTGGCAAGATTTTGACAGTGTTAAGGACTCACGATTCTCTCTGCCATCTCCAGACTCCAGCATTGCCATCAGGATTTTAGCAGGCTGCACCACGGGAGCCATGGCAGTGACCTGTGCCCAGCCCACAGATGTGGTGAAGGTCCGATTTCAAGCCATGATACGCCTGGGAACTGGAGGCGAGAGGAAATACAGAGGGACTATGGATGCCTACAGAACCATTGCCAGGGAGGAAGGAGTCAGGGGCCTGTGGAAAGGTAAACATGGTACCCTCGGGCAGAGCTTTCCTATCCTGAGGCAGAGCAGAAACAGAAGCATGGAGGAGCACAGCTGTGGAGCCAGTTGCCGTGAGATGAGTGAGGGCACTTCCTTGGGAACTGAGACTGTAGAGTCCCCTGTGTTTAGCCCTTGCAAATGCCAGAATCCCTCCTGTGCTTGGACCACCATTCTCATGAATCTTTGCAGGAGAAAAATGGCCCTGTGGTGTTTAAGAGTGGAACAGCCCAGTCACAGTGCTGCCAGGACACTATCTTGCTGGTGTCCCACTCATGCCAAGCCTGTCCTTTCCTGGGTGAAACTTGTCTCCCAGGGTCCTGCCATGCATTCTGTCACTGTCCTAGGGACTCAGCCTCCCTCTTCCATGAAAAATTTCCTTTCCTGACTGCTCTGTGTCTCTGGGAAGCATGTTGAAATGTTGACAGAGTGCAAATTATGCTCCAAATGCAGCCAAGCAATGAGCATCTGTTTGCGAAGGTACAGGAGTTTGATAGCTGATAACCACAGAAGGAAAGTGAAATCTACTTGGCTGAGGTGTGGTCCTCTGGCCAAGTCCACTGCTATAGAGCTCAGTACCCAAGCTGGAGCATTGCATTCATCAGTCCTCCCTGTCTTCCTAACAGGGACTTGGCCCAACATCACAAGAAATGCCATTGTCAACTGTGCTGAGATGGTGACCTATGACATCATCAAGGAGAAGCTGCTGGACTCTCACCTGTTCACTGGTGAGAGTGGGTAGGGAGAGACAGGAGTGGGTACCACTCAGAGGCATCAGGGATCCAGAAAAACAGAGCAAGGAGCAGTACTCAGTTCAGGATTGTGATGAGGAAAAAGGCCTAGGCTAGAGGCCAGAGCCCTGGGTTTTAGGCCAGCACCATACGCAGTGTATTTGTGACAGTCACTTGCCTTCTATGACTTCAATTTCCTAGAAGAAAAAAAAAACTACACAGCTTTCTTACTCAGAAATGAGAAATGCTAGGTTATAGCTTGTGAAGACTAACCAAGAGCATTGAGTACTGTGCTCCAGGTCAAGGTTGCCCTGAAGATGTACAGTGGCTACCTCTGCACAGCTTTACACCCCTACTCCATTCCTGCAATTTGTTCTTCCCTCCCCTTCTACAGACAACTTCCCCTGTCACTTTGTCTCTGCCTTTGGAGCTGGCTTTTGTGCCACAGTGGTGGCCTCCCCTGTGGATGTGGTAAAGACCAGATACATGAATGCTCCCCCAGGCAGGTACCACAGCCCGCTACACTGTATGCTGAAGATGGTGGCGCAGGAGGGCCCCACAGCCTTCTACAAAGGGTAAGCTGCCACCTTCTGCCTCCACCAGTCTTTCCAAAAAACTTGGGCTCTCTTTCTTCCTCTCTCTCCTGTTTTCTCTTCTTTATTCTTTTCTTCCTTTTTTTTTTTTCCTCTGACTGAGTCTCACGAGTTCCAGGCCAGCCTAGAACTCACTTCGTAGCCAACAATGACCTTGACATTACAATCCCCCTGGCTCCACCTCTGAACCCTGCACACACACTTGGTGCAGGGGTTATACCACCACACCTGTTTTTTGGGGTCTTATTATCCCAGTGCCTACAACAGAAGCCTAAGAAAAAGTAGGCCATGACTAGATAAAATTATTGTCTCTGAATGCTTTGGGCAGGGGAGATTTTCCACCTCTGCTGCCCTGACCATTCACCACCACACTCATGACAACTCATGAGTGCCATTCTTCCACGCCAATACTCAGGCTTCCTGTGCCTGCATGGAAGGCTTAGCCTCTTAAGAAGGATTATCATTATCACCATAATCATATTATGTGTGGTGTGTTTGTGTATCGTGAAGCTGGTGCCCTCCTTCGACTTTTGCATGGGTTCCAGAACTCAAACTCAGTCCAAGGGTGTGCATCCATGTGCTCAGCACCTTAGCCCATGGGGATGCCTTCCTCAACGTCTGTATCACCTGATCTCAGCCACCCTTGCTGACTAGTCCAAATGCCACCTCCTCCCTCACACGTGTTTCCCTTCTCTCCCTGAACCTCAGTAGTACTATTTGATCTACTTCTAGTGTAATTTCACCTCCTACAAAATTAAATTCATCTTCATGCTGGTGCATGAGCTCCTTGGAGCTGAGGCTAGCGACTCATCCATTTTTATCATCTGAAGATCCAAACACAGAGAAAGTATTCAATAGTGTGGCTTGCTCACCATCATCCTGAAAGCCAAATCCCTACATTGAGCCTTGTATGAGGTACTTTATGTAGGGTATTGCTACAGCCCGCTGAACTGGGTAGTAGTCCCCACAATGTGCTCCAAAATGGTAAGCTGCCCAAGATCACAAAATGGCAGAGCCCCAATACCAAGGCCACACCCTATCCCACTGGTAAGGTCTTTGCTTGGCTCCCGCATCATTGCCTGCAGCTAGTATTTTCTGCTGTGTGATGTTTAGCTGAACGCAGCAGACCAGCAGGAGCCACAGAAGTTCTCATGTCTGGAAATGGTGTACTCAACCTGTTACCTGACACTGTTCACCTGAGTGTTTTCAGCTAGTGACTCAGTTTGTTCTTTCACTTGACAAACGTTTATTGAGCATTGTGTGTGTGCCAGGATCTGCCCTATGCCTCCCTCAGAGAATCATAAACAAGGTGCTGGCACACCCAACTTTACTTTTCTTACTTCCAAGACAAGGCACCTGAAGTTGGAGCAGCTAGGATGTTAGCCCAGGTTTGGCTTGACTCTGATGTGTGGATAATATTGCCACAGTGATATAATCCTTATGAAGGTTCAAGAACAACCATGACAAGCTGGGTACAATGGTTGAAGCAGGGGTTGCCTTGAGTTCAAGTCCAGCCAGAACTACATAGTAAGGCCCACCCATACCCTCCCCAACAAAGGAAATGCCATGGCACTTGGCTGACATGCCCAAATGAATCCTACAGCATGAAGAGCAGCCCTTCAGACTGGAAAGACAATCCAAACTAAGGGGACAGCAATGTGTTTAAAGGGACAGAGAGGGCCTATGGTAACTTGATCCCGCAGAACCCAAGGGGACCAAGAGGGAGCAAGTAGACAGTGACTGAGCTGAGGGACCAGAGACCAGGATCCTCCCCGCCTCTGAGAAGCAGTCTCAGATGGACATCTCCCCCGGGTAGTGGCTGAGCAGAGCTTTCTGGAGACGAGCTGATTTGCCATGGTCCCTCCACCCTGCCCCACATCCACTTCTTGATGTCCTAGCCTGGGCTTTCTCTGGGTGGAAATCTGGGTGTAAATGAGCCTCAAAGCCCCTAACATCAGGATGAGTTGGGTCAGACAGTTGTCTCAGCCCTACAGTGCTACTTACCAACTTTGTGGTTTGAGGACCTCAGCCTCTCTGTCCTCAGTTTCTAACAAAGGACCAGCAGCCAGCAGAGTGAGCCCACAGACCTCTGAGAATTAACTTCCAAACATGGTAACCTGCCTTAAAGATAGCTATTGTTCCTTTTCTGATTCCAACTCCTGCCTAAATCCCCTCAGCAGTGACATCAAAGCTGAAACAGATCTCAGAAAAGAATTGTGACAAGCAGCCTTCAGATAGCGTGGAGACAGCACAGGTAGGTGTGCCTGTCCCTCCTAGCCCGATCCTCTTCATGTGGTCGTTGTTTCTGTCCTCAGATTTATGCCCTCCTTTCTGCGTTTGGGAGCCTGGAATGTGATGATGTTTGTAACCTACGAGCAGCTGAAACGGGCCTTGATGAAAGTTCAGGTATTGCGAGAATCTCCATTTTGAACAAGGCAAGTGGCCACTTGTTGCTTTCCTCATAAGAGGCTACCTAGAATAGAATCAAACTGCAGCTCTCTGCCCAGTGGACCCAGCGGACTCAGGGGATCCTGGCCCACACAGAACTCTGTGCTCCTTGCTGACTTGAGAAACTGAACTAAAAGAGGAGGCAAGTTTTAGCCTTCCGTGTTTTGTCCTAAAAAACCTTTGTTTTTCACTGACCTGATGGGAATTAAATTATATTAATTTTTTAAACCCTTCTGGTTTGACGCCTAACATTTAGGCAAGAGAAAACAAAGAACATTAGATTCCTTTGGACAAAAGGGAGATTTGCCAGCTTCCCTGAAATGTAGGATTCGACGATGAATAAAAAACAGGAAAGGTTGCAAGCTTTGGGAAGATCAGCTCACTGGAACCCCAGGGATAGTTGCACTTAACTACAAAGCTGTGACTGCAGCCTTTGCAGTCACTCCGGGACATCTGCCCTTCTGTACTGAATCTGCCAAGTGGACTCCAGTAGGATGCTGGGGAAAATGAGAAAGGAAGAAGAAAACATTGAGCCCGTACAAACGAGGCTGACTGGGCCCCCCAGGACACTAGAGGACTGAGGATGTACGGTGGATCACAGCCCCTCCCTATCTACCTCAGGGTGTTGGGAGAATCGAGAGAGAAGCAGGGCATGGAAGCACTTTATAAAAACAATGCCCGTCTGCAGAGGTAAAGTGAAGACAATCATTTGTGCCGTGGGAACCTGCTGTCTGGTGACCTCAAAGGGCTGTGGGTCAGGACCCAGAATCTTTATAAAATTGTTATGCCTCAATAAAAAAAAATTCCCACCTTAAGGAAAATAAGAACGGCTGCTTTCCAGCCTTCTCTCTCTGACAGATTTTCTCAAGCCCTGCTTGTCAGGGTGGCAACAGACCCAATTCCACCCTCCTAGACTTCCTTCTCTCTCACTGCCTTTGCCTGCAGAGACAATGCTGCGGTTGATAAGCCTTCAGCCTTCCATCTACACAAAGGAGGGCTGAGTACAGGACCAATTTCCAAGCTTAAGACTGCACATCTGGCAACAAAATGGCTCAGTGGGCTCAATCAATAGGACCCACATGGTGGAAGGAGAGAATTGACTCTTGCAAGTTGTCTTCTGACCACCACACAAGCATCCATACATGCATGTGAATGTACATATGTACAAACACAAAGAAAAGTTTAACTGCACATGGCAGTTCAAAGGAGATGTCCCCCAGATGCCTCAGGCATTTGAATACTTGGTCCCCAGTTGTTAGTGGCTGTTTGGTGAAGTCTAGAAGATGGGGCCTTGCTGGAAGAAGTGTGTCAATGGAGACTGGCTTTGAGAGTCCAAAGACTCGTGCTGTTCCCAGTTTTTCTATTTCCTGGTTTTGGTTTGACACGTGAGTTCTCAGTGGCTGCTCCAGCCACTGTGCCTGCTGCCAGACCTCCTTGCCAAGATGGATGCTTTCTCTCTGGAACTGTCAGCCCCAAATAAAACTTCCTTCTCTAAGCAACTGCCTTGGTCATGGTGTTTTATCACAGCCATAGAAAAGTAACTAAGACAGTGCACATCTTTCAAGCTGTGTCTTACACTGTCACACATGTGATATATAATGTCTCACCTGCTTCTTCGGAGCTTGGTTGGCTCTGATGGAAGTCAGAAGGGGCTCCAGGCTGGAGATGGACTCACCTTCTAAAGCACTTTCCTAGCATGCACACCCCGGAGTGTGACTCTCAGCACCACATAAACCAGATGTGGTGACACTCTCCTGTGATCCCAGCACACAGGAGGTAGAGGAAGGTGTGGATCAGGAGTTCAAGGTCCCCCTGAAACACGTGAGACCTGGCCTGGAAAAGAAAAAAGAAAGAGCAGAATCAGTCTCCAGCCTCATTCTATCTCATTGTACTAGCCACAGAGAGCCTTTGCTCCTCGGTGTCCTCCCAGAGAAGTGTCAGTGACACACCTCACATCTGCCCCACTAGCAACACCTTGCAGGGGAGGAGATCAGAAAGATGACTCAGCAATTAAGAGCACAAGTTGCTCTTGCAGAGGACCAGAGTTCCTAACACTCACATGGCAGGCAGCTCATAAATGTCTGTAACTCTGGGTCCAAGGGAACAGGTACCTCCCGTCCTCCTCTGGCACTGCACGCACACATGCACGCACGCACACGCGCACGCGTGCGCGCGCACACACACACACACACACACACACACACACACACACACACACACACAGAGGTCCATCTTCCTCTGTGCTGGGATTAAGGGCATGTGCCACCACACCAGCCATTTTGGCATCTTTCACATGCACTTACTTGGTTTGTTTGCTCCTCCTCCCCTGCTCTTCTCTCCATGTTTTCCCTGCATTCTGCTCATGCCGGTCAGCAGCCCCTTTACCACCACCACGTCACCTGATTCAATTGCCCATCTCCCTACATCCCTTCCTTAAACCTTTTCTCCTGTCATGGTCCAGTTTCTCCTTTTATATCTTATTGCCACCCTACCCACCCATCCCTCCACCCCACATGCACAAACATGCATCCAGGCACACACACACACACACACACACACACACACACACACAAACTCACACTGGAAGTTTGGCTCTGTTGTGTATATAAACAACTGGGCATTTGCAGATGAATCAAGGTCTTCCTGAGTAGCTATGGGATATTAAAAGCAGCCAAGGTTCCCATGACAACATCTGGGGAAGTCCTGGAAGAAGTATTTGTACAACTGACAGCTTCAACAGTCTCCACAAAAATGGTTGGGTCAAAGCAGTTGTGTCTCTCACACACACACCCTACACACACCATTACCACCTGCTTAACTTCAAGAGTAGCAGCAACATGATTTACATGTCTACTGGGCTTGGGAACAGCAGAAGCAATTCCAACTGGGCTTTGATCTCTCTGCCTTCTTTGGGGAAGATGTGGGGTTTGCTCCGAGGTCACTACCACTACAGCCAACATTGGAGAAGGGCAGCTATTGATCAAGTAGCTGAATGCCTACCCCCAGTAGTTTCAGCCGTTAGAAGAAGAGAACCAAACTGGTGGCTCGAATACAGCCTTTGCTTCTTAGCTCCAGTCAAACCCAGGCTATGTAAAACCCCGTCTCTAAAAGAAGTGGCGATGGTATGGCTCAGTCAGTAAAGTGCTCTGGGACAAAATCATGGAGAATTGAGTTTGAATCTCCTGCATTTCTGCAATTGCATAATTTCAATGCCGAGGAGGCAGACACAAGAGGATGCCTGGTCTTCAATTAAAAACCTCCAAAAACAAAAATAAGTTGCTTCCTGCTTGTTGCCATGACTCCTTCCCCTTTGAATCTCGTCCATCTGAATAGGGTTTCTCTGTGTGTCATTATCCAGTGTGACACCTGGAAGTCAGAGTTCTATTTTATTGCCCAAAGATTTAAAACTTCAAAAACTAGCAGACATATTTTGAGATTAGCATCATTATCTAACATATTTTGTTATTAATTTTTGTTCAAGACAGGGTCTCCCTGTGCAGCCCTGGCTGTCCTCAAACTCACTCTGTAGACCAGGCTGGCCTCATACTCAGAGATCTGTCTGCATTTGCTTCCAAGTGCTGGAATTAAAGTTGTGTGCACCACCACTGCCCAGCTAGTAGTCTGTAAACAAACCAACTTTTGCCAGCCAGGAGGCATATGCTTATAATCCCAGCAATGGGGAAGCCAAGGCAAGATGTTTGCCTCAAGTTCATGGCTAACCTGGACTACATGGTCAGTACCAGGCCAGTTAGGGCTACACAGCAAGACTCTTAGAATAAGGAAAAAATAATAATTCAACTTTAAACAAGATGTGGTGGCTGCATTTGGGAGGCTATAAATTAAGGAACATCATGGGCTACATATTGAGACATGGTTTTAACAGATTTTTGTTTTGTTTTGCAATTTTATGTATATATTCACTAAATTTTCTTGACTTAAGTACAATTGCCAGGCTGTGGTAGAGAAGGAGAAAAAGAATCAGATAATGTTGAGGAGAAGAACTGACAACATCCACTCAATATTTTTCACAAGAATTACCAGACACGTTGGAAATGTTTGACTTTCTCATGCTGATATCTATTACCTGATATTTTCAATTTTCTCTGTTGTTTGTGTGCTTTTGACAATCTCTTGAACTTTACAAAAGAAAAAAAAGGAGAGATAATCTTGGAATCCATCCGAAGGACAGTGGGGTGTCTTTGGCATTGAAATTCTCTCTTTCTAACTACCAGTACAAGACCTCAGTATGCAGGCTTTTGGATCCATCTGGATCTCTCTCTCTCTCCACCACAGATTTGCCAAGAACCCTGGCGGTCTCTTCATCACAGCTGGAGTCAGAACCTAAGGCAAAAGCTGAACACCAGGTGTCTCCAGCCAGGTGACTCTAGAGGTGACTCCAGCCACAGTGGTGATGGAAACCATTTTCTGCCGTATCCCCTGGCATCTACTTCCTGCAGTAATAGTTATCCAGCCCCTCCCAGCTCAAGCCCGCTCAGCGTCTCCACAATAATTCCTACTTACGGGGGCTGGGGCAGCGGCACATTATATATCTGGTTCCCAAGTGGCCAGAGTTTAAGCCAGAGTGCGTCACTGTGTGGCACTATGAAAACTATTTAATCTCTCTGGATTTGGATTTGTTGTGGAGTACCCACTGGAGAAGATGGTTCATACTGATTACTACCCAGCTTTATTACACTGGGTAGCTATGCCAGTGCAGCACAGAACCGTTCTCTGGGTGAGCTTTTAAGCTCAAAAATGGTTCGGAGTTGGTATACTTCAGTTTACAAAACTAGCTAGAAACTGAACGACAGAAGCCAAAAGGTAAGGCTAGTGCATTTAGAGACCTTTTTAAGGAACTGTGGACTTTGATGGATTAGGCCTTTATTTTCATTTTGGCAGATGGTGCTGTCTATGTGTTCAGTTTTACAGTCTGAATGGTACTTCCATCATGGAGTCAGTTGTGCTAAGGTCTGAGGGCTTACAAAGGTCGGAGGCCTGCTATAGTTTCCTGTTCTGGAAAATAAAGGTTAGCAACAACCTGGAAGGGTTAAATGAGGTGTCCACGCCTACCTGTAAGCAATTGCTTACGAAGGTTCACTTAACCCTCTCCTCTCACTGTTCTTTCCATAGCAAACCAAACCTACTTGAGCCTCTGTTACAGAATATTCAGACCCTTAGTTCTGGCTTCCTGCTCTTAGGGCGCCTAACTCCTTGGCAAGAAAAAAAGAGTTCCACGCCCTGATCTAACTTCTTTGAAGCAATCTTTGGGGCAGACACGAATGAAAACAAAAGAAACGCTGGCGCGTAGCGAAGCAGGGACACAGTCCAAAGATAAATTGAGACCTGCTTCCTCCCACAATGCCCGTTAGTCCGGACACAGGCCTCAAGTATTATTTTTATGTCTGTCACCCCTGCGTGGACATTATCTAGCTGAGGTCCGGTTCACCTGCTGGGTCTTTCCCGGGCTGGGACTGCAGCAAGCTGGGCTCTGCCCTGCCTTCTCCCTTGCCGGGCGCCGGCCTGGCTGCGGACTGCACAGAGAGGGGGAGGCCGGGTGACCTCGCCCCACCCTAGCCGTTGGGCACCCGGGTCCCCAGGGAGCGGCAGTAGGCGGGAACGCCAGCCTCACCCCACCGCTGCGCCCGGGTTGGTTCCGGTCCCTGGAGCCCGCGCCCCGCCCGGTCAGCAGGTGGCTTGCAGGGCGTGGGGGTCGCGAGCCAGAGCAGGTCCAGTCAGCCTGGCTGTCTGCACAGTGGGACAGAGTCAGAGACCAGAGGCCGGGACCCTCTGGGGAGCTTATCTGCCCTCGCGGAAACAAGGGCGACACTGTCCGCCCAGACGACCACAGCTGGAAACGCCCTCTCACCCGCGGGAGTGGGCCGCCTTGGCTCCGCCCCGGCCACACCACGCCCCGACCACGCCCGCGAGCCTTAAGTTCCTCAGCCACGGGTTCGCAGCCACTGTCAGTCCCGCCCGCAGTGCCTTCGGATCAAGCGCTTCCTAGGCAGCCAACACTTGCCAGTCGTCGGACACCGCCGCCCTCACTTGGTGTTCTCCTGCGGTCCGGTGAGCGTGGCCCCAGCCCTGAGCCGGCCGCACCAGATCCCTCCTACTCCATCTCTCTTTTCTTCTTTGCTCTTTCTTTTCCCTTCCCTGGAGGCCTAGTTTGCCCGCTCTTGTTCCTTTCTGTTTCTTTCTTTTACTAAGTCCCTTTGTTCTGTGTCTCTGGCGTCCATTTGGTTGTAAGTTAGCCTTTATCCATCCACTCCTTCCCGTTGGCCACGATGCATACAGCCTGCCTTTGTGGGGGTGGGGATGGGGACTTACACGTCAGCGGTGACCAGAATGACTGTCACCAGACTGCTCTGTGCCATGTGCCCTCAAACCTGTTCTGGGTTGTTTGTGCTTAGAGGAGGCCTCGAAATTAATTGGACACTGTCAGACTCTCCAAGACCAAAGAGAGATCTGTCCAAGATCTGTCCGAGACCAGAGGTGGGAGTAGGAACACACAGAGTGACTGAGCTTGCTTATCATGGTCGCACACAAAGAGACACAATGCTCCACTCAACAGTCAGATGATTGTATCCCAGCACAACCGGGCTGCCTATCTACACAACTGTGGGGGAAAGAAGTTTGGAACTCAGCCAAAGTGTGGGAGACGAGGCTACCCTGAGTGAAACAGGCCCTGTGTCCCTCCCAGCAGGCTGTCTGAAAGGGCTTGTGCGGCAGGGGACCTTTGTAGGCTGTGTTCCTGCAAAGAGAACAACCCTTTCTAAACTTGGCTTCTTTCCTCTCACCCACAGGACACATAGTATGATCTTTAAGTGTTTCGTCTCCCAGCCACTTTCTATGGAAAATCGAGGGGATCAGGCCATGATAGCCACTGGCAGTTTTGAAGAAAGGGACACCTTTAGAGAAGCTTGATCCTGGAGGCCTCAGTGCGAGACCTCAAAGCTCTGTGCCAGGTAAGAACGAGGCTAAGGAAGCCTGCTGTCCTCTCTTAGGTCTGTAGTCCAGGACTGCAGTCAATAGGTCATCAAAACTACCCTCCTCCACCCTGGCAAGTGACTCTTTACATTCAGTACGCACTCTCGCCATCCTGTTCGCCTTCTGGCCCTTAAAGATGGCGGTCTGCGGTGTGTAAAGGAAAAGCCTAACCCAAGCGGGACCAGACTTGGCAGTCAGCAGCAGAGGGGGCAGAAGTTTATTGGGCGTTTGGTTTTGTATTTGTTGTGTGTGTGTGTGTGTGTGTGTGTGTGTGTGTGTGTGTGTGTGTGTGAAGGTATGTGGGTGTGGGTGCCAGGGCATGTAGATGGAGGTCAGAAGACAACTTCTACCATATGGGCCTCAGGGATCAATTTTAGTTCCTCAGACTCAGTGGCATGCACCTTTACCCATCTTACTGATCTGATCTTCCTTCTTTGACCATCCCTGTGAATGAGATTAGCTTTTTACTACCTACAGTTTTACTTGTCTGGTCCTATCAAATGGTTTTTTGTTTTGTTTTGTTTGTGGGCGGTCATCGGGGTCTCACCACACATCTTTGGTTGACCTATGTAGGCCAGGTTGGCCTTGAACTCAGAGATCCGCCTGCCTCTGCCTCCCAAGTCCAGGAGCTAATGGCATGCACCATTAATGCACGATTAACTTTCTACCCCTGGGTTTTAGTTGTAGCAATAGCTTTAGTACAGGTGATGTTGGCCTCTATACCCAACCCTCAATGGCCTGACCTTTGGAAAACCCGAAACAGCATTCATAATGGCAGCTGAGCCACATGGTTTTGGTCTGGACAGCAACTAAGACTTCGTCTTTCTGAGTTTCCCACTATGCTACCATTTAGCTCCAGATCAGGCAGACATGCATGCCATGAACTCATGCATGCATCATGCCACTAACACCTGGAGAAGAGGTGTGCTCAACGCATCTCAGAACTGTTGAATTGGCGTGAAAGGGCTTCTGTTGTGAAGGGGCTTCTCAGTGCCTGGGACTGAGAAAACTGAGGCATTACAGTGTAGAACAGAACAAACTGAGCTGCTATGGAGCCTGCGGACATGGCTCTGAGTTCTTCTCTAACTGGGAGCTAGGGAGGGCAGCTGCCACATGGACTGCTCTCAGTAGTGTGGACCGCAACCTAGAAGGAGGTGTCTGCTGGAGTCTAGGAGCACCTGCACCCTTACAGTTTGCCATTTGATTCCTAGTTTCACTAAGCCCCAGGGGCCCGAGACAAAGAGAACCCTTGTCGTTGTCATGGTGAGTTACTCTGATGACCCTGTTTGTCCCAGCTGTTTTGTTTCCATGGTTGTCTGCATTCACAGGTGACTACCACCACATCCTCCCACCCCCAGCTAGGGCTTTCCTCCTGAGCCCTAGCAACACAGGCAGCCAATCAAGCTGAGCTCGGAACAGTTGTACCAATGAAATCAGAGAAGTGAAATTAGGGAAGAAGAAGCAGGTCACCCTCCCCCACTGGGTGCTGGGCTCACTTCCTCTTGGGGCAGTGAGAAGGGTGGTGTTCCAACTCTAAGAACAAAATGGGTCTTTTGGTTTCCTGTATCTCCTCTGCATAGCTGTGACCTGCACCTCCCATCCCACCACAAAGAACTGAGAATGTTCCCCCCACTGGAGGAAAACAAACAGACCTCCTGGTTGACCAGGTCTCCCGTCCTTTGCCTGTGCCTGCCAGTAAACCTGGAGAGGTGGATGGTGAATCTCTGTAAACCTACACCCGTGGAAGCAGAGGACCTGAGCTGTGGGGGCCAGCAAGGATGGCATTAACATGTCTTTTCAGTAATTGTAGGGTTTGACCCACCAGGTCCTGCTCTGGCAGAACTTTCCCTTATTTCTGTAGTCCTTGGGATAGAACAGGAATGTGGCCCTCCTCTTTGCAGTCTGTGCCAGCAGGTCAGGAGCCTGTTGGTGGCTGTGAGGCAGTCTCAGAATGACCCGGAAGCCATTGTCCCTACACTAAATAAGAGGGAACCCTTCACAGAATCTCAGCTCCTTGCAGGAATTGCTTCCCAGACCCTGCCTGACTACTCTTGGATCTCTCCCCTGGTTTCCCTCCTGTAACCCCTGAGACCTCCTTGGTACCTATAGGGAAAGTGGGCAGGGGTAGGCAGGCAGTGAGAGGGAGGGAGGCTGGGGGACGCTGTTACCCAAGGTCTTCTCTTCTTTTGGCTTAGATTCCGGCAGAGTTCCTCTGTCTCGTCTTGCTGATCAAAGGCTCCCGATTCTCAGATTTTTCTCCATCTTCTGGGAGGTAGAAGGAGACCAGAATCATGGTTGGTTTTAAGGCCACAGACGTGCCCCCGACAGCCACCGTAAAGTTCCTGGGAGCTGGGACAGCTGCCTGCATTGCAGATCTCATCACATTTCCTCTAGACACCGCCAAAGTCCGGCTGCAGGTGAGGATGAAATGAAGCTCTGGGTGCTGTCTCATCTGCTCCCTCCCTGGGTCAGACCCGTCAGGGGTGATGAGGATCCTAGAGCTGGCATGAGATCGGCAGAACCATCTGCCAGTGCTTATAGCTACTCCATCTTGGCCTTTCAGATCCAAGGAGAAAATCAAGGGCTAGTGCGCACCGCAGCCAGCGCACAGTACCGTGGTGTGCTGGGCACCATCCTAACCATGGTGCGCACCGAGGGTCCACGCAGCCTCTACAATGGGCTGGTCGCCGGCCTGCAACGCCAGATGAGCTTTGCTTCTGTCCGCATTGGCCTCTACGACTCTGTAAAGCAGTTCTACACCAAGGGCTCAGAACGTGAGTGTGCAGCTAGGACTCAGCCGATTATGACCTTAGTTCGCTTAGCTGAATGGCTCCTTTAGGCTTCCCAAGACCCCTGGGAGGATCAGAGGAGTGGAGAAGTGGAAGGGACCCCACCAAGGCTGTCTAGGCTATGAGCAGGGTATGAGCCCATGATAGTCTTCACAACCACTATGGCAGTAGGTGGCCTCCTGGGTCACCTGAGGCTTGATATAGGGGAAGGACTGGGTCAAAAGCACACTGGGAGACAGCAGTCACACCCTTTTGCCCTGATAGCCTGCATTTTTTTTATCTCCTCAATAAGCCTTCCTTGGAGGGTAGGGGTTGAGACAGGCTCTTACTATACAGCCCTGGAGTCAGGCCATCTCTACCTGCTTCAGCCTCCCAAGTGCTGACATTAAGTACGTGTCACCACAGCACCTAAGGCAAGGATGCTTTTCCCAGGATAACGCTGTATGAAGAGGTAGAGTTCCACCGAGAATCTGTCTCTCAAGTCCAGTTCTGCTAGAAGTCACCTCTCTTGGTCTTGGGTTTCATGTTTGGTAAATGAAACTGATTTCCCAAGGCTGCAAAGTAACTTAAATGAGCACATTTGAGAAAGTACTGTCTCCATGTGTGTTGCCCCCTGTTATACCCCTGTGAAGACTATATAGAGCAAGAGTGGTCTATTGCATGGTGGTTTGGCAAGAGTATGGTGTACGTGAGTGCAAGCCTGACTGACCACTGACCCTTTGTGTGCCCACAGATGCAGGCATTGGGAGCCGCCTCCTGGCAGGTAGCACCACAGGTGCCCTAGCTGTCGCTGTGGCCCAACCTACAGATGTGGTAAAGGTCCGCTTCCAGGCTCAGGCCCGGGCTGGCAGTGGTCGGAGATACCAGAGCACCGTTGAAGCCTATAAGACCATTGCACGAGAGGAGGGCATTCGGGGCCTCTGGAAAGGTGTGTGCTAGGTATTGGCTTTCCTATTCTCCTCTCCTCTCTCTCACGCCCTGGGCTCATACAAACTCTCCTTCCTCTACAGGGACCTCTCCCAATGTTGCCCGTAATGCCATTGTCAACTGTGCTGAGCTAG